TTTCCCTGTGGCCTCAGCCAGGCACAGGGAAGATCCACGGAGACTAAAGAGAGCTAGAGAGTTCTGAACGTCGTCTCCGTGTAAAACATTCTTCGCCGACTCTGTCCACACCTTTGGGAACCCCTGGACCCCCGGGGCTGGACCCCAGCACAGTACATACTGAAGAACTGCATCTTATTCAGAGATTAGATTATAAAGTTATCACACAAAGTGAAAATTCTCATACAGGCAAAAATTACCCAAGAAAAGTCCTGGATCATGTCAAAATCAGTAGAAACTGAACCATAGGAAGCTCAGAAGTCAAGAACTAACTTTTATTGTTTCTCTTTACATTTCATCTCCCTCACCTCCACAGTCTTTAGTCAAAATGCAAGGATGGCCGAAACCGGTTTGGCTCAGTGGATAGAGCGTCGGCCTGCGGACTGAGAGGTCCCAGGTTCGATTCCGGTCAGGGGCATGTACCTGGGTTGCGGGCATATCCCCAGTGGGAGATGTGCAGGAGGCAGCTGATCGATGTTTCTCTCTCATCGATGTTTCTAGCTCTCTATCCCTCTCCCTTCCTCTCTATAAAAAATCAATAAAATATATTTTAAAAAAAAATGCAAGGATGATATACAGTGCTATTACAAAGAATTAAGTATTTGATGAGAGCTGCTATCCTATTTAGTGAGACCACAATCCTATATAATAAAAGGCTAATATGCAAATAGACCAAACGGTGGAACAACCAACCAACCAAACAGCCGGTCACTATGATGTGCGCTGACCACCAGGGGGCGGTGGGCGCTGGCCACAGCGGGATGGTGGGGCAGGTAAGTGGGGGTGCCAGACCAAGGCGGGACGAGCCTCTGGTGGTTACTGAAAATTCTTTGCTCCCACGCGCCGTGGTCCCACCCGGCGCTCACACCTGCTGCTGGCGCCAGTCCAACTCACACACACTGCCAGTGCCAGCCCTGCTCGCACCTGCTGCTGGTGCCTGGTGCTGGTCCTGATCACTCAGCACCATCAGCAGGTGCAAGCAGTGGCTGTCGGCCCCAATCACCCCTGAGGGCTTCTCTACCTCTCCCTGCTCCTGAGGGGCGATCGGGGCAGCAGCCGCCGCTCGCACTCACTGACTGCACTGGCCCCACTCACTCTTGCTGCTGGTCCCAATCGCTCCACGCCATCAGTGGGTGCGAGTGGAGCCAACACTGTCAATATGTGGGAGCAGCAGTGGCGGGAGCAGGGCTGCCAGCAGACAGGGGATCAGGGGCTGCAGCAGGAGGGGCCAGGCAGGGGTGTGGAGGATGGGCCGAGACCCGCCCCTGTGCCTACCACAGCCTCGCAGCCCACAGTTCAAGGTGCATGAATTATGAATTTGTGCAATGGGCCCCTAGTAATATAATAAAGAGTAAGGAATAGCCTGCAACATGGCCCAGGTAAGGATGGCACCTTTGCCCTTATCCATCATACCAGGAAAGCAGCAGCTGTGGGAGAGGATGCAGGCACTACTACCAGACACATGCCCAGCCTCATCCAGGCAGCTGAAGGTCAGCGCTTTTGCTGTATTTGAGGAAGGTAATGAAAACCTACAGATCAAGCCTTAAGCATCTAAATGAGAATACTCTAAAAATTTTAAGTAGCAAAAATGTTGTTCAATAGGATCAAGATCCCATTTAGGGAGCCTTGACCTAGGGAAAGAAAGGTTTCATGGGGTGATGTCACTGAGCACCCCAATTAGGAAAAAAATTGTTTCAACTTTTCTCAACACCCAATGCCCCTCCATTAATCAACCACACCTTCATATATATGAATGCTTTTGAAAAGTGAAATATTATAGTAGCAGACTTTGTATAGTAAAATTGGGAATAATTTCTCTAATTTTTACATTTTCCATACTAACCATGTACTTCATTTGTTAAAAGAAACTTGCAATATTATAAAAAAGAAAAAACATAATATGAAAGACCACCTCCATTCAAGTTAAATGTTAAGCTAACATCTACATGCTTTCATTTTATGTAAGATTAATCTACCAAAGTTTCTAACAAGAAAAGAACTCACAGTAGGGAGGAAAATATGACTTTTCTGTATTGTTAATGTTAAAGAAATTATTTTAAAAGGCTAGAAGAAACAGCAAGCATATAAACCATTCATTCTGTAAGATGATTCATGCAAAATCACTTTGTACAACATAACAGTTACAAACGTTATCCTAATGCACTGAAAACATCAAAACCTGAAATATGGTAAAAATTATATTTTCCTTGTCAAGGAATTTTTCAGTGTTACAAGTTAGTCATGATTTGTGAATCTCATTGCATCAAAATAAAGGTGACCAAATGTTTTTGGAAAAGTAATTTCACTCTAAAAACCCATGATAATTGAAGGTATTTACTCATACACTCACAGCTAAACAGTAATATCAAATGTTAAGAGCTCGGGGGTACAAAGGACTGAATTCCAAAACTAAGGAACATTTAAATAGGTCAATGATTAAAGTACATTATTCAGTATTTTTTGTAAAGTACAAAACGTGGTAAGACCTTATAAAAACTCTGGCACGTGTTTCCCTCACATATTATGAACTTCATTGGCAGGTTAAGTCAAAACATCATCACAGGTGAAATTAGCAAAAATGGTGGAGTAAAGAACTCCAAAGTGCAGCCCTCCATAAAAGCAACGGAAAAAAAAAAAAAAAATGGCACAACTGTCACAATCAGCTTTCTTGGGATTCGGGAAACTAAAGCTTGCCGCAGCCAGGAGAGCACTTTATGAAGAAAAACCAGGACATTTCAGTAAGAACAGAGAGTTTTGTGGTATATTACCTTACCTTAGTCCCATCCCCCAGCTCTCCAACTCAGCAGTAGCCTTGAAGTAAGACTGCATGTCAGCCACCAGTACCAGAGGAGCAGAACGGGGCCTCATTCTCAAATAATTTTAATTATTTGTTTTGACCTGTCTGGTGGCTTTTAAAAACAAAACAAGTCCAAAAAAAGTACTTGCCCTATTTTGTCCAACTCAGCATTCAACCAGTGCTAAAGGGACCATATGGAAGACATTTACCAGCGAGTATGTTAGTTGCTACTGCCTGAGTTCATGGGTAATAGTTGGACTGAACAGTAGCCTAACTGACAGCTTTGAGGAAAGGGCGGGGAGGGAGTAAGGGCTTTAGGGAATAAGGGCTTTGAACAGCTCTGACATATTCCTGGGAACCCACAAGACCACACACATGCTGAAAGGCCCAAAGAGAGCTGGGTGGCCATACAAATATCAGAAAAAAACACACCTGAAGACAAAAATTGTTATGTGAGAGAAAGGACATTTTAAAATGACTAGAGGCCAATGCATGGATTCGTGCACCGGTGGGGTCCCTCAGCCTGGCCTGGCCTGGCCTGGCTGCCGGAATTGGCCGAAACTGGCTCTCTGACATCCCCCAGGGGTCCTGGATTGCGAGAGGGCAGTTCTCAGGTGACGCACCCAGGAATCGGGCTCCCTCCTCTCTGGTTCTGGGTGCATCACCCGAGAACCGCAGCTGCCAAGTCACCACAGCTCGGCAGCTCCTGCATTGCGCGTCTGCCCCTTGGTGGTCAGTGCGCATCATAGCTACCAGGTGGAGCCTCTGTCCCCTAGTGGTCATTGCGTGTCATAGCTACAGGTCAGACGGTTGAAGGGTCACTTAGGCTTTTATATATATAGATTTAAAAGAAAGTCAATCCATCAAGAATATCAAGCAATTATACATATATGTAAGCCTAAGTCAGAGTCCCAAAATACATAAAGCATAAATTGATAGAACTGAAAGAAGTAGGAAATTCAACAATAATAGTTGGAGACTTCAATACACTACTTTCAATAATGGATATAAAACCTAACAGGAGGTCCAAAGGAAACTGAAAATCTGAACAACATAAACCAAATAGATCTAACGTATCTACAGAACATTCCACCCAACAAGAGCAAAATATACATTCTTCTCCAGGGCACCTGAACATTCTCTAGGAGAGACCATATGTTGGGCCACAAAACAGGTCTCAATAAATTTTAAAAGCTTAAAGTTATACAAATATGTTCTCCAAACAAAATTAGAAATCAGTAACAGAAGGAAATTTGCAAAATTCACCCTGGATATACTTGCTTTTCTCTAATTTTGCCAAGTATGTACCCTAAACATTGTAATAGAGGTTTTGGCCAAGGTGATTAGGCAAGAAAAAGAAATAAAATGCATCCAGATTGGAAAGAACAAAACTATATTTATAAGATGGCATTATCCACTATATAAAACAAACAAACAAACAACAACTAATGTATCCACAAAAATGTCTATTAGAATTAATAGAGTTCAGTAAGTTTTTATACTCTATACCGTTTTGGAAGCTTTATAAACCTGGAATTACTGAGATTTTTCATATCAGTGATGCTCTTTGCAAATACCTAAATAGTTTAAGATAAAAATGCAATTTACCTTAAAATGCTTAGTTTAACAGAATCAATTCTATGTTAAACACGGCTAATTCTGACATTAGGGAATCAGAGTATGATTTTATGTCAACTGCCTCTGTCTAAGAAACCACCAGATGAGTCACAGGAGAAAGAGCACAGAACTTGGAATTGGCCACTGGCAGAGAAAGCCAACCTCTATGGAACGCTCTAATTAACAAATTTGTAATTAACAAGTGTAACCTAGGCAAAAAGATAAATCACTAAAAACCATTTCCCCAGATTAGACAGGCCTAAGCAAAGCCTCAAGTCAGTCAGATGTTTCAAAACAACAAGGAAAGACTCTAAGGGACTTCGTGTTTCAACCAATAATGGACATTCTAAAAAGTCTGAAATACCCCAGTAAGGGGTGGGAATTAAAATAAGCTCCCCAGGAAAAGATCAGCTTTAATAAACCATTAAATTCAGTAAGATCACTATTATCAAATCAATAAACATTGATATTTTTCACAATCAACTAATCCTCCCAAAACCCATACCTCCATCCCGCCCCCCCCAAAAAAGAAAAGAAAGGCATTTACCTCTTCTAAGCTAGGGAGCGAAGAAGAAGATACTGTTCGAGATGACAATGAGTGAAATGGCTCTTGACCAATAGCGTGTTGATGATTCTGTATTTGTACAAAAGGGTTTTGTGGTGGCCTGTGAGGCAATGGAGATAGGCCATAGGGAAAACCTGGCCCCATCAGGTGATTCTGTTGTAAGTTAGCAAAAGTCCATGCTCCATCAGATGCCAGGTATTTCAGGGGAGGAGGGGCAAGGTGTTCAGATGGCAACGAGAAAGGAGAGCTGAATATCTGGGGTGGTAGTCGCTGCGGAAATGCTGGGTTGTTGGCTACTTCAACGTCTCTGCTATTGTCGTTAAAGTTAGAAAAATGGCTACTGTGGTCTGTACTGGAAGGGGGAGAGGGGACTGCTGGTGGGCTCCTAGTCTGAATTTGTCTATACTGCAAAAGTCTTGATTGAGGTGGTGGCATCTCAGCTAGTTCCCGTGCTTCACTTTGATCACGATTGGACAGTTCTCTGAGTAAGTCCTGAAACCTACATGAAGACGATGAAATGTGAGGAGGAGAAAACAAAAGAAAAGCTCCATCATGTTAAGGAGAGCTTAGTCAGCTACGTGTGCAATTTCTACAAACAAAATCATAACACATAACTTGAACTAACATTAATTTATCTCAAATATAAGCATTAATACTTGACAGATGTGGAATTAAAGACACTAAATATGTTCAAGTACCTGATTTCTTTCTTCTCCCTTTGTATTAAAAACAACTGTCCTAGTCTCTACATGCCCTTGATAACTGGCAGTGATAAAAGGTCACCATAATGGTGGGCCTTAATCAGAAGGGATTAGGAAACACTTCGGTGCATTCACATGACACTAGCCCTAAAAACAAATTTAGTGTCAGTAATGAAAACTCATAAATACCGGTAGTTAAAAGAAGGTAGAATTCTGTGCTACTAGGAAAAAGTTAATAACAAATTCATAATTTTTAACCACTGATTTACTTCTGCCTTCATTCATTCTTTATAAGTATTATTACTGAGTAAGAAGAAAAAATAAATTACTGAGTAGGACAGTATGTTTCTCTTTTAGAAGAGACCCCACATCACTTCTCGGCCTTTCGGCTAAGACCAAGTGCAGAAGAGACCACGAAGCACAGAGCCATGTTAGCTTAGAGTTCACAGCAGGTTGTCCATACCCAGATTTGCAGAGTTAAACTGATTCTCTATATTTCAGAGTCAATCAATAGAACTGTGTAGTATGTGTCCAGAAGGCCAGTATCCAATTTCTTTGGGACAATATTCCAACTTAAGGCTAAAAGGATAGCATTCAAGAATGAAAAGAGTAGGTGGGTCATGTTTGAGGCTGGTTTTAGTTGCTAAAATACCTTGACTCTGTTGTTTCTGCTTCACCTTCGGCACTGCTGGGCAGCTTCCAGTCTGCCTTCACTGGCGACTGATGTAATCCAATGGGCGGCTGAGGAAGATGCTGGAGGTGAGGATGAGGCTGTTGATGGTGTGAGTATGGAATACTGCCCTGACTCAGGTAGGCGTGATGCTCATTCCACTGCTGTAACCGCACTTGCTGCTGTCGTAATGTGTCCAGGGCTACACTCCCATGCATACGATCTGCAAAAACATTTGCGAAAAGTTTAAGTTTTCATGCATTCAGGGTTTCCAGTAACTTTTTTCAAGAGTTTTTACAACCAGATTTTCTCTACAAAGAATTGGCTACAGTTTGGGCTTTGGAGAAAGCAAATGTTTTTTAAATTTGCCAGTAACCAGAGTTATCATAATGATGATGATGATAATCACATAACCTGCCATCGACTGGATGCTTAATGTTATATAGCATTTGGAACTAGATTCTGATTATTACACTAAGTGATTGATTTTTGCTGGCATTATTTAAAGAAATGAATCAAACCTGATCCACATTAATATTGCAAAGTACATGTCATTTTAAGTAAATAATCTCTGAATTTGTCACATTCGGTAGTGACAGGGGAACTTACCTAAAGCCTCTCCTATTGGCAATCCTGGGGGGTTCTCATCAGTGAAGTTATTCAGATGTGAAGGAAGAAGGGGGCCAGGCTGTGCAATGGCTCGCAAGGGACTGTGGCCTTCTTGCAGCATGGGAGGGGGCTGCTCAGGGATCACAGCCTCTGCAGGAGGGGACTGTGGTCGATGAGAAACTGCATTATTAAAAAAAGCATTGTTGGGCCCTGCCTGGTAGGCAGGAGAAAGCTGAGGAGGTGGCTGTGGAGGCAGCTGATTCAAAGGATTCTGCTGCTGGACTACCTGATTTGGTTGGGGTGGCATTTGGTTTGCTTGTTCAGGCAAATTATTCTGCTGCTGGTTTAACAAGGCATGCTGCTGTGGAACTGGAAATGGTGCTCTTGGTAACTGGGGAAGGGGATGAAAATGGCGACCGGGGATGGCATACTGTGCAGGGGGAGCAGGAAGGGGAAGGTTTATGTGTCTTGGGTTGAGATTATCTTTGCGATGAAATTTGGTATTGGGATAAACACCAGGACGTGATTCAGGACTTCTGTTCTGTGGATTTGATTCCAAATCAATCTAGGAAAAAATGAGAAGTCTTTTTTTAACAGCGGAAAATCCAAGTCTGGTGACTCTCCTCCTTTCCCCACCCCTAGCACATCTTAAGGATATTATACATTCTTATCAGTAACAGCAGGAGTACAGGGTACCAAATCAATCACTTTCTGACAATAAAATTAGGGAATAAGTATTTTTTAAATTAGGAAAGGTGAAACAGATAAACAGCATATTAAATCTGAGTCATAAGAAGAGATATTGCCATTTTATTAACATATCCACTTTAATTCCTTCAAAAAACATTATTTTTAATTTCACACTTTCTTCCTTAGAAGATAACCATTTCTTTCTTTAGGATATAAATCATTAAAATGTGTTCTTTCCTTCTGATTTTATTATTTTTATATCTCTTTCTTCAAACATACCTCTATTAATTTAAAAAACGTGAAGTGAACAAATAATTTATATATCACCTTTGTATAATCAGTTTGGTTATCAATTTTTGCCATTAGTTACTGACATTTATTTATTCTTTCAAGAAACAATATTTGAGGGCTTTCCAAGGGCATTGTACCTGGTGCTGGAGATTAGACAGCAATAAGAAGATTTAGTCTGTGCCCACGAGAGCTTAGAGCAGCAGGGGTTGACCAGCTATGGCCCCCAGGCCATTTCCAGCCCAACAGACTTTTGTAAGTTTTGCTGGAACACAGCTCATTCATTTACATGCTGGCTATGGCTGCTTTCTCACCATAGTGGCAGAGTTGAGCAGTTGCAACAGAAAACATGACCCACGAAGCCTGAAGATTTACTATCTCGTCTTTGGCAGAAAAAGTTTGCTAAGCCCTGGCTTAGAGTCCAGTAGAGGACACCAACACGTAACTATAAAATGAGAAGTGCTGTAATGGAAATGATGAGATCCTAGTGCCTGGAAAAATTAAAAGTGGCTTTACACAGGCTACGGCAATTCTACTGAATTTTGCATAAAGAGCTGGAATTTTCCAGGGAGGTAAGGGCATTCTCGGTAAAGGTAATAGCTTATACAAAGGTGGAGAGAGGATAAAAAGTAGGCACATTTGAAGAGCATGACAAGTTTTGTGTACAGAGAGGTGGAACTTCACTTGTTTATGTATTGGTTTTCCCCTTCTTGACAAATGAAGATGCAAGAGTTCAATTACACATGACCTCTTGAATGATTCAATACTGGGCATAAACATTTTTTCAATCCTATAAATTGTGACAAGTTCCAAAGGCTTATAAATAAACTAGGGAATGCAGCCATCCTGAAACATGAGTCTGATTGTAAGTGGTGGCAACGTGAAAAATGAAATATAAGGCAGAAAGAAGCAATTTTTGTTTTCCATCTCTGACAAAGCACTCAATGAGCTCCTTTGGTACATCAATGTCCTTACAAGTTTCAATGTTGAAATAGTCACTGAAGATTACCTGCCTCACCAAAGGCTCTCAAGTTAGAAATGGAACTGGCCACTCCCAAGAACATAGAACAACTAGCTTGTTCCTGAATTGAAGCTGAGGTACACCTAGTGAGCAAGCTATGGCAACTGATGGTTTCAATGTGCCAGTCCAATCCCAAGTGCACTCTCATCTCTAATCACTAGCCCTAATGGACTGCCATTACATTGGGCCAATAAGTTCCTTAAGATTACTAGGTGTATACAAATTGTCTAGAAAATGAAATGAGCAGGATGACCACTCTGTCCCAGTGGGCCCAAGCTGCTGCAATACCTGCTTTTCAAATGTCTCAGAGCTTGATTAAGGTTCTTTATAAACAAACATTTTTTTATTTTAATAAATTTTTTTATTTTAATTACTGACACTACATTCAGCTGGGATGTACTTTTTCGAAGACTGTTGATATGCACACTTTGATTGCACGAGAGAGACCATGATTAGATGTCAAGGTTGTCTATGGATAAGAGCTGTTCTAATTGCCTCCTTCACTTCTAACTTTGACATAGACAGGAAGCTAGGCCAGTGCCAGAGAAATTTAGATCAAGACGTGCTACTTTATGATAGTACAAAGGGCTAGGAGAATAGAGAACTGTAAGGTCTGAAGGAGTCTGGGTCTACAATTATCAGAATTAAACAATCACTTTCCTCTTAATAGTGAGTTCCTGACTCAAGGAGAACTAGGAAGTCCTCTCCCCCCCACCCCTTTGCAGGACAAAGCATCAGGGTAGGAAAGAAAATAAAACATGTCTATTGGGTTGCCTAGTCTTCTAACAGGGAAGGATCATAATGGAAATTTTAAAACAAGGACCTAAAAGACACTTAGCTATCCTGGCTTCAGTTGCTCTGACAGCACCTAAAACTCTTATCCTGGATTTTGACTACCGCTACACTGTCCCAACATGCCCTGTTCTCTCCCTGCTCCTCTCCCAAATACACGACTTCCACTTTCACTGCCACAGCCCTCTTTCTCTATTGGGAACTTCCCTGGCTGCCTCATTCCCACTGCAGCCCCTCCAGGGGAACTGAGTCCTCCCAGCTGTTGAAACTGAGTGAGAGCTACTTATGAGACATAATTAACTGACTATAGAGAGCAGTTGCTCAAAGCAAGGCTGGGGTTGGAGATCCAGATTTGGAAGTCATTATCATGGAAATGGACTAGTGTATAATAAGAAACCATAGTATGCAAGGAGAGGTGTGGGGCAGTGACAGAACCCTGAAAACCCTCAACTTAAGGATTAGGAAAAGATGGGAAGGAGGTGGACAAGAACTTATAAAAGAGACAGAAGGTCATGTTAGAAAGAACTGTGAAAAGTAAAAATGTGTGTCACAAAAACCGAAAGAAAATAAGATGGTCAAGATGAAAGAAGTAGAAAATAGTGCCAAATACCAAAGATAAGTCAAATAAGACTACAACTGAAGCATGTGCATAGCATTTGGTCCCTTAGAACCCAACAGTTTTGATGAAATGTTGAGGCCTGATACTAGACTGTGCTAGTTAAGAAACATAAAAATAAAGATGAGGTAGGAAGGAGAAATTAGGTAGTAGCTATAAGAAGATGAAGATAAAGAAAGTGTCTTTTTAAAAAACAGTCTATCGATCAATTTACTTATGGACTGAAAAGGAAGAACCTGTAGCCAAAACGAATCCAAAGATAAATGAGAAGAGGAAACAAGGTCGGTGAGGTGACCAAGAGAGAGATTAGTTTTAATGAGAACTTCTTCTCTAAGCCTGGTGATAAGGAAGCAAAGATGTTCAAGGACGTAGAAAAGTGCTAAGTTTAAGGTTTTAAATTAACAAGGTGAAATCCTGATGACCGAAGTCTAAGGCAAAATCGTCTCCTGATCAAAAGGATAACAGAAATTGGAAGATAATCAGGCATGAGAAGAGCTGCTGAGAAAACTGGGCAAAAGAAGCTGGGTACATGTAAAAGAAATGTGGGGAGCACCTCGGGTTCCCCCAGGTTAGACAACATAAATGTGTGTGGCACTAATTCAGTCAATAATTTGGTTTTCCCTAACTAGCTCACAAGCACAGATGAACAAATGGATAAAGAGTTAAGGATTTATACAGTGGGTCTGAGGCGAGAACAAGGTGAGTGACTTGAGAAAGTTAAGTCTTCCTCTGAGGAAGTTAATTTTTCCTTCTTCTTCACTATACAGCTTCTATTCTGAGAATTATTTTTTTAAGACAATTTTTAATGACACATCTATTAGCCATGTCTTCACTGACTACTCTGTCATGGAAAGTCTCTAAGTTCAAGTCTATCACCAATATCACAATTTGAGAAAAGTATACTGATAAATTAATAATGTAGCCAAAAAAAAAAAAAAAAAAAGATGGAAGGAGAGAGGGTAACATGACCCACCAGACCACTGTGAAACAATAACATTAAAAATACACATAAAAAGGTAAATTTTTTATAAAACATTAAGATTCCAAGATGACCAATCAGACTAACTCCATTAGAACAATGCAGTCACTAAATGTAGGCAGCATACCTGTTTTGATTCTGTAAGCTTTTTCTCTGGTGTTCGAATCTTATTAATTTCAGGTCCAGGATTATTTGTATCACTTTTACCTAAGAAGATATTTTAAAATTTTTATAAATAGTCTCCAGTAAGAATGTTATATTTCCAATGACTACCCAATATTAGACAAAAGAAAAACTTTAAACATTTTTCAGCCATTATTATCAATTTGTATTACTGCTTGAGTTTTGTTCTTAAATATTCAGAGGCAGTTTCTCTGCAAGAAAGAAAATTTATAAATATAGCAAACCACATTGACAAGGCAAAAGCTTTACAAAAGGATAATCTTAAAACATCAAATAATTCCAAAGATAACAGCCCAATCTCCAGATATTTACAGCCTAATTTTTCGTAAACTAGACATAGAAAAAAACCTGGCATTCTTGCTTATTTATAAAGGTTCAAAAATTTGATCATTTATAAATGCAATTAAGCAAAATCTAAATAACGTATCAATCTAATTTAGTAAAGGAATCTAAACTGAGTAAAAATATTCTGAAACGTATGTATGCTGTTTAAAAGTAACAGATATTGAACTAAATATAAGTGAAGGAAGCAAAATTAAGGTTAAAAATATCACAATTATAACAGACAATGCCATTTCATGCATGTAAAAGGCTTTTACTATATAAGAATTAACTGATGGAAATTTTCAATTCTTGAAAGAATCCTTGATTTGGGTTCTTGTTCAAAAACATAGAGCTGAAACTTTAAAATAAATTACTACTAACCTTCAAGAAATAAGAACTACAATGTCTGAGATGAAACACACACTGAATGAAATTAGCAGCAGATTAGACAATGCAGAAGAAAAGATTAGTGAAGCTGAAGGCAAAATATGCAAAATAAAATACAAAAAGAAAATTGATTTTTTTTTTTTAAATGAAAAAGCACCTGTGAAGTGTGGGGAAACTTTAAGCAGACTAATATACGGGTAGTTGGAATTCCTCTGAAGAGGAGAGAAGGTTAAGACAGAAAAAAAAATCTAAAGAAATAGTTAAAACTTTCCAAACTTGATGAAAACTGTAAATTATCCAAGAAGCCCAACAAAGCCCAAACACAAGAAGCATGACAAAAACTATACCAAGAAGTGTTATAATCGAATTACTAAAACTAGTATAAAAGAAACTCTTAAAAGCAGTTAGGGGAAAAAAACACATTTCATACAGAAAACAAACATAAGGGTGATTTCAGATTTCTCTGAAAAACTTCACCACCAGCAGACCTGCACTACAAGGAATGTTAAAATTACTTTGGGCAGAAGGAAAATTGTATCAGATGAAAACATGAATATATAGAAAAAAATAAAGATTACCAGAAATGCTAACTACATGGGTAATGTAAAATATTATTTTTCTTATTAAAAACTCTTTAAAAGTACATGGATATTTTAAGAAAAGTAACAATGTTTGGAGCTTATAACATATGTAAAAGTAAAACGCATTATAACAATATGATAAAGTCAAGAAGAGAAAAAAATGAAATGTTGTAAGGTTCTTTTACTGTACATGAAGTGGTAAATATAAATTGTAAACTAGACTGTGGTAAGTTTAAGATGTATACTATAGAGAGAAACCAAGATGGCGGCATAGGTAAACACCGGAGATTGCTGCCTCACACAGCCACTTCAAAAATACAACGCAAAGACGGAACGAACATCACTCAGAACCACAGGAAGGCTGGCTGAGTGGAAATTCTACAACTAGAAGGAAAGAGAAAAGCATACTGAGACTCAGAGGAGGCGCAGTGTGGAAGTAAAATACTAAGGTGCGGAGGAGGTGCATGTGGAGTGGGCTGGCGGCTGAGGGTGCGGTTGTCGTTTTCAATCAGGAGGGAGTCTCAGACTCTAAGCTCCAGTTCCGGGTGAGTCTCTAGGGACCCAGACTCATACGGGAGAAGCGGGACTGTCTGGCAGCGGTCGGAACTCGAGGGCAGCTTTCTCTCCGAGGGGCTTGCAGCGATTACCGCGACATTGAGAAGCAAAGCCTCTGAGGGGAGGACTGAGAGCAGCCATAACTGCTAGCCCCACCCTGTTGATCCCGTGGGACCCACCCTGCCCAAGCCCTGCAGGGAGGCTTTTGCTGGATAGCCTCAGGCAAAGGCTAGATTAGCACCTCCCTAGAGATCCAGGAGCCAGGAAGCCCAGAGGTCAGAGTGGGACCATCCAGTTTGCAGCTCCATGGAAACATAAAGGACACACTCAGGGGGCAGACTCAGTGAGGACCAAAGCCCCATTGAAGCAAGTCTTGCCCCAGAGGGGCGTCTCCAGCACAGAAGTTCTCCCACTGCAGACACAGCTGATTCTCACAGCCAATTGGCCTGGAGGCCAATTCCTCCCAGTGATACCTACAACAATCAAGGCTTAACTACAACAAGACTGTGCACAAAGACCACAAGGGGGTGCACCAAAGAGTGTCCTCCTCAGGTAATTGGGGAGGCTGAACCACTGGGCCCTAGAGGACACTTAGCCAAGAAAACCATTGTATCAACACAGGGAAGCATAAAAAATGCGGAGACAAAGAAAAAGGACACAAATGACAGAAATGGAGGAAAGCAAACTACTGGATATAGAGTTCAAAACCACACTTTTAAGGTCTTTCAATAATTTTCTAGAAACTGCCGATAAACTTAATGAGATCTACAAGAAATCTAATGAGACCCTCGATGTTGGTCCAACTAGAAATTAAGCATACACTGACTGAAATAAAGAATATTATACAGACTCCCAACAGCAGACTAGAGGATTGCAAAAATCAAGTCAACGATTTGAAATACAAAGAAGCAAAAAACACCCAACCAGAAAAGCAAAATGAAAAAAGAATCTGAAAATACGAAGATAGCGTAAGGAGTCTCTGGGACAGCTTCAAGTGCACCAACATCCGAATTATAGGGGTGCCAGAAGAAGAGAGAGAGCAAGATATTGAAAACCTATTTGAAGAAATAATGACAGAAAACTTCCCCTACCTGGTGAAAGAAATAGACTTACAAGTCCAGGAAGCGCCGAGAACCCCAAACAAAAGGAATCCAAAGAGGACCACACCAAGACACATCATAATTAAAATGCCAAGAGCAAAAGAAAAAGAGAGAATCTTAAAAGCAGCAAGAGAAAGAAAGTCAGTTACCTACAAGGGAGTACCCATAAGAATGTCAGCTGATTTCTCAACAGAAACTTTGCAGGCCAGAAGGGAGTGGCAAGAAATATTCAAAGTGATGAATGCCAAGAACCTACAATCAAGATTACTTTATCCAGCAAAGCTATCATTCAGAATTGAAGGTCAGATAAAGAGCTTCACAGATAAGGAAAAGCTAAAGGAGTTCATCACCACCAAACCAGGATTATATGAAATGCTGAAAGGTATCCTTTAAGAAGAGGAAGAAGAAGAAAAAGGTAAAGATACAAATTTTGAACAACAAATACACATCTATCAACAAGTGAATCTGAAAATCAAGTGAATAATCTGATGAACAGAATGAACTCGTGATTATAATAGAATCAGGGGCATAGAAAGGGAGTGGACTGACTATTCTTGGGGGGGAAAGGGGTGTGGGGGATGCGGGAAGAGACTGGACAAAAATCGTGCACCTATGGATGAGGACAGTGGGTGGGGAGTGAGGGAGGAGGGTGGGGTGGGAACTGGGTGGAGGGGAGTTATGGGGGGAAAAAAGAGGAACAAATGTAATAATCTGAACAATAAAGATTTAATAAAAAATAAAAAAAGATGTATACTATAAACCTAAAGAAAATACTGAAATAATAGTTATAGCTAATAAGCCAATGAAGAAGATAAAAGGGAATCATAAAAATATTCAAGCAATCCAAAAGAAGGCAGAGTAAAAGAAAAAAGGAAACAAAAAAAAAGTTTGGACAAATTAAAAAAACCGATAGAGCAAGATGATAAAAATCAAGCCTAACTATATTAATAATCACCGTAAGTATAAATGGTCTAAACAATCCAATTAAAAGAAAGAGATTATCATATTGGATTTTTTTAAAAATCAAGAGCCAACTATATGCTTTTTAAAAGAAATGCATTTGAAATATAAATACACTAATAGAGTAAAGGGTCAATAAATGATATACCGTAATAACAATAGTTAAAACAATTATTGATATTAAGCAAAGTAGATCTCAGAGCAAAGAATATTACCAGGGATAAAGAAGATCATTCCATAATGGTAAATTAGTTAATTAATTAAAAGCAGGGTATTTTAAATGTCTATGTACCTAACAACAGAATTTCAAAATTCATCAAGCAAAACTTAAAGAAAAATAGACAAATATTAATTATATTTGAAGATTTCTATTTTTATTTACATACATATATACATATATATGTATACATATATATATATATATATATATATATATATATATATTACGTATGTATCCTATCTAATAAAAGAGAAACATGGTAATTGGCGTACGACCGCTACCCTTCCCATTGGCTAATCAGCGAGATATGCAAATTAACTGTCAGCCAAGATGGCGGCCAGCAGCCAGGCAGCTTGAAACTAACATGAGGCCTGCTTGCTTCAGTGACGGAGGAAACCAACGTTCCCCGCCTGCCTTGCTGGCCTCTGAGCCTGCAGTTTAAGAAACATTGTAACAAATATAGAAGCTAAACAAAACCCCAGAAACCTGCTTTCAGCGAGCCCGGGATCTCAGGGCTGGAGTTGATACAGAGTTTCGATTATAGAACCTAAACAAACCAGATACCTACTTTCAGCAGCTGAGGCCTCAGAGCTGGAGCCAGAGCTAAAGCTGGCCCAGAATAAAAAGGAAAAAAGGAGCAGTTGGGAGCTTCAGTCCCAGCCTGAAAACAGCCCTCAGCCCCTCACCCAGGCTGGCCAGGCACCCCAGTGGGGACCACCACCCTGAAGGGTGTGTGACCAGCTGCAAACAGCCATCACCCCCTCACCCAGGCTGGCCAGGCACCCCAGTGGGGACCCCCACCCTGATCCAGGACACCCTTCAGGGCAAACCAGCCAGCCACCACCCATGTACCAGGCCTCTATTCTATATAGTAAAAGGGTAATATGCCTCCCAGCACAGGAATCAGCGGAGCCGCGAGGCCTCCCGGCACCGGGATCAGTGTGACAGGGGGCAGCGCCCAAAACCCCTGATCGCCCTGCGGCTCTGTGTGTGACAGGGGGCGGGGCCACAACCTCTCTGTTCCTAACAGGGGAAGGCGTCCCAACCCTGATTGGCCCTGCTCTGTGCCTGATAGGGGGAGCTCCCCAACCCCCTGATCACCCTGCAGCTCTGTGTGTGACAGGGTGCGGCGCCCCAACCCCCCACCCCACAGGCCCTGCTCTGTGTGTGACAGGGTAGAGTCATAACCTCCCCATCGGCCCTGCCCTGAGTGTGACAGTGGCGGCGCCCCAACCCCCTGATCCGCCCTGCTCTGTGTGTGACAGGGGGCAGTGCCCCAACTCCCCTATCGGCCCTACTCTGTGAGTGACAGGGGGGAGCTCCCCAACCCCCTGATTGACCCTGCTCTGTGCGTGACAGCGGGGAGCTCCCCAACCCCCTGATTGACCCTGCTCTGTGCGTGACAGGGGGTGGCGCCGCAACCTCCCCATCGGCCCTGCCCTGAGTGTGACAGGGGGCAGTGACCCAACCCCCCAATCGGCCCTACCCTGAGCGTGACTGAGGGTGGCATCGCAACCTCCCAATCCGCCCTGCTCTGTGCATGACAGGGGGCGGCGCCCCAACTCCCCAATCGGCCCTGCTCTGAGCCCAACCAGGGGCTGCACCTAGGGATTGGGCCTGCCCTCTGCCACCCCGGAGCAGGCCTAAGCCAGCAGGTCGTTATCTCTCGAGGAGTCCCAGACTGCGAGAGGGCACCGGCCGGGCTGAGGAACCCCCCCGCCCCCCCGAGTGCACAAATTTTTGTGCACTGGGCCTCTAGTGTGTGTGTGTGTGTGTGTGTGTGTGTGTGTGTATATATATATATATATGTATGTATATGTATTTACATATATTTTAATATAGAATGCTTCACAAATTTGTGTGTCATCCTTGTGCAGGGGCCATGCTAATCTTCTCGGTATTGTTCCAATTATAGTATATATGCTGCTGAAGCAAGCACTTAAAGATATCTTTTTTATTGAATTCAGAGAGGAAGAGAGAGGGAGAGATAGATAGAAACATCAATGATGAGAGAGAATCACTTATAGGCTGCCTACTGCACACCCCCTACTGGGGATCAAGCCCACAACCCAGGTATGTGCCCTTGACCAGAATCGAACCTGGGACCCTTCAGTCCACAAGCCGACGCTCTATCCACTGAGCAAAACCGGCTAGGGCATATTTGAAGATTTCAATATTCCTCTCTCAATATTTATTTTTTTTTTATTAAGTAGGTAGAAAATCAGCAAGGATATAGCAGACTTAAGCAATCCTATCAACCAATTTGACCTAATTAACATTTATAGAGCACTCCTTTCTTCTCAAGTGCACAGGGAAAATTTACAAAGATAGACCACACAGTGAGTCATAAAACAAAACTCAGTAAATTCAAAAGGATTCGATTCATATAAAATTTGTTCTCTTACCACAATGAAATTAAAGTAGAAGTCAATAATAGAAAAATTCTTAGAAAATCTCCAATGATTAAAAAATAAAACTCGCCTTCCTAAATAATCCATGGATGTAATTTGAAGAGAAGTTATAAAGTATACAGAATAAAATGAAATAAAAATATAACACTGTACTACTGAGGAGAAAAATTATAACATTAATTACCTGTATTAATCTTTCACCTTAAAAATATATATGCAAGAGCTGTAGACTGAAAATTTTTTTAAAAAATGAAAAAGATTAAAGATCTTGAGAGAGACATGTCCTCTTCATATATCAGAATACTCAATATTGTTTTTTGATATCAATTCCCCCCATATTGACCTACAGATTCAACACAATCCCAATCAAAATCCCAGCAGGCTTTTCTGTTCTGAAACTCATGAGCTGATTCTAAAATGCATGTGGAAAAGCAAAGGACCTGGAATAGACAATTTTGAAAAAGAACAAAATTGGAAGATTTATATTACTTGATTTTAAGGCTTATAAAGCTATAGTAATCAAGACAGTGTATTTGGAATAAACACAAACATGTGCATCAATAGAAAAGAGCAGACTTCACATATGTAGTCAACTGATTTCCAAAAGAGGCACCAAGTTAGTTTAAGGGAAGGACAGTGTTTTCAAATGGTGCTGAAACCACTGAATATATTTACTAGTATATGCAAAAACAAAACAAAACCACTTCAATTCTTACCTCACACCATATACAAAAATTAACTCAAAATGAACCTACTGTAACAGCTAAAACTATGAAACTTATAGAAAAAAATAGATGATCTTTGTGATCTTGAATAAGGCAAAAAATTTTAGACTGTTATGAAAATGAAAAGGCAAGCCACATCCTGGGAGAAAATATTTCAAAACATATGTTTAATTAAAGATTTGTATCCAGAATGTATAAAGAATTCTCATGATGTAATAAGACAAACCAATAAAAATGCAGGCAAAAATTAAGAATACATGCTTCATTAAAGATATACAGATATCAAATAAGCCCAATAAAAAAATATTCAACATCATTAATTATCAGGAACATGCAAATTAATACCACAATCAGATACTATCAGATAACCACTAGCAAGGGTAAAGTTAAAAAGACTGACAATATCAAGTGCTGACTAGAAATCTCATACATTACTAGTAGAAATGAAAAATGGTCCAGTCACATTTGAAAATAGTATGGCAACTTCTTATAACATTTCACTCCTGAATGTTTATCCAAGAGAAATGAAAATACATGTTCACACATATGTTCATAGCAGCCTAGGAACCAAAAATTAGAAATAACTAGGGTGTCCATCAATTGACAAACAGATAAAAATACTGTAATGCATCCATGTAGTGGAATATTAATCAACAGTAAAAATGAACAAACAATTGACACAGGTAACATGAATGAATCTCAAACGCATTAAGCTAAGTCAGTGGTCAGCAAACTGCGGCTCACTAGCCACATGCGGCTCTCTGACCCCTTGAGTGCGACTCTTCCACCAAATACCGACTTCTGGGCATGGGCCACGAAGTTTCAATCACACTGTACATGCACGCCCACACGTGGTATTTTATGGAAGAGCCACACTCAAGGGGCCAAAGACCTGCATGTGGCTCGCCAGCTGCAGTTTGCTGACCACTGAGCTAAGTAAACAAAGCCAAACACAAAAAAACTACTTCCCCTATGACTCTATTTATGATATACTAATGTAGAGACAAAAGTCAGATTAGTGGTTGCCCAGGGCTGGGAATTGGAGGAGACTTACTGCAAAGGGATATGAAGGAACTTTTTGAGGTCATGTGAATATCCTGTATTAACAACTCTGTATATTTTGTCAGAACACATCAACATTTTAAAAGAGTGAATTTTACTGTATATAAATTATACCTCAATAAACCTAATGTTAAAAAATAGAGTAGGCCCTGGCCGGTGTGGCTGTTAGTTGGAGCATCGTCCTGTGCATGGAAAAGGGTTTGATTTCTGGTCAGGGCACATACTCAGGTTTCTGGTTCGATCTCCAGCTGGAAGGTATATGGGAGGGCAATTGATCGATGTTTCTCTCTCACACTGATGTCTCTCTCTCCCTTCCTCTCTCTTAAATCAATTAAATAAATGTCCTCAGGTGAGGATTAAAAAAAACAAACAAACCACCAACATATATATATGGTGGCTAATTTTCCTTTATTTACAATTCTAGGAGACAAGAGACTATGACTTGCATAAGAAACAACTAGTTTAAATCAACTATTGCCACAGTAGTGTTAATGTTTAGTATACAACAAAAATATCTTGAACTAACAAAAATGTTTAACAAATAAGGGCTTCCTGTCTCAATATTAAATGACTACCATTTGAAATACTTTAAATATTAAAATTTAATATTTTTTCAGGAAATTAGTACTGCCAATCATAGCTGGTAGGTTACAAGCAAATTTTATATCTGTGTATCTTTGAGAGAGAACCTACAGTTTTTATGTCAGATTTTTCTCCAAGAGGTCTATGACCTATAAACAAGTTAACAATCATACTGTTAAAGGAACTTTCTATGTTGATACAGGTTGGCATATCATCAGTTTAGGAACATGAGACCAGCAAAGCAGCTCACCATTTCGATGTTGCTCATGCTGGTCCTTCTCCTGATGTGGGTTCTGTGGCTGCCCTATGCTGACAGGGGGATGATGCCCAAGGCCATAAGGTAGAGGAGACCCCCGTCCATGCGTCTGTAAGAGGTTCATATTGTAGGCCATTGCTGCCTGATGTGTAATGATTCGAGGATCAACTGCAAACCTACCCTGGTATCCTGTCCATGGTACCTAGGTTATCACAAAAAACAAAATAACTTCATTATATACATTTTGGAAGGCAAACTGCTATAGGAAAAAGCAAACTCACAAAGAGAGGTGTTAATTTTATCAAAATGAATAACTACAGTCAATGCTAATGCTAACAATTGACAGAATTACTGCTACATCTCAACTAGCCTGAAATGGCTCCCTGAATCTTTAGTGTGTAAGGGAAAATTTATCACTTAACAGGTTAGAAAGAAACTGAGAACTTAAAATTGGTAATTATTTTTTGAAGCATTAAATCATCTTATAGTCTTGAATCATTTCCCCTCAATCTGAATGTATACATGTCACAGATTATCCTGAAAATTATCTTTTAAAGTCCTAAGTGAATTGTTAGTATTTAATAGACTGAATAAGAGAACAGGGGGAAAAATTAAGAAAAAATTTAGTCTAAGGAGTCTCAACTCAAAAAATAGGTATTCCACCCTTAATATAAATAACCCAATCATTTAATGTTCATGTATGATATAGGCAAAATTTTAAAAGGTCATTAATTTAATCAATGCTTTTGATTAGTTCAACTCTTCCTTTAAATACAGAAACAGAAACTCTCTTTAGGTGTGTGTATATATGTATATAATCCCTGTATATTAACATAAAAGGGATAAATACAAATGACATCTGAGCTACCTCCCTATTATTTTATTATAACTGCTAAATGCAGACTTGAGAAATCTTATATAATAAAAGCCTCTTTGACCTAGTAAAATGAAATATAAATCCTAAGGGACTTACTATTTAAAGCAGATGATGTATAATGTTGCCAGGCTGTCTGGGAAGAAATAACTCAGCTAAAATTGAAATCTGTGGGGAGTGGGCATGAATTACGTATTTCTTACTGACAGTTCTTCTCATTGGCTGCTGTGATTGTGAACTATCTTGATCAGTATGGCTAGAAATGTTTGCAGCTTGACATTTTTCCACTTTGGGGGTGTGGGCAGGGGTGCCAAAGATCTTGGCAATGATCACCTCTGCCTGAAATTACAGCACTTTCCTTAAGTGAAAGAAAGGTTTTCTAGGCTAAAATTCCTGAATTTGGAAATATTAGTATATCAGAAAATTAACAAAATTATTAAAATATTCAGTATGTTAAAGGAAATAAAAATGGGGTTTTACACAAGATGGAAGCTCTCTAAAGATTAGAGTCGTAGGAAGGATTTAATAATGTTTTTAAGTACCAATAAGATTTCATAAGGTGTGGATTTCTCTGATAAATTTAGATTCAAGGGAGTTAGACTAATCTAACCTTCTTTGCCTCCTCCAAAGAACTGTATTTCTTAGGAAGAGTTAGTGAATTATCTATATATATAAAAGCCTAAGCAACCATAATGATTGAACTACCAGAATGACCTGTCGCTATGACATGCACTGACCACCAGGGGGCAGATGCTCAATGCAGGAGCTGCCCCATGGTAGTCAGTGCACTCCCACAGCCACCCTTCCCTGGCTGGCCAACCTCCCATGGTCTCTCTCCCCCGCCCCGGGCTGGGACGAGGAACTGGGAGTCGGTGGTGGTGGGTGCGGCCCCTTTCCCAGGGGGGCCGAGGGCCAGCTCCCACCTCGGGGCCGGTGGCCAACCTCCCATGCCCCATCCTTCCGCCAAATCGGCCTGCTGCGGTGGCAGCACAGTGGCGAGGGAAGGAGGAGGGGGGAAGTGGGGAACCACACGTTGGCGGTGTCAGCGGCAGGCGTCTGTTCCTTCTGCGCCCAGACCAGCGACCATCATCTCCTCTCCTGACCCCGCCGGGGCCTTGGGGCCCTGATCACCCCAGCCCTGATCGCAGGCCAGGCTTAGGGTCCCTACTCATGCACAAATTTCGTGCACCGGGCCTCTAGTACAAGAATAAAATACAAAAGATCCAAGAAAAACATCACTTTACAAAACAAGAGACCAATTTACTAACTCTGTTAACTTTTGGCTCAATTTCCCAGTAAAAATATTTTAAAAGAGTACAAAGGCTTCTCAATCAAAATATCCAATTTACAGATTTCTTCATAGCCACTAATAATCTAGTAAGCAAAAATTCACATTTCTTTAGTCATTTCAAAATTAGAAGGTTAAAGATAATAACTGCTTTAAAAGAAACTTACAGGCATTGAAAAGTTTTTATAAAAAGCTGGTAGGACACTATATGGGACAGTCACTACTTTAGTGAAGCCTATTTTATTTTATTCAATAGAAAGTATCTCAAACATCCACTTACAGGTAAAGGCACCGACATAACTACATTCCCTCCATAGACAGCAGGTACATAAAGAATACTTGTCCCAGTGTGAGGATCTATTCTCTGGACAGGGCTTGGAGATTTTCCCAAATTTGGATGAGGTCCAAGAGGGGGTGGAGGAGTATATGCTCTAATAGGATTGCCAATAAGAACGGAAGGATTGGGTTGAACTGAAAAAAAAAAATAGAGAAAGGGTATACTCACTAGCTGTACATATTCACCTAGACAAAAACAATTCAAATCATCCAACAGCAAAATATATTTCCCAAGTTTGCCACGAGATATCTTATAATCAAAGAATTATTAGTGTGGAAGAGTAATGCATATTAAAAAAACATAACATAACCATTTTAAAATGTTCCCTAAAATTAGCTTGAGATATGCAAAGTATTTCTTTTATAAACTAGCATATTTTTAAATGTCTTCTGAGGCTGGAGATGTGTCCTTCAAGAGAGAAAACCACGCGTACACCTACACTCTCAGTAAACATTCTTCCAAGACTAGGAAAATATATACAAGTCTTCAGAATAAAGTTTTGACTTGCAATTGTAATAAAGCCACAAACAAAATGAAGTATAAACAATTATTATTTTAAAAGCAAAATTCTGCAACATTTTAAATAACTGATATAAACTTTATCTTGAATTCTGTATGACCCAACATTTGTAGGATATAAGTATGTTCCAAAAACTTAGGTTACATAGAAGGCTTAAATGTTTTTCCTGTTTCTGGATATGTACTTTGGTACCTACAAAATCACCCCTTATAAGAAATGACATATGAGCCCTGGCCATGTGGCTCAGTTGGTTGGAGCGTCATCCTGCACACTAAAAGGTCAGGGCACATATCTGGGTTGTAGGTTTGATCACTGGTGGGGATGTGTACAGGAGACAACTGATCAATATTTCTCTCTCACACTGATGTTTCTCTCTCTTTCTAAAAATATTTCTCTCTCAATAGAAATATTCCCTTGGGTGAGGATTAAAAAAGAAGAAAGAAATGACATATGAATAGAAGAGTTAAATGAGTTCCAAAGTGTCCGTGTGTGTGTGTGTGTGTGTGTGTGTGTGTGTGTGTGTGTGTGTTTCCCTCTTCCCACCTTTCTCTTTCGAACGATGAAATCTGTGGTAAATACCATATCATAAAAGTGAGTTTTCATAGGGCTGTTTCCACTTACCAATTCCATCATTCTGGAAATGATCATTCTGGGTATGTTGGAGGCTTTTCCCCTTTACAGAAAAAAAACCACAAAACACATTTAATATTAGAGAACAATACCAGTTCCTATGCAAATCACATGTATACAGCAACAATTAAAATGTAAAGACTACAAGCTCATAATTAATAACTATTAAACTATTCTGAACTTTTTTTTTAAATATTAAAGTCATGGTGTTACATGTTCTCAGCTCCAAGTTAAGGATATCTAAAATTCTTTTTTCATAGTAATCTATATATATAAAACCCTAATATGCAAATAGACCGAACGGCAGAACAACCGGTCACTATGACATGCGCTGACCACCAGGGGGCGCGCACGGACTATGGCGGGCGTCGGCCATGGTGGGATGGTGGAGCAGGTGAGCGGGGGTGCCAGACCAAGGCGGGGGGCCAGTCTCTGTCATCAGGGCAAGCCTCTGGTGGTTACTAAAAATTCTTTGCTCCCACGCACCGTGGTCCTGGCTGGCACTTGCACCTGCTGCCGGCGCCAGCCCCACTCACACCTGCAGCCGATGCTGGAGCCACTACTCATACCCGCTGCCGGAGCCTAGTGCCAGTCCTGATTGCTCGGCACCACCAGCGGGTGCGAGTGGTGGCTGCCAGCCCTGATCACCCAAGGGCTTCTCCACCACCTCGTTCCTGAGGGGTGATCGGGACAGCAGCTACCACTTGCACCCTCTGACAGCACCAGCCCTGCTCGCACCTGCTGCTGGCGCCAGCCCCAATCACTCCGCACTGTCAGCAGGTGCAAGCGAGGCCAACACTGTCAGCATGTGGGAGCAGCGGCGGCGAGAGCAGGGCTGCCGGCAGAGAGGGGGCCAGGGGGCAGCGGCAGGAGGGGCCAGGCGGGGGGGCAGAGGATGGGCCGAGACCCGCCCCTATGCCCATTGCAGCCTCGTGGCCCACAGTTCCTTTCAAGGTACATGAATTTGTGCACTGGGCCCCTAGTTTTTTATAAAAAGAAACACGCAACCAATACAACTTAAACCTAAATTCTACTCCTTTGCAGTTTCTCTGTAAATTTTGTATGAAATAAATAACAAAATGTAAAAGTTGTATTTCAAGGAGAAAATATTAGTCTTCAATTCTTGAGGATGAGAACCTTTAAAACATGGCCCTAGCTGGTTTGGCTCAGTGGATAGAGCGTCAGCCTGCGGACTGAAGGCTCCCGGGTTCAATTCCAGTCAAGGGCACATGCCTGGGTTGTGGGATCAATCCCCAGTAGGGGGCGTGCAGGAGGCAGCCTATCAATGACTCTCTGTCATCACTGATGTTTCTATCTCTCCCTCTCTCTCCCTTCCTCTCTGAAATCAATAAAAATATATTTAAAAAAAAACACAGTAACATGAATGTAACTATAGTTTGGGAATGACAATAATTTGAGTATGATTCATGGCATCTTCAAGTGTAAAATTTACTGGAAAAAAAAACAGAAAGACACACTGATATAATGTACTTAAGAGAATATACAAATTTTCCAGAAAGCAATTTGACAATACCTATTGAAAGCATCCAAAATGTACATACACTTTAACCCAGTAATTGCACTTCCAGAGATGTCTCCAAATGAAATAATAATGAATTTGGCACAGATGTTGATCACAGCATTATTTATACATGGGATGATATGTTAACAACCTAAATGTCCATCAATGAAGGATTTACTAAGTAAGCAATGGCAGATTCATATAATGGTATACTAGTCTACTGTTAAAAATGATGACTTTGGGGCAGAAACAGTATTTGAAGAGACAATAGTTCTGAATTTGTGGACTTGGCTAAAAAAATTCTTTCTCTTTCCATTGGCTAAATGTAATACATAAAGCCTTTAAAAAACACAAGCAGCACATTATACAATTTACCCTTAGACACATACAAATTGCCATTTGTACATTATATCTGAAAACTAAAGGGGGAGATAATAATATCAATAGCAAGAAGAAAAATCCATTCTTGACTAGAGCAAAAGTACAGCGATGCTTCATTTATCTCTGTCAGCAACATTAAATATTCAGATCAGTACTAAACATCAAAGGTCAGTTGGTTAGTTATGAATGTGAAAGGACAGCTAAGTTCTAACTTTAAAAAGTAAAAAAAAAAAGTCAAAATAGAATCATATTTGATTCATTAGCCAGAAGAGAGTCTTCTCAGTGACTGCCTCTAGCTATAAAAACCAACTTCTGAGGAACAGAGAAGTGATGAGAAAGGAGGAGAGTGAAAGGAGAAGACGGCAGGCACCAGAGCTGGCCGAGAAGTGGGGAGGTCAGAAGCAGAGCAATTAGAAGCGACAGCAGGAGCAGTCAGGGCACACACTGACAGAGGAAACAAGAGCCGAGGACACAGAAGATAAGGCAGTTCTAAGCGGGTGATAAGCCGTTTAGATTTCTTAGTCTCTAAGAACCCATCAATCAGGGGCAACTGCGTAGTATGTGAAGAAAACACAGGGATTTAGGCAGGGTGGGAGGCAGAATGGCCCCCCAAAGATGTCCACACCCTAGTCCCTAGGACCCTTGAATATGTCATGTTATGTGGCAAAAGAGACTTTGCAGATATAATTAAAGTTATGGACTTAATATAAGATTATCCTGGAGCATCTGGATGGACATAATCTATTCACATGAACCCTAAAAGTAGAGCAATTTCTCCAGTTGGAGTCAGAAGATGCAGCAGAAGGAAAGGAAAGATGAGGTGGAAGGGGAAGTCAGAGAGGTTCTAAGCGAGAGAAGGCTCTGAGATGCGGGGGCCACATGTGAGAACTGGAGAATAGGTAATATTCAGAAATGGAGCCTTTGAAAAGACCAAAGCATTATTTGATAGGTTTTAGTCTGTGAGTTGTTTTTCACCATCTATCCTCTGAATAGTTTTATAGTGTATGAATCTGTTCGATTTTATCAAAGCTTCCAAACACTGCTCCCAGCAAGTGCCCTAGGAGGAAGCAGAATGGAGACAGGGATATTGGTTTCCCCCTGCTAATTCTGCAGGTCCCATGAAACAGACATTGTTATAAATGATTCTTGGAGGGAGTGAGGCAATGAGGATTGGCTGGAGGACTCACTCCTGGATCCCCTAACATTCTGTACCTTTGCTAAACCTTGTCACAGAACTGACTATCTTTGTGAGGAGAACAGTTACTTGCTAAGCAGCAAAAGGTGTGTTTTGTTGGCAAACACAGCCCTGAGGTAGCCGCTCCTGGAACATTTCTGACCATGACCCAGCTGCTGACTATTTTATCTATATGAAATCTTACTTGGGTTTGAAAACTTAGTCTAACATTGACAATACTCATTTTTAAGATTTCTTATGCCCAGAACTGTGTTGAAAGTTAAACAATTAAGAAATCTAGGGGAAAATCATATGGCTTAGTATCATGTTTTCAGAAATAGCACCTTTTTCTAACAATGAAGTAAGTTTTCCTTTATCAAAAGACTCCAGCACATAAAATAAATTATCTAGGATTTGTTTCAAAATTTTCTAGTGGGTATATGTGGTGGTGGTGGAGTGGAGGAAGTAGAATATAGATGAAACAAGATTAAGTTAATCATTAATAAAGTTGAATAAGAAATTTGTTATACTATTCTCTATTTAAGTAAATGTTTGAAATTTTCTATAATAGAAAATTAAATAAAAAGGGACACCAGTGCAAATTCAAACCTCAAAACAATTTCATGGAAATAAAAAAGAATACAGGGAGAGGAAGGAGGTAAGGTGATAGAAATAACCTTTGGTTCACAATACCTCAGTTATTTATACTACTGATTATTGCATATGACATAAATAATAATTTACAATAACCAGGTAGATAGATGATTTGGTGAACCACTGTGCTATTGATATAAAAATAACAGATACTATCTACTGATTCAGTGAAGATTCTCTAAAAAGTTTTTAAAATTGGGGAGGTGGCTGCTTTGGACTTTAATTACACAATTTTCTCATTGAAAGAAAAAAAGCCACACTGCTGGCTGCATCATACCCATTATTCACTTATCAGATACTTACTGAGCACCCACTATGTGCAGAAAGTGGGGCTAGACTTCAGGGAGTTTATGGTTTTGGAAGAGCAAGTGGATTCAACATATATTTTCTTCACCTTTCAAATAAAACCAGCCCAGCGGTTTGGCTCAGTGATTAAGCATTGACCTATGAACCAAGAGGTTACTGGTTCGATTTCTGGTCAGGGCACATGCCCGGTTTGCTGGGTTTCAGGCTCAACCCCGAGTAGGGAGCGTTCAGGAGTCAGCCGATCAGTAGATGTGTTTCTCATCAATGTTTCTATCTCTCTACCAGTCTCCCTTCCTCTCTCTAAAATCAATAAAAACATATTTAAAAAAAGCAAATTGCAGGATCTTGCTTAGGATCAGCAGACATTTGCTATGATGGCTTGAATCTAGCTGAATCTAAAGCACATTAATTGATGCTCACTTTGCTCAATTAAAGGAAGAGTTTATTGTATTTAAGAATGTGCAAAGGGCCGAGACCGGTTTGGCTCAGTGGATAGAGCGTCGGCCTGTGGACTGAAGGGTCCCGGGTTTGATTCCGGTCAAGGGCGTGTACCTGGGTTGCGGGCATATCCCCAGTGGGAGATGTGCAGGAGGCAGCTGATCGATGTTTCTCTCTCATCGATGTTTCTAACTCTCTATCTCTCTCCCTTCCTCTCTGTAAAAAATCAATAAAATATATTAAAAAAAAAAAAAAAAGAATGTGCAAAGGGTAAAATGACTTTGCAACATTTTAAATAAAAATAAAATGTAAACATTTCTACCTGGGGTCCTTACTCTCACATACCCAAAGCTTAAAGCCTTTTGCATAAACTCTTTCTTGAACTTCACTCACTCATCTAAAAAATACTTCAAAGCACCTAAGATGAGCCACACGTTGTACTAGGCACAGAGGCTAGAGAGCGGTAACTAATACAGGCAAAAATCTCTGCCCTAATGGAGCACATATTCTAGTTTTTGACATGTCTCCCCACTACCTCCACCCACTAAGTAGACCCCTAAACAAGATCTGGCCATTACCCTCCAACATCTGCCACTGGAGGCTAATTTGCTTATCTCTACTTCTCTAGCACCTACCATAATGGCTGGCATGTAGAAGAAACTTAACTGTTTGATTAAAAAAATATATTATTTATTAATAGTTTAAGCTTTAGAAATCTAGAAGGTTCATTTAAGTAAAATTCTTAATCCCCTAGTAACCCCAAGTCACTAACGCATTATTGTACACTAGAGGCCCGGTGCATGAATTCATGCACCAGTGGGTCCCTCGGCCTGGCCTGTGGGATTGGGCAGAAACCGGCTCTCTGACATTCCCCAAGGGGTCCCGGATTGTGAGAGGGCGCAGGCCAGGCCAAGCGACCCCACCAGTGCACAATCGGGGCCAGGGAGGGACGTGGGAAGTTGGCCAGCCTGAGAGGGACCACAGGAGGGCTCCAGGGCATGTCCGGCCCATCTCATTCAGTCCCAATCAGCTGGATCCCAGCAGCAAGCTGTCTACCCCCTGGTTGGCAGTGCACGTCATAGCGACTGGTCAACCGACTGACTGCCCCATGGTGGTCAGTGCACATCATAGTAAGTGGTTGAGCAGCCTTAGCATATCATTAGCATCTTACACTTTGATTGTCTGAACAGCCGACTGGTGGACTGGACACTTAGCATATTAGGTTTTTATTATATAGGATTAGGTTCATTTTTATTAAACTAAGAATATACAACAGTATATTACATAGAAAGTAGTTCTATTTTCGGCTTCATACCGATTTAGCTAAAAAACTTTCCAGATAATAAACCATTAATTATTGCTTACACATTAGGTTTTACATTTTTTAAATGAAGCCCAAAACTGACATACTCTATTAAATACACCAAAACACTGGAACAAATACTAAACATGTCATTCTCACAACTTTCTGTCCTAGATGATAAGTGAATTTTTTTTTCAGGCAGTATAGTAAATAAACCAGCTGTCTCTGCCCAAAATAACTATGGTTCAAAAGTAGAAATGGCTTTGACTTTCCCACCTCCACTTCCTCTGACTGGATTACTTCTTCTACAACAAATATAGGTCAAAATCAACTAAAGTAACCTTCAAGAAGTTGGCCAAATTTTCTCACTGTGGCAAATACCACTTGAAATGAACCAGTATTGAAATGAACATGTCTAGTATTGTAGAACATACAAAGTGTGCTCTCAATTAATTTTGGCTGATCAATTGCAAGTAACATGGCCAATGCTCAACTATCCACATGGACCTAGAATGATGGTTTTTGTTATCCACATAATAAATACGGATTTCAAAACAGATAACTCATTTTATAGAAGATTTGTACTTCTAGGCATACTTAATCAAGAAAGGATTAGACCTATTTTCTTCACACAGATATCGTTATGTTATTCCTTACAAAAATATATTTTTAATAAGTGTGCTAGTCTAGTCTTTTAAATTTGCTTTGTATTATTCACATCTTGCTAAAGTAAGTCTATCAGTAGAGAGGACTAGGATATTATATTATTCAAAGGATACAAGAAGAAATCAGGTAAGTGAAAACTTTTTGAGGATGACCATGACATTAACCATGGCTAAACACCACATTGTATTTCCACACTAGACAACTTCCTTTCAGAAACTATTTGCTGAATACCTAAAGTAACTAGCAGCTCAATAAACCTTTGACACCTCTGCACTTTTCTCTCACTTTAGCCTCTTCAAATTTCATTAACAGGCTTTACCTTCGGGGGTGATTGCTGCAGCTTGTTGGCACTTCCTGAATGCTGCAGTCTTAGGGCCCGGGGGATAAATTCGGGTGCCAGTGGATTCAACACATATGTCTTCTTTAGTTCTAAAGCCTCTAGTTGAGCTTTGATCTGTTCAAAAGTGATTCCGTGTAGGCTATTATTTTCATGACACAGGGCAATAAACCGCTCCCAAAACTTCCTACAGAAAAGATTGAGAAGATCAGTTTACTATTTCAGTGGGTGAGAGCACAGAAATAAACATAAGCTACTGAAGAGCATTTCAAATTTCCTTCCCCCTCCCTAACTCCTCAGGTTCGATATTCATCTGTGATTCAGATATAATCTTCCCACTAAATCATAAAACTTCAGAGGTTGATTCTGAAATGAGAGCCATGTCTAGTATGCTCTCAATTAATTTTGGCTGATCAATCGCAAGTAACATGGCCAATGCTCAACTATCCCCATGGACCTAGAATGATGGTTTTTGTTATCCACATAATAAATAAGGATTTCAAAAAACATAACTCATTTTATAGAAGATTTGTACTTCTAGGCATACTTATATATACATATATGTACACAGATACATTATATACACATACACATATCATATATATCACACACATACACATGCACACGCAAATTAAACTAGTTTAAATTATAGAGCCAACGTAGCCTGGTGCTGGATAACAAAGAAAAGCCAACTCAGGACATAAATCTGATATACAAAGTAGATAAACCCCTCATGAGGATTCTTAAGAAATAACTAGCTATTCCTGTATTTTTCTCTTACTTAACAAATGCTTGTCACAAGCACAAGTTATCACATTGACTAAGTTGAGTTAAATTAATTATGAAAAATACAGGAAGTTGGAGCACTAATTTTAATGCTGATTATTCATTTCCTAATCACATTAATAAATATTAAAGGAGAAAAATACATTCAAAACTTGTTGTAGTTGTATACTGTTGCTCCTAGAGGTGAAAATTGATCTCTAATGTAAATAAAATATTAAAAACAGATTATAAAAGACAACATATAAAATGTTTAAAAATTTTAAATGACTATTGTAAATATGCATGCCTATCTTTAATATGAGATTCAAATAATGTTTTATTATGCTATAAAAGATACGTGAAATGGATTCCCAAGTTGGTATCCTTGTGTCCATGTGGATAGCAGGTAATCAAGATGGCTTCAAGAAGCATAAGTGAAAAGGTTTATATTATAAAAGTTAGCATATGAATGAAAATTAGGTTATTAATATATTCATAAAACTTTGCAGTTTGATTTTCAAAGTATGTTTCTCTCACCTATGTCTTCTACCATCTTTTCTAATTTCTTAAAGATGAGTTTAAAAGATGGGTCCTGAAAAAATTTCAGGCCCAAATGCCAACAACAGGAAAAGTAGAAAATGCTACAAAATATTATCATGCATTCTTGACAATAAGTCATAAAGGCTAACAATTTAGTCATTCAGTTATAGGATGTGTGTGTTTTTAAGAAACACACACTAAAATTTGCTCTTTATTTTTTATTCTTAAGCACTCTTCTGAAGGAATCAAGAAATTTTTTTCCTCATAGTCTAATAGCTAAGGAAGGACTACCTTTAATTAGCACTCAGGATCTAAAAATCCATAAACTTTCCCACCTTTTTGATTTAAAAAGCCACAATATTCAACTGTATGAATATTTATCAACACAATTCTACTACATGCTGTATTCAAAAGGAAGTTTTTGGTCTAATTGATAAAATATCAGTTTTATAAGAGTGTCATTTCATATCTGTATGAAACCTCAAGACACACTAACACAACAAGGAGAGAATGGATTGGCTTTTATTCTAGCTCAGTTGTTAATATCAATTTCTTACAATATATTTTCAGCTTACTTGGCCAAAATACTAGAACTTTGCTCTATTTTCAAGCTACCTTTTAAACTCTATACTTTCTTCCTATACTGCCCTCACTGACCTCAAATGCAAGGAACAGGAGTTGAAGTCCCTTCAAACAACCTCAGACTCAACAAGAAGCTAGTAGCTCCCTGACAGTCTTTGTCTGCAAAAACTCAGGAATCTCAAAGCAGCAGCCTTTACACTGAAAGTCTCCAATTCAGAAGTAATACTAAACACTGTAAGTTAATCAAGTTAAACTAGTTCTGAAAGTAACCTGAAATTTCCATTTGAAATCTCACTTCTATTTTTTTTTTAAATATATTTTATTGATTTTTTACAGAGAGGAAGGGAGAGAGATAGAGAGCCAGAAACATCTTTGAGAGAGAAACATCGATCAGCTGCCTCCTGCACATCTCCCACTGGGGATGTGCCCGCAACCCAGGCACATGCCCTTGACCGGAATCGAACCTGGGACCTTTCAGTCCGCAGGCTGATGCTCTATCCACTGAGCCAAACCGGTTTCGGCTCACTTCTATTTTAATTGCCCCATTGATATAGCAAAATTGGTCAAGAGCCTGGATTCCAGAACTAGACTGCTTGGATTCAAAGTGGCTGTCATTCATTCAGTAGCTGTGTGACTTCAGGCAAATTACTTAACTTCTCTTTGTACCTCAGTTTCTTCATGTGTAAAATAGGGCACCAACAGTATTATTATTAAACTTTTTATTATTGAAATATTTTATTATCAACAGTATTATATTTTATTATTGAGAAGACTTCTCACTTTTAAACTTCTCAGAAAAAGATTTTTATTCCTTTAAAAATTATTTGTTTTAAAGCTAAAACTTTTCATTTTTTCTCTCTTTGTAAAGGCTCAAGACTATTTGCACTGACCTTGAATTCCTTAATACTTTAATGAAGCACTATGCATGGCATCATAAGACATTTCTGAACACTTAACTGAAAGATCAATTGAGAATTTCATCTACGCTCAAAATGAGAATAAGAATTCACCACTAAGGCTTCACCAAGTCTTAGACCCTCCCTAAAATCTGAACCTATTTTTTATGTTAACAATTTTTTCAAGTGTGTCTCTACACTTTAAGTATTTCAAAAGACATAACATTAGTTTTAATCACTACATGGATGCAAAATTTGGTTTTATTTTTTATGCTTCAAGGATCACTGATAAAACATTGAAAAATCACTTGATGTCCTTAGTTGACAGAGTGTGTGTGTTTGTGTGTGTGTGTATGCAGACACACATACACACACCTCTACACATATGTGAAATACATTTATATCTCACAGAGTAAATGGAACTTGCAAATAAAGAAACTCAGCTAAATAGAAGACCTTCCCCAAACACATTGGTTTGGAGACATGTATGACTCCCCTCCTTGCCTCTCTCCATTTATAGATTTATCCTGGGAAAGGCAGGGTAAACCAGTGAGAAGAGCTTGGGTTTTCAAGTCAATCTGACATCTGTGTGAGTGAACCACTTAACAGCTATGTGACCCTGGCAGTAATTTCAACTCTCTGAATCAGGCAGCCCATCTAAAATGAAAATAAAACACCCACATTGCAGGGCTGTCGGGATGACTGAACATGGCAAAGTATGCAAAACACTTAACCTAGCACCTGGCACAGAGAAAGCTATCAATAAACAGTAGCTATCCTATATAATAAAAGAGTAATATGCAAATTAACCCTAACAAAACTACCAGGAACGACGGGTCGCTATGATGAGCACTGACCACCAGGGGGCAGATGCTCAACGCAGGAGCTGCCCCCTGGTGGTCAGTGCACTTCCACAGGGGGAGCTCCACTCAGTCACAAGCAGGGCTGATGGCTGCGAGCACAACAGTGGTGGCGGGAGCTTCTCCCACCTCTTTGGCAGCACTAAGGATGTCGGGCCTAAGCCATCAGTCGGACATCTCCTGAGGGCCTAAGTTGGCAGGTGGACATCCCCCAAGGGGTCCCAGTCTGCGAGAGGGCACAGGCTGGGCTAAGGGACCCCCCACCCCCAAGCACATGAACTTTCATGCACTGGGCCTCTAGTAAATAAAGTACAACAAAAAAGATTATATAGTCAGTTGCCTTCTAAAGTGATAGTATATACACAGTAATTATTCCTTGAAAACTTGATCACTATTTGGAAATATCATATTAGTGTTTTTTTAAATATCAAATGGGAGAGAGGGTGAATGATTAGATCAAATTACAAAAAATGTATGCCTCCATTTTTATAGTACCTAAGAATCATATTATGATCTCCAGGTTTACTTGTATTGTGAAATTAAATTTCTAACAAATTTAGAAAGATTAAAGCATAAATATCCATAGTCCTCAACCATCAGCTCTTGGATGCAGTGGTTCTCAACCTTCTGGCCCTTTAAATACAGTTCCTCATGTTGTGACCCCACCATAAAATTATTTTCGTTGCTACTTCATAACTGTAATATTGCTACTGTTATGAATCATAATGTAAATATCTGATATGCAGGATGGTCTTAGGTGACCCCTGTGAAAGGGTCGTTCGACTGCCAAAGGGGTCGCGACCCACAGATTGAGAACTGCTGGATTAGAGCCATGATTAAACAGTCCAAATAGCATAATCAACATTCCTATTTAGCTATTGGTCACATGACTTTTTTCTCCCTACACAATATACTTACTTCTCTGAAAGTATTTTGCTTAGCTTACAAATTAATTTGTAGTCTCTCGAATACCCCAGCTTAGCAGTAAGAAATAAGCAACCAGTAGAATTGGCTTCAAGTTAAAAATTAAGAAACTAAATCTGACAGCATGGCCTCAGAAAGAATCATTCACCCATTTGCTCTGAGAAAGTAACGGTTTTTATCAGAGATGGGGTGAAAATGCTGATCTCATACAATTCACAGTCCTTTACTCTATAGGACGGGGTAAAGATTTTTAAAAAGTGTTCATGTTGGTAAATATTTGGAGTTATTTATAAGGAGAATCCAAAACACATGCAGCTCAACATTATTATTTTACCTATTCATTCACCCAACAGTTTTTAGTTAGTTTTAATACATGCCATCCCATTTTACACATGTGTTTTAATCTATTAAATTCGAATCAAACTATATGTACTCTCACATTTATCAAATAGTAAACAGAAGAAAAATGATACAATATCACAGCAATATTCCACCTACATACACTTTCAATAAACAATAAAATAACTAAAGTAAAATTCTCGGGAGGAAGGCCAAATTAATATGCTTAATTTTATTAATTTGTAACTTGAAATTAATATATTTCCTTCCCCAAGTCTTTGTCATTGCCAGCTAAAAATAAATGGAAATCTATATTTTAAATATGAAATCAAACATATTTTACAGCAGAATTGTTTAGCTATACATTCATAAACCATTGAAGTTGTGTGCTTTTGTTGTTGTTAATCCTCACATGAGTATATTTTTCCACTGATTTTTAGGGAAAGTGGAAGAGAGAGGGAAAGACAGAGAGAAACATCGATGTGAGAGAAACACATAGATTGGTTGCCTCCTGCACAAGCCCTGACTAGAGGAAGAGCCTGCAACCAAGGTATGTGCCCTTGACTGGAATGAAACCCAGGACCCTTTGGTCTGCAGGCTGATGCTCTATCTGCTGAGTCAAACTGTCTAGGGCCATTCAAGTTTTAAAAGGTTATTTTTCATAATGTAACCATAAATTAAAGCTCCTCTTGATCCCTTTGTTAATGGTTTTCCCTATTAAGAATATTAACTTCTTTTGGAGTCCTAAACTCTAATACTTGCAGCTTATTCTTAATGGTCTCAAATGGTTACCCTTTCCATAGAATGCTTTTTTGCTGCTGAAATAGAAAAAAGACAGTAAAATACTGCCATATCTATATTGCAACAGAAAGCCTAGTTTAAAGAGGGCCACTTCCTACTTTAATTCTAACATATCAAAAAGGCATATTTAGAACTGTCTATATCACTTTCTACAATTCTGAACTCATTTTGACAGGTACTACAATACTTAAAAAATTTTAAGTAGACCTGGCCGGTTTGGCTCAGTGGATAGGTTCAGCCTGCAGACTGAAGGGTCCCAGGTTCGATTCCAGTCAGGGGCATGTACCTTGGTTGCGGGCACATCCCCACTAGGGGGTGTGCAGGAGGCAGCTGATCAATGTTTCTCTCTCATTGATGTTTCTAACTCTCAATCCCTCTCCCTTCCTCTCTGTAAAAAAGTCAACAAAATATATATATTTTTAAAAAATTTTAAGTAATCCCTACCATTTTTTCATAAAATATTATAAATTTCTATTCTAATGATTTTTTGTTAATGTTAACATAGTTTTTAAATACTGCAAATGCCAAGTCTTATATTGCTGGCTTCATGCAGTTAAAATCCCTGTTAACTGGTATAAATCAAAAGTGTATAGAGAAATTTTTTATGTTAACATTTTAACAGCACTTTAGTAGAAATAGTTACTATGACTACAAATCTAAGTAATACCAACAATGATATCCAAAGACAAGTAACAAACAACTTTTAACCACCCTGATTTTCAGAACCTTTGGATTAACCAGACAGGAAAAATTATTTACATTAGGAAGCCTTGAGAGAAAAATGAGTGGAGAAGGAAATTCATCAAAATGAGCTGAAACAATAATGAAGGGAAAAAAACGCAGTATCGATATAAAATGTCATTTCCATCAAAGAGACACACACAAAACACCCACTCAGGATCCTTGTATTAGCTGTTCCCTCTTCCTGGAGCACTTTTACCCCAGGTCTGCACAGCGTACTCCCTCACCACCAGTGTTAGCTTCTCAGCGAGGCCTCCTCTGACCACACTATGACAATCACAAGCCAGCCCACCCCACCAGGCCTGTCATTCCTAATTCCCCTTAATGTGCTATTTCTCTTCCATTGAACTTCCCATGTAAAATATAACACTATCTTATTTTGTTTATTGTCAGTCTTCTTTTCCTCCCCAATAATATGTAAGCCCCTCAAAGGCAGAGATTTTTGTCTGTTTCATTCACTGACCTGTCTTCAGTGGCTAGAAGAGTGTTTACAACATAGTAAGCACTTGAGAAACATCTGTTGACCGATGACTGAATGAATGAATACACAATTAAGTATAAAATAGACTCAAAGCAATATTTTTTTGTGTTCCTTCTGTTTATCAGGTAAAGTTAAACTTGATTTTAATTAGCCAAGAGGTCATATAAATAAATGTACACATAGGTATACAAATTACTCTACATTTTCCCCTTTAATTTCTCAAATCAGGAACACATAATTACCTGCATCTTCCAATGGAGCACAGAGCAATGGGATCACCTACCACAGCAACCAGGGACTGTGCTCTTGTGATGGCAGTGTTGAGAAGTTTGTAGTTAGATAAAAAACCATAATCTAAATCCTCTGTGGAATCTTCCAGCAGTTGTTCTTTCTTTTTAATTGGTGTCTGTTTATGTTTACAAGTATGCCTTGTCCGTACTGTGCTAAGAAACAAAACTCTGAATTGCTTTCCTATTAAAAATAAATAAAAAAGACTTAAGATTGTTATTCTGAAGGACTGATAAAATAAAAGCATTTCTTTCTGCCTTTTTTAATGTTATTGCTAAATGACAGGTATTGGCAAGGATGTGGAGTAACTGGAACTCATGCACGGCAGGCGAGAATGTAAAATGGTATATAAAACACTATGGAAAATAGTATGGTGGTTCCTCAAAAAATTAAACATAGAATTAACATGATCCTGCAATTCCACTTCTGGGAATCAATCCAAAAGAATTAAAAGCAGGGACTCACACAGATATTTGTACACCCATGTTCACAGCAGCACTATTCAAAATAGCCAAAAGGTGAAAGCAACCCAAGTATCCATCAACAGATGAAAACATAAATGTGTATATACATATATACATATATAAAATATTATTCAGCCTTAAAAAGGAAAGAAATTCTGACACAGGCTACAACCTGATGAACCTTGAAGACATTATGCTAAATGAAATAAGCCAGCCACAAAAGGACAAATAGTGTATTACTGCACTCAAATGAAGTACCTAGAGTAGTCAAATTTATAGATAGAAAGTACGATGGTGGTTGCCAGGGGCTGGGAGGAAAAGGGAAGTGGAATGAACACATAAAAATGGTTAAATGGTAATTTTTTTTAAATTTTAGTATTGCTGGAACCAGCCTTAGTGATTCCGAAGTCCCACTCAATACAAGGAACCTTCATTAAAGCAGGGTCATCTAACCTCCTGCTGATTCCATAAGGAACCCTTATTGAAGATAGTTCGTACAATAAATCTCTAATGCTCTTTCTTATAGTAACACGTATATTCCCTCTTTCTATGAACGACCTCCAAATATTTGAACACAGTTTTCACATTAGGCTTTTCTTCTGTAGGCCAAACAATCCTACTTCTTTCGACTACTCCTGGCTCCCCTGTGGCAGTTTCTATAGCCAGATCTCCGTTGGGTGCTTCCTAGTTTACTAGTTCTATTCCTTCTAAAATGTAGCCAAATTCTGTGTGATCTGGACAACATGTGGTACAAGGGAGTTATTTTTCCCCATGATTTAGAAATTATATTATTCTTACTCTTGTATATTACCATGAAACCTGAGATTGTACTAGGCTTTTTCAGCATTCACATCATAGTGTTGTTTCATTATTTAAAAGCACAAATTTTATAGCAACTAGTTGCTGGTAACCATTCACTGAGGAAAGTCTGCAGATGGAAAACAAGCTGTGCCTTTAAAAATGCATTTAAGCAGAACTTGCTTGCCAGGTAGAAGTTTGTAAAAATCTTTATGAACAAATTAGTCCTCAGAATGTAACAACAGTAGGCGTATGCTACAGATAGCGTGTGTAATTTATACAATTACAGTCATAGAAAAAGTTAATTTGTTCATACTTCTTTTATTTGGATATAAAAATCTAACAAACATATAAATGAGCTCAATCTTTAATTGCCAAATTTGGCATTAAAGAACTTGATATGAAATGAAGACATAATTACTTCTCCAGGAAAGAGATCTTGAGAATTAAAAATCCAATGTGCACACACTTTAAGATTTAATCATCTGAATAACTTAGTTTGTTTCAATTAATACTCACCTTGAACATTTAGCACCCTTTCTACATTAACATCAGATAATCTCTTTTTTCGAAGTTCAGCACGTATCCTAAACACTTGATCAGCATATGGAGTCACCACACCGATACTGCCATCATCTAACTTCCCCCATGCTACTGGCCATTTCCTTCTTAACTCTTCCACACGCTCCACCACTTCAAATACCTTTAAACAAACATACATACACATATTAAAAGTTATGCAAGTGTTTAGAGAAAAGAATATGGTAACTGAAATAGATGTATAAAGGATTCCATTTTATCATTTTAAAATTACCTCTAAATAAGAATAATGCTTTGCTTTTATAAACACATTGAGAATTAAAACATTTTATTTACATTTCAAACAGTAAATTCTAAAATGCACTCAGTGAAAACATGAAAATGAGACAATGTAATGGCAACTGGCCCCTCCCTTTACCCAGTCTCCTCCGTTCTTAAATAAGGACAGGTTTAAGTTCCTGTGTAGGAAGAAGGACAAGGATATGGCCATAAAACTGACAACCCCATTTAGGGAAACAGAGAAGCAAATCCTGACAGTCTCAGTAGTTCTCAGTCCACTCTCTCCAGATCAGGCAAAAGAACCTAACCACCAACTAGAGATGCCTAGAGTGAGTGCCACCATTCAGTCTCAGCAGTGCAAGGTCTAGCACTGCCCTTCCTCCACTGATATAACTAAGCAGAGCAGCCAGCATCTGGTACCTAACCACTGCTGGGACTAGGACAAATTTGGATCAGAGACAGACCTTCAGAATTCACTGTTATCTAGCAGTACAACTTCGCCCAAGCCATTTCATGAACCTTGCAATAAAGTAATGGCATATTTTACCCAAATGAATATTTTAGATGCCATTTATTGGGCTCTTAATGTAGGTCAATCTATTTTAATTCAATGAATTGACCAAACCGTTTCAATGCTTAGCACAGTGGGAAATACAATAATTAAGAAAACATGTTCCTTGCCTAAGAGATTACTGTGCATTTAGAAAACAAATTCCCAATTAAAAATATATATATAACACAAGCTCAATAGAGGATCAGACAAGAGTCTAGAGAGGAAGGAGAAATATTTTTAATGTCTTTTAAATATATTATTTATTTATTTACGGCTAGAGGCCCAATGCATGAAAATTCATGCACTGGAGGGCGAGGGGGGTCCCTCAGCCCGGCCTGCCCCCCTCTCACAGTCTAGGAGCCCTCAGGGATGGGAGGCGACCCGGCAATCAGGGGAAGGTGACTCCCCCATCACACCTCTGCTGCTGCCACTGCCCGCAGCGCAAGCCTCGGCCAGCCCTGTCTACCTGCGCCTCAGGCCAGCCCTGGGCAGCTGGGCAGCCGCCATCAGCAGCTTGCCTGTTCCTTGGGCTGTGCCTGCTTGCCTGAGCCTCAGTCAGTGGGGGGGTGCAGGAGGACCCAAGGTCCCCAGCGGGGCTGAGGGAACTAGGCACCGCCATCTTGTGGCTGTGGGCGCCGCCATCTTGTGAGGGTGTGATGGTCAATTAGCATATTCCCTCTTTATTATATAGAATTTACTAATAGTATATAAACTGACAGCATTAAATATAGTGAGTAAAATTTGACACTTTTTATTCCTTTCAAGAACTTGAAGATTATTGAATAGAATGTAGTTTCCACTTCCAGATACAAATTCAATGGATGATAGTCACCCTACTGTTATGATGATATAACAGCAAGGGCATCAAATACACAGACTGTCCAAGGATTCTGAAGAGCAAACTGGGCTGAAGACATGGTGATCTCATTGTAAGGAATAAGACAAGAGGGTCTGAGTACAAAGGAGGTGAGTGAAAATTGACAGATGGTAACTCAAATCTACAGAAAGAAGTTAAAAGAACCAGAAATAGTAAATAAGAAGGTTAATGCAGCAAACTCTCAGAGTCCTTAAAGGCATAAAATTATATAATTGTAACAATGTATTGTTGAGTTGTAATATACATAAGTATAAAATAAAAAACAATAATAGCACAAAAAAGGGAATAGAGAAATGTAGGAGTAAAGTTTCCATATCTCATTAGAATTAAGTTAGTTTAAATCTGAAGTTGATTCTGATAAGATGTATACTGTAAGACATAGAGAAACCACTAAGAAAACAAATCAAAAATCATTAATGAATAATTAAAGGAATTAAAATATGACAAAAGAAAAATGCACTTAATGCAAACAGTGGTAGTAAAAGAGAAAAGAAGGGCCAAAAAACACATGATATAGAAAACAAAAAGCAAAAGGCAGAGGTTAAGCCCATATCAATAATAACATTATTAGTAAATTAGTGGACCGGTGCACAAAACTCGTGCACATTAAAAGAGAATTAATAAGAGGAAACATTTTAATATTGCTATTTGCCCTTTCTCTATAATAGAAGTGTCAGAGATGAGAGAAAATTAGTAAAATGTATTTGAAAATCTCCCTCCTGTCAGAGTCTGGGGTGTGCCGCGGGACCCAGAGTCAAGTTCCCATCCACCCGCGCACGCCTCAAAATCATGCGAGACCCAGACCCGGCCGGCCCCACACCCGTCAAGCCCCGCAGGGTGGGGGGGCACAGCCTCAGGTCCCCTGGCCCCGGTGCCAGGGTGAGGGGCATGGCCTCAGGTCCTCCGGCCCTGGCGCTGGGGCGGGGGCACAGCCTCTGGTTCCCCAGCCCAGCCTCAGGTCCCCCAGCCTGAGGCAGGGGGTGCGGCCTCTGGTCCCCCGGCTCTGGCACGAGGGCACAATGACCATTTGCATATTAGCTCTTTATTATATAGGATTTATTATATAGGATGTAAGTGATTTAGACAATTTGATCAAAAGGAAATTCTTTTTAGACTAGAATTAAAATAAAAACATAAAACACGATGCAATGATTTGGTCTATAAGAGACATACTTTAGATTCAAAGGTAAAGATAAAAGGATAAGAGTGAAAGGGTGGGAAAACATGCCATGCAAATAGCAACCATGAGTTAGCTGGAGTAACTATGCTAATATTAGACAAATTGACTTTAAAACCAAAAACAAAATGTTACCAGAGATATAGATGGACATTTTAAAATAATAAAAAGGTCAATCCACAAGAAAGATAAAACAATTATAAATATATGTAACAACTAACTACAGAGTCCCAGTATATATAAGGCAAAAAACATGTCCCCTCTCTGCCATAAGTTCCATCATACCTGGTGGATTTGTTTTTTAATAACTGTACAAGTCTTTCTACCTCTCACTTATCCCATCTTAATTGTTTCCATAGCTCCTCTCTTCACACTGAATTTCTCAAGGTTAAGAATCATGTATTGGTGCTTAGTGTTTAAATTCTGCTTCCCTCCATCCACCAACTTGGCATTATATTGAGACCATTTCATTATTACAGGATATGAGTACAGTCAGAATCAAGAAAAAAAAAAAAAAAGGCCGAAACCGGTTTGGTTCAGTGGATAGAGGGTCGGCCTGCGGACTGAAAGGTCCCAGGTTCGATTCTGGTCAAGGGCATGTACCCTGGTTGCAGGCACATCCCCAGTAGGAAATGTGCAGGAGGCAGCTGATCGATGTTTCTCTCTCATCGATCTTTCTAACTCTCTATCTCTCTCCCTTCCTCTCTGTAAAAAATCAATAAAATATATTTAAAAAAAAAAAAGAAAGAAAATAAAAGGGACAGAACCTAGAGACAGAACCTAGCGAGAGAACATGGCAAAAGATCCTGGGCAGAACCTGGCTACAGAACTTGGCTGGAGAACCTAGACAGAACCTGGCTGAAGAACCTGGCTACAGAATCTGGCAACGGAACCTGACTGAAGAACCTAGACACAGAACCTGGCTAGAGAACCTCGCTATGATGATCATCTGAATGCTGACTCCATGTCATTCCTTCTTCGCTGACTCTGTCCACACCTTTGGAGGCCCCTGGACCTGCTGGGGTTGGACCCCAGCAGCAAAGTGTTCAGAGTAGTGCCTTCATTTAGTAAGCACAATACATGTGCTTGTTGTATAAATAGAAATGTAATTCATCATCAACATTAAAACATGCGAAATTTCTAAAAAAAAAAAAGAAAAGAAAAGGGATGACCTTTCTCACTCTTTTATTCTGCCATGTTAAGCGTGTGAAAGACACAAATTCATATAATAGACAAACACATGATATAAAACAAAAAAACATGTTCCCCAAACAAAGGACAATTATACACAACAAAAATGCTGTAAATATTCAGCTCCAGATTCTTTAATTTTCCTTTTAATTTCATCCTCTGTTCTAAGATCCTTATGACTGTAAGTCTGTGTGAGTCAAAAGTATTTTTATAATGATGAAATCTAAACCATTCTCAAATCTCATAATGTCCTCCTAAACTTTAGTCAGAACCTCTATACAAGAAAAAAATCTCATGTTTCCCCTATTGATGTAACTGGTACCACTTGCTTTAGAACACTTGCCTCTCTCTGTCAGCACTCACCCTACCATGGTTGGTTTCCTAGATCTGAGTTTCACTTATACATACTCTACCCTCAAAAAAAGTCCAAGCATGCCTACACTGGTATTCAAAACTTGAAAATCTTGCCTATAAACCAATGAGCTTCTACTCCTAGCCCAGGCAATATCTATCCCACTCTATCAGCCCCAGTGAACAAGGATTAGTTTTTGCCCCTTGAAGAAAGAGCCTCCAGGCTCTTTTCACTGGAGCAACTCACTGGGCTGAAGAAAGTGACTAAACAACCATGGTCTAGTTAGTGGTGAAGTTCAAGGTGGCTTCACATTTCTCTAAAGTTACATAGTTAATATTTAAAGTTCACACAAATCTTTGTGTTTAAAATATGAAAAATATTTCTTTATCCAACCCCCAAAATTTTTTTAGTATATTGACAATCTAGGGCAGTGGTCGGCAAACTGCGGCTCGCGAGCCACATGCGGCTCTTTGGCCCCTTCAGTGTGGCTCTTCCTAAGCCTTAGGAGTACCCTAATTAAGTTAATAACAATGTACCCACCTATATAGTTTAAGTTTAAAAAATTTGGCTCTCAAGAGAAATTTCAATCGTTGTACTGTTGATATTTGGCTCTGTTGGCAAATGAGTTTGCTGACGACTGATCTAGGGTGGTGCACCTTATTTACTCTATAGCTTGCAGGTTTCCTGGGAAACACACATGTATGTCCCCATGAAGGAACAGTGGCCCTGGCTGAGAAGCTGAGCCTCTGGCAAACACCAACCCTGCCTCAAGATTACAGTTAGGGCTCAGCTCTGACCCCTGGTGGCAAGGCAGGACCACCAAGCCTGCTAGAGTTCAAGCTTGCCTCTCCATGTCAGCACTCACCCCACCATTGCTAGTTTTCTAGTTTCTAGGTCAGTGGTTTGCAACCTGAGAGTAAAAGTAATAAAGAAAAACCTAGAGTTATTTGTCAATATTTCAAACATTTAAAGAAAAGTATACCTTTTCTTAAAATTAAATGGCACAGACTAACTGAAATGTCAAGTTTCTTTGCTTTCCGCTAGGATTTTATCAAGTGGGTACTATTGATTTTCTTGTACCAACTTCTAACTACAGGCCTCTGATCAATTTTTTAAAGAAAAGTGAATTACTATTACATCATAAAAGCCATGTCTTTGAAAATAAAATGAGTAAAGAATGGGACTTAAGGAATAAAGCAAGATGGATATCGTAGATCAAGAGCAATTCCCCCAATGATTAACCAGGAACCTCCCCCCAGCCCTTCTCTGGGTTTCCTGTAGTCCAAAACTCCATGCACTGTGATGACCAGAACTTATCTAAAGGATCTCTGGCTTGCTGACCCCTAAAGACTTCACCAACTTTTTGTCTGCTGCCTGATCTGACCCCTCATACTACTCACACTCTTCTGAAATTAAAGTCACATTGTAAGAGGACCATATAAGTTGTAGCACATAATGGGTTAGCAACATCATCACCTCAGTCTGTGTGATCTCTCTGGAGCACAGAATTCTGCAATTCAAATCTTACTCACTTAAAATGATATGTCATTTGAGTATGCACAATAATATATAATCATAGTCTATTTTAGATGGCTAACAATAAACCTATATAATAAAAGGGTAATATGCAAATCAACTGAATGGCCAAACAGCAGAACAACCATCCGGACGACCATCCAGGACCACACTATGACACCCACTGGTGCCAGGCCAGCCAAGGCAGATGCAATGCAATTGGTTGGTGGCCCAGCCATCACCCCATAATCACCCCGCAGAGGGAGGCCCAGGCCACCGGCCAGCGGGGCAATCAATAGGGGGGCTCCACGATTGCCCCGCAGAGGGAGGCCCAGGCCACCGACCAGCGGGCAGGTGGGCAGGGCCTCCCTCTGTGTAGGAAGCTCAGGTCCCGAATGCTGGAGGCCAGAGAGAAGCCCGGGTCCCAGAGGGAAGCCGGTGTCGGCAGCCGGGGGAAGGCAGGCCTACTCTTGCACAAATTTCATGCATCGGGCCTCTAGTAATATATATAAAATAACACCAACTTTTCTTCTCAATGAAGTCATGTATTTTGTATTTTATCATAAGACAACATGTAATTCAAAGGTTTTGTTTCCTATAGGAGATTCATCTTAACCAATCAGTTACACAAGAAAGAATGAACTTTACATACTATTTTCATGTAAATGAAGTCAACACCTAATAAGATGTCAACCCAAATTTTTTAATAAATGCTCTCAACAAGACCAGGCTATGTGACTGTGAACTATCAACAATTTGCAAAAGAACTAAGGTACCTCTGCATTATTATAATAAGCTGTGCTATTTTTTTCTTGTACATCTTCCCCTCGAGCTGTAAAGAAAGTGAGTGGGTAGAAATCCTTGTGTGCTGGTTGCTTTCCACTGGCCATCAGTTTGCCCTCATAGAAGAGCTCAGAGGTGTAACTGCAGAAAAAGACCAAAATAAATAAGTAAAGAGCAATCTATTATCAAAATTCAATTCACCCATAAGAAAATAAATATATCAGTCAATCCTAAAAATGTTGCTTTATGTCCATGATTAATTTTAATCCAAGCATCTAATACCAATGAGGCCAAGATTTTCTCCAAAATCACAGCAATGACATCAGAATAGGCTCCGAGCCGAGGCCGGTTTGGCTCAGTGGATACAGCGTCGGCCTGCGGACTGAGGGGTCCCGGGTTCGGTTCCGGTCGGGGGCATGTGCCTGGGTTGCAGGCATATCCCCAGTGGGAGATGTGCAGGAGGCAGCTGTTCGATGTTTCTCTCTCATCGATGTTTCTGACTATCTCTCTCCCTTCCTCTCTGTAAAAAATCAATAAAATATATTTAAAAAAAAAAAAAGAATAGGCTCCGAATTGCTAAATGAATTGATTTGGGTAAGGTACAAAGCCAGAATACAGAACGAAAAGGAATAAATGACGACAGTTCAATACCAGATGAGAATCTTGCTCTGTGAGGAAATGTGCTAGCTAGTATATTTTCCTGGTTAATAGATTTAGATCATATATATGCAAACAAAGATATTGAAACAATACACACAACTGAAGGACATTCAAGTCTTTAACAATAAAATGAATACATTTTGCAGAAGAAGATACCAGCTAGTACTTGATTCATCAAGGACTGCAGCGAATGACTGGCAACAATCAAAAAGGAAGCACATACTGAGATATTAACAAAGCCACAGTTAAATCTAAATTTTTATATTTATTCTATTGCTTTCAGAGAAACCTAAAAATGGTTTTCACATGACTGACATAATCAACATTATTAAATCATACTAAACTTTAAAACATTTTAAGTTTTTGGTTGAAGGAGGGGCTTTCCAGAGTGCTGGGAATGTTCTTTTTAATGATCTGGGTGCCAGTTACATGGGTGTACTCAGTTTATGACTATTCCCTGAGCTGTCACTTATGATATTTTTATTTTTATGGATGTGGATGTGTACTATATTTAATAGAATCCTTTAAAAAGTTTATTACTAAGTTTCATGGTTTTCCTTCCTCCCTTCCTTCCTTTCAAACAGATTCCTTGTATAAGACGGACACAATAAGCAAACCATTATATAGTTTATCAACATATTTATTTATTACATCATGTATTTTTACACGTATACTATATATTCAGTCACAGAAAAATATATCATAGCTAGTAAAGCTTAAAGTGTTAGTTTCCAGAATTGCCCTATTCTGTGAAAAATCACAGCTCTGACTTCTGAAGTTTCTTTTACAAACATAAAAGTAAACATAATCTGCAACTCAGGAGACCATGTAACACTGCTGGGAATAATTGGTCCCTAGAAACAGTGCTGTTTTGAGTCCCCTCCAGCCAGATCACAGGAAGTGTGATACAGAAAGGGCAGTTCACACCTACTTGATGATAGCTTCATGGGACCGGTAGTTCTCACAGAGGAGGATCCTGCATGGGAACTCAGCGGGGTAATGCTCATAGAGTCGATCAAGTAATGAAACATGAAGGTTTCTCTCCCTGGCAAACTCGCTGTAAACAAAAGGACTGAGCTGTAACAGACAAACATACAGAGAAAACTTAATTAAATATATGAGTAGTATTTTTTAACCTACTCATTAAAAAATCCACTATGCTGGCCCAGCCATTGTGGCTCAGTGGTTGAGCATCAACCTATGAACCAGAAGGTCACAGTTCAATTCACAGTCAGGACACATGCCCTGGTTGCAGGCTCGATCCCCAGTGTGGGGCATGCAGGAGGCAGCCAATCAATGATTTTCTATTATCACTGATATTTCTATCTCTCTCTCCCTCTCCCCTCCTCTCTAAAAATCAGTAAAAATATATATTTTTTAAAAAAATCCACCATGCTGAAACTTCTGATGTACTAAACTTCAACATGCTGAATGTTAGAACAAACAAAAGAAAATATATTTTCTATGAACAATTTTACTAAATTGAATGAGGCTAAAATTTCTAACTTTTCATTTCACTCACCTAGAGTTCCTACACATAGGTTAATAAAGGGCTCCTCCAACATATTAAATAGCCACTACTCAATAATTTCAAGAATGCAACCGATTGCATCATTGGGGGAGTCAATCAGTCAGTTATTTCACTAAAATTGATGAACTATTCATAATGGTGAGCTGGTAGGACATTTTGCATATGAATATAATTTTTTTAATAATTTGTAAAATAATCTTTTTCTCATGACAAAGTATAAAAGGAGCCATTCTTGATTATACCTCTAAAAATAAAAAATAAAATTAAAAAATAAAATTAAATTACTTTTGGCAAAGAAACAAAAACAGAATTTGTTCCTCTACACATTCAACTCTTTGCTGGATGTCTTGACAGCTACAGTACTAGATAGGTTCAATCTTATCTATGGCAGAAGATACTGTAAAACAGATTTTAATAGAAAAATCGTATCTCTCCTTCATGTATAGTATGCAAATACATAAAATCAGACCTCGTTTTGAGACTTTGACCATTATTTTTAATTAAGCACTTTGTTATGATAGCAAAAAATTAACCCTACAGGAAAACAAATGTAGGAACAGGACTTGGGGAATTGTAAAAAAAATAATTTGGATTTAAATTTGCTTTATAAAAAAAAAATAAGACAAATATTCATACTACAGAGAACTGAACTTCAAATTAACAAGCATGAAAATGTTGTTAGACATTGTAGTGGGATTATAATTTTCCTTCAAAAATACCAGTCTGTTTCACTATGAGTGCAGAAATATTTAAAGTACTTAAAGTATAATACATGGCACAATTTCATTGGGTATTTTAGAAAATAACATTAAACATCAACATATAATTCAAAGTTCCTTTGAATATGATGATGCAGAGGGCAATTACCTGCATGTGGTCACCAGCCAAGACAACCCGAGTGCTTTTAGTTGCTAATGCTAGAGGCATAATGGTTTCACACTCCATGGCCTGGGCAGCTTCATCTAACAGAATGTGCGTAAAAAACCCTACAAAGTACACAGTAAACACAGTAAAGCATATTAAAGCAGCAATAGAGGCCAGAGCAGTTTTGTGTGGTTGTATGTGTTTTTTTCATTTCTACTAAAGAAAAAATTTAGTGTGCCAATTTAAGAGTTGTGAATCCTCAATTTAGAAAATCATCCATTTAAATTATTATTTAAAAACCAGAGATTAAAAGGAGTAATTAATTATCTTATTCAATAATAGATACATAAATGGCATCTGGTGCTAAAGCCCCCAATACTAACAGCTGAATTGCTATACTTAAAGATATTTTAAAAGTACCAGGTAGCAACTCTTCACCAAAAAGAAGGGCTGGCAACTAAACACTAAGGGCCAAAGTCCTTTCACTATGTATTCGATGAAACATCAAAAATAAAACAATGGTAGTTCATAAGTAACTTTAACCTAAATATGCGTATTAGACATTAAAATAAAGAAAATCACACTCAAAATCTAATATAAAGAAGAGTTATAATTTTAATTTTAAAATCTAAGATTATCTATTAGCTTATTCACTAATTTGATTAGATTTAGTGTGGAGGCAAAAGTAGGTTTACAGTTGTGAATATGCAAAGTTTATTCTTGTATTATTAATTATTGTATTATTTTCCATACAAACAACTGTAAGCCTACTTTTGCCCACTCTGTATATACAGATGAGATATATATATATGTTTTTTAATCTAAGACCCTACAATGAAAATATCATGCCTGGGGGAAAAAAGACTAATAACAAATGTCAAAAGTACATTATCACAAGTCCCCCAGATGCAAACACCTACAGTAGGAGGCATCCTACATCTTGGTTGCTACTGCCACTCATACTGGGGCACAGAAATCTGTGTACAGGAAGGAGGAAAAGCCCCTTTTCCTCTAAAAGGGGGGGGGGAAAGAGGCAAAAATATCCTTGCTGTCTCAATGTAGAGAAGGAAAAACTTGTCCCCTACTGCCAACTCAATGAGGTTAGAGGGGACCCTCTTTTTACTAACATAGCAAAGAACAGGAAGTAGTTTCTCAACAGAATGATGACATAAAACTCTGAGTTAATCAGCCCACTGTGAGTTGGCCCAAGAACCTAGCCTCTATTTCCATCCCTATTTCTATAAATATCAACAAATTCCAAACAATCTGTTCATACAACTTTCTAATGCAGTAATAACTCTCAAAATCATCCATTTAAACAGATAGCTATGGTTGACAATACAAATATTAATAACTGTTGTCTATTTACCCACAGTGGCCCAAGATATGGACACATGCATTTTTCTCCCTGTTGAAAGAATTGTGCTTCTTGTTCCACAAGACTAATTAAGGATGGTGATTACATAAACACAGAATTAAATTGGAGGGAAACACTGAGACCAGTGAAAAATACCTACTGTTTTCATTATTATAATTAAATAGAGCTAGGTTTGAATCAGGAACTAGATAAATCATTAAATTATTATACCTATTGCTTAAGCTAATAAAGGAACTTGAATTACTCAAGCTGAGCCTTGGTTTTCTTATCTATAAAATAATCCTCCACAGGGTTAATATGAGAATTAAACACCCAGAACAAAGCATAGTTGACTTCTACTAAGTATTCTTCTATACGCTCACTCTTCAAAGCCATTCTTCACTCCTTCACACAAACCTAAACTGTTTAGGAGGTTTGGGTATTTAACCTGTACGGCAAATATGCAGAGTATAACCATAAAGTAATGAGACTGATTGTTAAATAAACATACCAAAATTTACATTTCAAATAAGTGTTGTTCCATTCAAAGAAGTCAGTTGGGAAGAAATATAACTCATTCCAATGATGCAGTCACTGTTCAAAACATTTTTGAAACTCTGCTTTTGTAACTGCCCTCACCAGCCAGCTATGAGCTGCATGCACAAGAAAATAAGTCTCATTACTGAGAGGCACGTCTTTTTTTTTTTTTTCCTGTCTTTTTTACCGCTAATGGTATTGCTGAGTTTGATCACCTACCTACCTTATTTACCAGTCTCAGAAAGACTTACATGTCTCAGAAATATTTTGAAGCTTTTCTAAAATTAAATCTACCTTCAAAAAAGAAAGTTGGCCACCATTCATTATTTAAGATAAAAAGAGGTTTATCAAGGGCCTCCAGGTTTCTACATCCTGGGCCAGGTGCCAGGAATACCAGATGAATAGAGTAGTCTCTACCTTCCAGGATGTTCAAAAGAATTTGTCACTGGCTCTGAAAGCAATTCCAAAAGGAGAGAACAAAAAAGTGTTGAGCCACGCCAACAATTATAATATGGCAGCAATAAATGAATATTCTTCCAAAGCAACTAATTTAAAGTGATACCATTTTTTGATGGTTAAGTTCTGCCATATTTATCAGAATTTCTTGTCATTTTATATCTGTATTTTGTATAACATTAGTTTAATTTTATTTAGCTCCTGTCTTATAACAATCACAATAGTATGTAAAAAAACAACAACAATCGTGATTGTTGTTGTGTCTACACTATACAAAAGTATTTTAAAGCAAAAACTTGAGAAACTGTAAAAAACACCCCAACATTGTCCAAATTGGAATTTTTCATATAATCAATAGTAAATAAATACCATCTGATCAATTAGAGAATAAATAGAATAGCCGTCATTAAAATGTCTAAAATGTCTAAACTAGGGGTTGACAATTTTCGTTTTTTGTAAAGGACCAAACAATATATATTTTAGGTTTTCTTGGCCAGACAATTTCTTTTACAACTATTCAACTAAGCTGTTGTAGCACAAAAGTATCTATAGGTAATAAATAGGTAAATAATTAGGCATGGCTCTGTTCCATCCAATAAAACTTTATTTACAATAGACAACAGGCCACAGTTTGCCAACCCCTGGTCTAGAGTGAATGCAGAAGCCCTAGGCATTCAGAAACCCCCTATTTGTGTCTTGAGTCAGCATACCAGGTTCAAGGTCCAACTGACAGAGGTACTGGGAAGTATTCAAGGTAACAACAACCACTCGGTGCTTAAGAATATCTTCTTTCTGTGGCATCTGAAAGGTGGAATGTGCGCTTGAGATCAAACAGTACTGATGCACAACTGGGTGAACAGTCTTTACCCAGCGATTTCTGAAATATACCCTATAAAAGAAGATAATATTTCCTATTTGTATTTATTAAGTTCTTACCAGTATTTGATTATCAAAATAATGACATTATTATTTAAGACTACAATATCTGGAAATTAGCAAATAAATTGGATAACCATTAACACTCTACTGGATTAGAATTTCACGTACAACTGTGACTTCCCCCTACCAAAAAAGACTCAAACAGAAAGAATATGCACTACTATAAAATAAACATCTAATAATTTTTGTGTTCAGATTTTCTTACAAACAGAATGACACGAAAACAATTTCATAAGCATCAAATTTAAGTTCAAAGCACTGCCATTTAGGAATTACTTTTTCCTAGAAAATTCTTATTTAAAAAATACTTATTGTATTTTAATTATCTATGCTAATTTACAACAGAATTACATACATACAACAGAAATTAAAAAGTTAACTGCATTTCACTTCAGAATATATTGTTATAGCTATATTTAAATCAACCTCTAATGTTCTAGAAATTTAAAAATCAAAATAAATTCTGGACAATCAGAAAATCTTAAAAAATAGGATCTCTTCCATTAATTGCAAAAGAAAAATATTAGTAGGCCGCATGCAATAGGTTACTAAGATGGTACGAAAACAACCTTTCCATCTATCCAACCACTCACCCTCATTGAAACACTGTCTTCCCTCAGCTTCTATGACTCAACCTTCCACTGCTTTCTTTTTCCCTCTCCAGGGTCGGTCGGCATCCTCAAGTCTTAGTCTTGGCTCTCTCCTCTTCTCAAGCTCTGTTCTCTACCCCGACAATCTCATCCAGGCCCTTGGCTTCAATACCCTAATGACTCACACATCCTTCTCTCTCCAACCAAGACCTCTCCTCTGACCTCCAGAATGCATATCTAACTCTTTATTCAATATTAGAGGCTCGGTGCATGAATTCGTGCACCAGTAGGGTCCCTAGGCCTGGCCTGAGGGATCAGGTCAAAACCGGCTTTCCAACATCCCCTGAGGGGTCCCAGATTATGAGAGGGCACAGGCCTGGCCGAGGGACCCCCACCAGTGCATGATCAGGGCCGGGGAGGGACGCAGGAGGTTGGCCAACCGGGGAGGTACCACTCCAGCTCATCTCACTCAGTCCCAATGGGCCAGACCCCAGCAGCAAGCTAACCTACCACTCAAAGCGTCTGACCCCTGGTGGTCAGTGCACGTCATAGCAAACAGTTGGGTGGCCTTAGCATATCCATTAGCATATTATGCTTTGATTGGTTGAACAGATAACTGGACATTTAGCATATTGGGCTTTTATTATATAGGATCTGTCTCCTCTAAGTTATTTCACAGGCAGCTCAAATATAAAATGCACAAAAACAAATTTCATGATCTTCTAAAATGGGTTGTAACCCTCCATGAAACACTTAAAACTGGCTGTTTTCTTTTAAGCAAAGAAAAAAAAAAAAGTACTTAACAAATGTCCCTAAATAACCAATATCATTTCTTAAAGATGCAAAAATTTTAAACATGTTTTAAGTGTTAGTTTAAAAAATGTTAATCAGATCAGCAAAGCAGAATTTACTTTAAAATGAATAAAAAATTCATTTTAGCAGCTACCTAAAAAATCACTAATAAATTATGATTACATTAATTTAAAGTATATGTATGTAAATACATAAATTACTAGAAATTAAACTCTAAAATGTTAGTAGTATTTACAGCTGATGAAATTATAGTTTTTATTTTCCTCTTTGTTCTTTTCTATATTTTCCATATTTTCTTAAGCATTTCATGTAGAATCGAAAAGTGATTTTTCAAATTATTCATTAAATCTAACTCCAAGCACTGCTTCTTTTTCAAAGAAAAGGCAGAAATTGAAGTTCTAAGTCTCACTACTAACTTTTTGGTCATCACCTTAGAAAGCTACCTCATGTTGAAGCTAGTAAGAATACAAAGTTTGCCGAAACCGGTTTGGCTCAGTGGATAAAGCGTTGGCCTGCAGACTGCAGGGTCCCGGGTTCGATTCCAGTCAAGGGCATGTGCCTGGGTTGCGGGCACATCCCCAGTGGGAGATGTGCAGGAGGCAGTTGATCAATGTTTCTCTCTCATCAATGTTTCTAACTCTCTATCTCTCTCCCTTCCTCTCTGTAAAAAATCAATAAAATATATTAAAAAAAAGAATACAAAGTTTGATCATTAGGTCTATCTTGCCTTAAAAGTACAATATTCTAGTGCTGGCTTCAAAAAGATTTAAATATTTTCTTGGTACTTTCATTTTGTGCAACATTTAAGGGAGACACTGTCTATAAGATTATTTAAAACACATCAAGAACATTTTCCAAAATTAGAGAATTGATAGTTGCAAGTGGCACTTTCAGGCTTATAGTATAAAATGAACCAAGTAATTTACTTATCTCTAGAAACAAACCATTCACATATCCCACAAAAAGTATAATGATAATATAGGAAACTGCCTGGTAATATAAAATTTTAATTCACTGAAATTTTATTCATATATTGAATTCATATTAATAACTTCCCCAAAAAAGTTATCACTTTAAGATACTACAGAATCAGAAAGACCTGATCCGAGAAGAAAATCTGCTTCTTTAAAAATCTATATAAAACAAATAGCTTCTATTTGCCCCAAAGCAGTAATTGCACACTTTATCCATAATCTCTATCCACTAAGTGATAACTATTCCAGTGCCAGATACCGATCTTCAGAACTATACATAGAACAGAACTGTGCTTTCCTCTCTACCCCACTTTAAAATCTAATTCTAAGGAAGTAAGAAGTAAAACTGAAACTAAATGTAATCTAAAATGGTTTCTACAAATATTTTAACAATGACTCCTGGCAACTAATAGAATTCTATGCATTTTAACTGTAAGGATGCATATTTAAACATTTTTACTGCATTAACTATTTAATGTTTATGAGTATTTTCACACTTAATCACATTTACCAAGCCTGCTCTAAACTATACTGTGAAAAAAGAAAACTCCTCGTCAGTCCTACACCTTAGAGACACCACATCTTCAAGGTCATATGCAGACGCTTTGTGCATTCTTGTGTTCTTTCCCCTGCATTTTGGGACAATTCAGATAAAGCTCATCTCCCCAGAGTGCTCAGCCATTCTAATTTTCTCTATTCCATCTCCCAGACCTTTCAAGATTATTGTCCATTAGGAAAATTATAAATAAAACTGAGTTAATGTAGTGACAGTGCTAATAAATCCTAACATTTCAATGCATTAATCCTCATAGGAAATACATTCATGAGTTAATACCTTTCCCCAAGAGAAAAACTATTGTAAAAATGTAGGGCCACATTAAAAAAAAAAAAAAATACCTGGAGAATTCAAGCCTTTTCTTTTTTTTATTCCATTATTAAAATGAAATAACATAAAATTTGTATTTAAGCATATTTAAATATTTTTCCTTCTTGACTGAACCACTCCTGAGATTTGTGGGGAGGTGATAATTTTCTGCTTAGATGCCAAATTTCTGAATTGGGGCCATTACAACTACACATGTACCCTATTGAAACCTAACTTGTGCATATTTAGATGCACTATATTTTGAATCATAACTACCAACACATAATAATTTTACAAGGGAAAGCTAAGCATAATGATAGTCAAACGATGGATTTTAATGTTTATCAACAGTTCTACTGCCTCACATGTCAAATGACCTATGCTAGGCTGACCAACATTTGAGAAGCTTTTACTCCATTATTTCCAAGCCAAGTAGACCGTGATAATTGAGATTGCCATGGTTCCCACATAACACAAAAATAAACACACATGCACACGCTCTACCAACAATAAAGCAAACAAACATCTCCATTAAATAAGAACACTCATAGCAAAAATGCTGCTAGCTACCCAATTGTCACTTATGAGCTAAAAAAGATCAGAATCTGAAGCAAACTAGCTATTGACAAATTTTAACCACCGGCAAATACCACATTTTCATTTATAGTGGTTGTATACATGTGATGTTTTCTTATTAAACACAACTGAATTATACTGAAAATAATTCTTTCTGCTCTAATTTCCAAGGGTGAAAACAAAGTATGACATAAAAACCTGTGTTCACAGGCCATGCCACTTTTTTGTCATTTGTTCTTTTTAATGCAACTGCAAAATCATTCAAATGGCTTGGGTTATGAATAGTAAAGAATTAAATAGCAAAATCTCATTTTCCATGCCTAGGCTCAACAAATAAAAAGTTAGTAAATTATGATTCAAAAGAGTGGTTAGAAATTAATTTTTAAACAATAATTGTACTCAAACATAGGGCATGACATATTAGTTTATAAAATGGCAAACTAAACATTAATTCATATAACAATGAAAGCAAATGGTGTAATAAACAACCATTTAATGATTCTTTATTGTTTTCTGAAGAAAAGGATTTTATTCTCCCACAATCCTATATTTAAGTACTTCCATCTCCATATACACTGGAAGGACCTTTCTATATGAATCTAAAATTTTCTTGGACATTTTGTCTCATAAATGATAAAAGTTGTAAATACCGGTCAATTACATTTTGTTGCAGAAATCACTTTAGTATTTCATGCTTCTCTAATGTGCAGCTTTTATGAAATTACCTGCATGATCACAGTCAAAATCTTATTTCCATAAAGAACTATCATGCATGACTACTCTGCCCCACAAAATATGGTAAGATTTTAATTACATTTTATGTAAATCATATTTATGATACTTCATTAAAGTAGCTTTTAGAGGTACACATCAAAATCAGCTCAGACTATAACAACATTTTTACATACAAAACTTAAAAAAGGATGTCTTTTTCTTTACTTAATGTTTAAGATGTGAACAGTCAAATATTTTCAATTTTTCTTTAATTTTAAATCATTTCTTCAAAAGGCATTACCTCCAAATGCCAATGCAGAGTTAAAGATTTTGGTATTCTCAAAGTTACTAAAATCTTTACAGACACCTTTTCTTAAGAATAATAAAGTGTGATACAGATACATAATAAGCCTTAAAAAATACCTGAGAGGTCTTGCCTGGGGATTGCCTGCTTCTACATAGGGATGTAAATAATCCTTTATGTAGAGATCAGCAGCACTATTAGAATGGGTGCAAATGAGAATCCTGCTGAAATAAATGGTGCAAATAAAAAGAATGATAAAACACAAAACTATACAAGCAGTATAATACCAAAAAAATAAAAATAAAAAAGCAGTGGCCATCTTAACATTATACATTTCCCTCAACCTACTCAGTAACCTCTATCATATTATTGAATAATGCTCTTAAGCAAATTGTATTACTCTTTATGCTATAACAGAAATAAGTCCCCTAAAATTACAAAATCTAACATATAAAATTACTTTTTAAAAATCCAATTCTTTGGCTCTAACATATAATCAAATTCTTTAGCAGACTTGGGGTTTTGCTGGCTATTTAAAAGCTATCATTCTCTATGTTGTCAATTTTTAAAACAGTATGTTTTAGGAGAATTCAAATTTTAGTGCTTTAGGGTTTGAATGTAGGTCTTTTTCTCTTTTGTATTTTTTAAAACGTTTACAAACTGGATGAAAATTTTCTTGTTAGCCCTCATTTTGAATTCCGAACAAGGACAAAGGCTGTGCCCTAGTAATGAGATCGGAGCACACCCCTCACCATCTCACCTTGTCTCCTGTTGCTGGAGTATGTGCTTTACAGCCTGAGCTAGCGTGAAGGTTTTGCCTGTCCCATAGGGTCCGATGATGAGAACAGGAGGCAGCTGTATTGAAAGTGGGGTTGTAATGGCTAGAACAGCTTCTTTCTGTTTTGCATTTAGTCGAGGATCCAACTGTTCATCCCACTGTCTGTAGAAAATAAAATTTTAAGTTACTTTAAACAAGCACATCTTATTAATAAGCAGAACACAACATACAAGTATCCTGAATTTCACTAAACCATTAAAAATACTGAAATAAAAAATTACTGAAATAACATAGCGTCTATAAAAATCAATGCTTATTCTAAAATTACTTCTTAGAAAATTACCCAATTTTACTATGTTGATCAAAACTCACTTTAGTTATGTTGTCCTATTCCAAGTGCAAAAAGATAAGTAACTTAAAGACATCACACACTATTACTCTAGTTTCTGCCAAGTCTCTATAGTAATGACAATGTTAAAATGTAGATACCCCCTGTGACATAAAAAGCATCAAATAACCTTTTTTCCTGGCAATAATGAAGTAGTAGTTTCTTTGCATAGCAAATAAAATGCAAAAGGGAAACTAACTGATTTCCAAATTCCAATCCATTCAAAGATCTCTTAGTAACGTTTAAAATAAGGGGGAAAGAAAAAACCTGTATGTCTCTACTTAAGAGATATCAAACTTTTCTGAAGTTCTTAATTCAGAAAACAGCAGTTTTTTTAAAAGCTGAATAACATGAAATGTTCTCTAGTATTTTCACACGCACAAGTATTATACATATGTCCTATTTTTCAGAGTAGAGAACACCTGTCATGGCAGCACAAATGGCTGCTGTAATGAGATCCAGCTTCCGAGTGTCCCTTCTATGACTTGGCTAAGTTTCGAAGATTTAAATGGACAGCAGATGCTGAAAGGGATCAAACCAAGTGGAGAACCAACAGCATTCTTTCCCATAACTAAAATTAAAATACTAAATATCGCAACAAGTATGGTAAAAATGATAGGGATGTGAACCAAAATAGGAAGGGTGTGTAAAGAGACTTAGAAGATGTGCAAAGTGCCTACAAAATAAACCTGAAGTGGGAGGACATTGTGTAGTGAAAATTCCCCCGCTGTGAGGACTCTACTTAAATCTGAAGTTAGTTATTTATGAGAAATCTTCTTAACACTTTCAGTTTTTAAAAATTATTATGATAGGTCATTTCAAACAAAATTCTCCTAAAAATGTAAAACTTTAGAAAATAAACACTGGCCATCTAAGCATTCCATTACTTATTTTTCTGAAATTTAAACCTTCCTAAGTAAAAAACAAAAGGACTCTGACCAGTGGCACTCAATTTCCTATAAGCCAGTCACTAAAGCTCAAGCATTTTACTCCACAGAATTAAGCATTAACCAACTTATTTCCTCGTAATTCTGCCGGTCCCCAGCAATGTTTCATCTTCTACAAAGGAGAAGTTCCTTTAGATGATTGCTAAGTACAGATCTAGTACACGTGGCAGACACTGTGGAATGGTTATCCCCACGCCATCCACAGTAGCCTTTCTGCCTTTCCTCTATTGAACCTAGATAGCTAAATACGCCATTTCCCAGCCTCCTCTGCAAGAGACCCAATTCCGGTCAATGACATGTAGGAGGAAGTTCTTCAGAAGAGCTTCTATCTATACCCAATAAAACAAAAACAAAGCCTCACTAGAAGAAAGCTCTTTCTGCTACTTTGCCTTCCTCCTTCACCTGGCTGAAATGAGCTCATGGCAAATAAAACTGCAGCAGCCATCTCCTATTCATGAGGCAATGGGCATCAAGAAGAAACCAGTATGTTGTTTATGGCAGAGAGGAAAGGAGAACCGTGGTCCTTGGTGGCACTCCAGCTCCTGCACTAGCTTTGGACCACCTACCTCTGGGCCTCTATCTACATGTTGATGCCACAGTTAGGTCAATACCTGAGTTACTATGATTCTATGATACCTGACCCCATGGGTCCTTTGTCTTTACATGGAGATTGCATACTTGCATCAGATGGTTATTGTAAAGATCAAATGAAATAACGCATACAACCTGATTAGAAAAATAATTGAGCAACAAGCGCTCAATTAATGTTTGTTTCCATTATTATAATATTTTCTAAGGATTTCAAAAAAATGATATATAAGTTGACCAGTACACTTTCAAAAAACAAGAAAAAGTTTTAAAATCAACCTCTAATCTTTCAAATTCAGGGATTTTAATGATTTTATTGAGGAGATATTAGGTATATATATATATATATATATATATATATATATATATATATATATGATTAAATGACAGATTTATGGGTATAATTCTAAAATATGTCAATGTTTATTTATATAACCCATCCTACTTATTAATTGTTTCAGTGTACATAAATGCTTCAAGGCAGGTCAGAAATTTTAACAATGTTGGTCAACTCTGAATAAAACAAATTGTCTTTATTGTGCCACCTACTAAATAAAGGGAAGATTTACAATATATATGCTGATAAGAGTCATCTCTAATTTTCACAGTTTAAAACAATATAAAGTCTCCTCAAGTTTATTCTGAATAAGTGTTATTTTATTCCCTGAACCAAATTAATTCAAAGTTCTTTTTTTATCCTGGTCTAATACACTGTTATAATTAATTTTTTTGTTATAATTACTTTATATACCACATGCCCAAGAATAATTTCTCAACTTCTATCTTATTCTAGGAAAAATTTTAAATGGATAGTGATTTCTCAGTATGTCCCCAGACCCAGATATATTTCAATTACTATTTGTAATAATAGTGCTATGGACTCTCTTCTTAAAAGTTTTCTGCCACTTGGCATTTCCTTAGTTAACTTTTACAGTTAATACTTGCAGTCAGGGGTATTGAATACATTGTCATATATTATATAATTTTCAGAACTGAGCATGTACAGTAAATGCCTAATAATACTGGCAGGACCTCACATTTGAAACCCTAATATTTCTTTAAACTTGAAATTCTTATTAATTTAAATGTGTCATATATTAATAATGTGCAAGGCCCTGCTGGAGATTCAAAAATAAATAAGATGTGGTCTCTTCCTTTAAAAAACTCAGTGGGTACTAGACTTTGGGGGTGGGGGAGATCACTTCATGAGTTTTACAAATGTGTAACAACTGTACACCTGAAACAAATACAATAATGAATTTCAACTATAATTGAAAATTTTTAATTTTTTTAAAAGTTCAAAATCTAATGAGAACTGTAGACATGTAAAAAATTAATGAAAATTAATTTGAGGGAAATTATGCTTAATTTATGCACAAAATTAACTGAACGTAGCACATAGTAGGCACTCAATAAATATTTGTTCAAATAATAAATGAAAGGATAAGATTTATCTACTTGAAGGAGAGAGCATTTGAGATGGACTAAATCTTGAAAAAAAGACAAATATTCAATAGATCAACATTTAGCACAGATTACTTCAGGGAGAGAAGATCACTTACAGATGAGAAGACAGGACCGGGGAAGGGAAAATGTGGAGTTAGATGGGTATTAAGTTTCAGTTCTGCAAGATGAAAAAGTTCTACAGATTGCACAACAATGTGAGTATACTTAACACCACCGAACTATACACTTAAAAATGATTAAGGCCCGGCCAGTGTTGCTCAGTGGTTGAGCATTGACACATGAACCAGGAGGTCATGGTTTGATTCCCAATCAGGACATATGCCTGGGCTGCAGGTTTGATCCCCAGTTGCAGTGTGCAGGAGGCAGTCGATCAATGTTTCTCTCTCATTGATGTTTCTATCTCTCTATCCCTCCTTCTTCCTCTCTTAAATCAATAAAAACATAGTTGAAAAAAGAAAGATAAGAAGGCAAATAAGTGGAGGACAAATTAGGGGATTTAGAAGGAAAAAAAGGGTTCCAAGTAGAAAAAAGGAAAAGAAACTGAGAAGATACTGTTCGAAAGCACTGTTAATGAGACCACATAATAGAGTTTAGTATCAGCTGCTCAGACTTTATATACATATCAAGAGAAGCCTTCAAAGATATATAAGTAGGGAAATAAAATTATTATTTTAGTAAACTCACTCTAAAAGAAATCTGAGATCTGGCCCAGAGAACAGAGACACAGACAGCAGGACAGAAGACAAACTAGAAAGGACTGAAATAGTCCAGCTCTAAATAAAACCTGGGCTATAAGGATAGGAAGAAAGGGAAGGATGCAGAGACGCTGAATCAATGAGACCTGGGAAGCTGTCACTGAATTTCTACAATTAGTAGATCAATGGTTACTTCCAGGAGAGTGAGGAAGTAAAAAACAGAAATTACAGAATGAATAAATAAAGAATATTGGAAATATGTAGACTATTCCTGCTCAAGAAATGTGGCAATAAAAAGGAAAATGGGGATAGAATAGTTAAGTCAAGTAAACAAGGGACACATTATTTAGTTTTTGTATTGAAAGGCATGTTTTGTTTTGTTCTGTTTTTAGGACCAGAAGAAATAAAATGTGAGGAGAATATATGCCACCTCTAGGCCTGGCATATAAAATGTCCTATATGATGTTCTGTGCTCCGTCTTCCCCCGTCTGCCAGCTGGATGCCAATACCCAGGGTGACGTTGGAAACCACTTACTGAAGATACCAGAGCCTCCATCAGAGATGGGAGAACCACCCTACCATGACTGGATTGACAAGTGATAAACAAACTTCTATTGTGTAGAGAAACTGAGATTTAAAAAAGAAAAAAAACTGGAGTGAGCTGAGAGGAGCAGGGGCCACGAGGATAAAACCCAGTGAAAAGGACGAAAAGAAAGATGTAGTCATGCAGGCGTCATCGCTGTTATTCTGGAAACAAAATAGAAGTATCATATTTAATTACGCTATGTAAAGAAGTGCCAAATAGAATTTAAGCAGAAAAATATTTACACAACCATTAACTTGAGAATGGTTTCTGAAGTGATATCTTCTATGACACTGTTTACATTTTGCTAAATTACAAAAATATCTTCAATATTCAAAATTTGTTTGAAATTAGTTAAACACTATAGGAAGGCCCTAATTTTCCCATTCAACTACTCAGACATAGTTCTAAATTGCTTGTTACCCTATAAACGCTGTTGAGAAAAGCAATAGAATTCATTTAGATGCTGAGGAAAAGTAAATAGATGATGGACTTCAAATGCTGCATTCTTTTACTCTCATTTTTCAACTAATAAAATGTCTTCTGAATAATACAGAGAAACTTTCTTACAAAGGTATTCCTGAGTTGTCCAGCACAGACATTTAATTTAACGTTAGCATAACATCCTTTAATGAGATACCTCCTTTTTGTACCTGGTGGGACTCCAAGGTATGGTTGGAGTCATAGTGATGTCTGGAAATAAAACCCCATTGTCCTTGATCCTGTCTAGTGCATAATGCATTTCACAGAGGGGTAATCGATTTAATTGAAACTGAAGTTCAACCTGAAACATAAGATTAAAAATAATTTTTTTAAGCATGAAAGTAAACATCAGCACTTACAGCTTACTAGAATACTTTGTGAAGATAATCTTTTAGGGGAACCAAGTTTAGAGATTCTTTTAAAGTACAATTATATTCTAACTGGAGGCCCAATGCACAAAATTTGTGCATGGGTAGAGTCCCTAGGCCTGGCCGGCGATCAGGGCTAATCTGCAGGGCAACCAGCAGGGCGATCAGCGGGGGGGGGGGGGCCAGGGGCCCCCGCTGGCACCCGCCTTGGCAGGCCTGGGGCCTGTGGGCAGCTCCTGTGTTGAATGTCTGCCCCCTGGTGGTCAGGGTGCATCATAGCAACCGGTCATTTCACCAGTTGTTCCGCCATTCAGTCGATTTGCAATTAGGCTTTTATTATATAGGATAATAATTATCATGGCTAATATTTGCTTAGTTTATTTAGTGCCAGGTACTATAATAAACACTTTACATATACTATCTCATTTAATAGTACCAATAATGTATATACTATCATTAACCACATTCTACACCTAAAGAAACTGAGGCACTTGGAAATTGCTTAAGCTCTAAAGGTTATTTGATTACACCATTCCTATCAAGAACACATTTGCTACAATCAGTAGAACATCTGTGAAATATCATCTCTCAAGTGATAAAAACAGCCCTTAAGGCACTATCAACTTCTATTAATAAACAATATTCACTATCTTATGGTTAAAAAGAAAAAATATTAGCTTTCCAGTTAAATATGGAACCTGAACACACAGTTCAGCAAAGAATCCAAAGATAAAGAGAACAAGAGCAGATACAACTTCAGATGAGAACTGTCCCAGGGTGTAACTTGGTTTCTATCTGTTCCTCCATCGCTGATTTTAAACTCTAATCAGAAAACTTGACCTTATATAAAACTGGAACATTTCAGATGTTACTTAGATTAAAGAGAATTGCTTTCCTCCGAGAGTTACCAGAGGTTCAATTCTCCACCCATTAGTATAATACTTCGGGTTATGGCAGAAGAAAGAAAATCAAACCAGAAAAGTATCAGCTGATATGGAGACTGTTGCCACACTTGAAACATACCTGTGTGTCACAGTCAGGCCGAAGATTAAGTTCTTCACAGCATTCCCTGGATATCCTTAAAAATATATATTCTTTTGTTTTTTCTTCAATAGTAGCTTCATAAACCTTCTCTTTGGTTCCCTGGGTCTGTACTAACTTCTCTTTAGGGACTGGTAATAAATAAACAGCATTGACTTTGGTCATCACAAGCCGTCCTGCCAAAGTATCTTCAGAAAGTGTTTCAGTAAGCTTAAAACGACCAAAAAGTTGTCCATTCTGAGCATACTTTGCACCTCCAGAAACTCCAGTGAGCATGAAGCTTGCCAGAATCTGCAATTGCACTTTAAGATTGAACCTAAATCAGAAGTAGAAAACGAGTTTGAATATTCTACATCAAAAACTTAAAAACTAGAAGAGTAATAGAAAATAAATCAAATATAAACATACAAAAAATTAAAACTTCATTATCAATTCCACTCTCTTGGGATACAAACTACATACTGTCCAACTTTAATCCAAGCTGGAAACAAAGAACACTTTTTTTTTAGTGAATTAACTCTCATTCAGTAACCAGACACACATTAAATTGTGTTGAATACACACAATTTTTAAAGTATGAAGATTTAAATGAAGCTAAGTATGATTTTTTTAATAAAATGAAATATTACATAAGTGTCTGACCACACCATTGGGACAAATAAGGCTTTAAAATCACCTAGAACCAGAAGGAAAGGCACTGCATGAAAACTCAATGGACTTTCATTAAACTGATGTTCTCCAAGTGGATTTTACCAAAAAATTCTAATCATAAATTTCTCTTTCAATGATTAACATTTCTCTGTTAATAACATCCAAAATAAATTCCCATTCATGGCTACATAGAGGCAAGGTTCGACCTTTCTAAAGACCCTTATTACAAACTGCCAAACAGCCCTCTAGAAATAGACCAACGTTGTTTGCCACCAGTGCTCATTTTGTATTGCAGATACTTTTAGCCCCCTCTTAAAGTGGCTTGAAGCTATTCCAAGGTGCTCTTGCAGTAAATTTTCATCTACTTAATTTCTTGATCAAAATATGACTGCCACAAATTTGTAGGGTTCATTCTTTTTTCATTCAGATAAATTTCTACTTAAAAACAATAATCCAAAAGCTTATTGATATTTAGCTATAAGTTCTAAAGTAATGTATATGGAATAATTTGTAAACTTTAATAAAATATTAAACAAGCATAAGTTAATTTATAATATTTTCTAAATTTCTGGTATGGTATTCCAAAATGATCTCTCAAGATTCCTATCACCCAGCCAGTGGGGCTCTGTGGTTGAGCGTCAACCCATGAACCAGCAGGTCATGGTTCGATTTCTGGTCAGAGCACAAGCCCAGGTTGCAGGCTCGTTCCCCAGTGGGGGGAGTGTAGGAGGCAGCTGATCTCATTATTGATCTCTCTCTCTCTCTCTCTCTCTCTCCCTCTCCCTCTCCCTCTCCCTTCCTCTCTCTAAAATCAATAAAAATATTTAAAAAAACAAAAAGATTCCTGTAAGCTTGTAAGCTCTGTCTCATCACAATATTTATAATTTACCATAGTGTTCCTTTCTCAAGGAAAAATAAACTACAATAATATAAATAAAATACATGCATATTAATAATGTGAATAACGAATATGATATAAGCCACTGCCCTTGCTATTTGATAACTGATCATTTCATTAGAACTGTCTATAGAAACAATTGATGTCTTTTAAGAGACCATCAATAGGCCACAATTGAAAGTCTTAGAGTAATGAAAACGATACTCTGATTTTGTAAATCTTACATGTATTTAATTTGAATAAAATACTTCCAAAAGTTAGATCATATTTAATTTATAAGTAGAGTAACACAAGGTATCTTTTAAGTTTTCACTTTTCCTTTTCTGAATATATCCCTCAGTGAGTATTCAATATCTATTAATAATATTAATGATAAGGTATTGATAAGGCACCTTGGAACTCATGTATTTTATTAATCACTGTCACACCAATAAATTCCATAAAAAAGGGGGGATGGGAAAAAGGCAGCTTGGGAAAGAAAGATGTGTTGGTTAGGGTATATTTAAAGGGAAAACTACTTATAAAAATGTGTTTGTGCCTCATAACTGTGGTTCAATTTTTAAGGTTCGTTTCATTTTATTAAAAAGCAGAATGCTACTACCAAATACAACAACTATTTCATTAACATCTTCCTTCACTCAAACTTTAATTTTTCAGATTATCTTTTCTATAATGATTCAAATAAGTTTTCATTTAAACACTTGGTCTTAATCTATGGAATATGGATAAAATGTAAAATATGTTAAAGCATTTATAAACTGCTATAAAGGTATTTTATTATTATCAATTAGTTTTCCTGAAGATTTAAATCATTTCATACTTAAAATTCCTTATCAAAATATGAAGTCTCTTTCAGTTTTTGTACATTTCCTAAACAAATATTCACTGAGTGCTTGCCCCGGCTACCATGAACAGGAACCTCCTAAAGAGCCGGGACCACAGGTTTAGACTCCCAGCACCTGGCAGAGTCTTGTGGAAATGAACTATGTACAAAACGCTAGGACTACCAGGATGGGCAAGACACAGTTCTTGCCTCAAGAAGCTCATGTACAGCTACTAAATAACAGCCACTGAATAACAACCATTTTACTATCTGTCTTCACATAGGAACACCTCCATTTTCAAAATGAAAAATAACATCCAAAGGGGAGATAACCAAAAATTAAGAAAAGTGTTTCTAATGTAACTTACTTGCTTACTTCTTTATACTGAGCTATCTCCTCAATATAAAGAAGGTCATGCAACCGGGACTGATAGTTGGTCTTGGTCAATGACTTGTCTAAAACGGACTGGGTAAATAGCTGGTCAGCAGAGAGAGGAATTTGGTATCTGATAAGAAGGCTCTTCTCCAAATCAGTAGTTTCATTAGGTTCAAACTCTATAATAGTCTTAGAAGAAGAATCCCAACGCTTAGCTGTGGTTACTAGCTGTTGTTTTGCGTGCATCAGGTACTCAAGATCTAGATGGAAACAAAACACACATTTATAAAAGAGCACAACATTAAAATTACCAAATAATGCCCTGTATATTTGGTTAAGAGAATTTTATATGCTAAAGCTCAAATTCTTAAAAACAGAACAATATAAAAACCCATTTGACAGTATTTTCCCCACATCAGAAATATTTTTTGTCTAGCTTAACAAAATAACATAAATAGGAATCCATATAGAAAACATCTTTTTTAACACCAGACTACGCCATTCTAGAAAGTGTTATTAACCGCTTAAAAATACAGATTAACATTTAGTACTTAACTCTCTACTCAAGAGAAATCTGATCTAGGAAGATGATAAATTCCTCATAAGACAAAAATCTATCAGGTGACAATCACTTTTCTCCTCCTCCAACCAATACCTGTCCCATGATAGAAAGAGAAGATCAGAAAACTGTGAAAGGTTAAATCTCTCCTCGTGTGGTAAAACAGTGAAACTCTGAAAGTCAACTTACAACAAACAAAACCCTTTTAGGAAATATTCATGAGAAACACCAATAATTCCACATTAAAATGAAATATGATGTACCATTCAAATGTCATTTTTTTTAAAAAATCCAGTTTAGCCTCAGTTAAATTATATTGTAAGTAGGGCACAATATCGAAATGAATGACTGTTCAACTCTGCAGAATACCAGCACAGGGTGAAATACGTTATTAACATAGATTCTGAGCCCTGGGTAGCCTCCGTCTGTCTGCAGAGCAACACATTACTTTTTTATTGGGTGGAACATACATACACCTATAAATATGAAACTTAACCAAAAGAAAAAAGGTTCCTTAACTGACTTATCAGGCCGAGATTCAGTTTTCATCTAACGTAATTAGAAAGATGATTTCACAACTCAAGTTAAAGTTTTAGGGGAAAAATAACAAAAAATGTAAACAGAGATTAGAGTTATTTAGCCTCCGAAGTACAAAGAAAAGTTATCATGTGCTATCTTTGACATGAGAGCCTAAGGCATAATTGCCATGTTTTGCTTAATAAGAGATTTTGCTACATTAAATGTTACATGTAAATTATAAACATGTAGTCATCCACCAAGAGAAATTTCTCAATATTAGAAAGTAGCTTATCCTAGTATCTTAAGAACGATTACAATGTAAAGGCCCGAATTTAAAAATAAAAATGTAATAAAAAGAAAAACAGTAATTGCTCTAATCTCTAATCTTTGTTCCCTGAAAACCATTTTATTACTATATATCAGTTTTATTATTTCTCAAATGGCAACATAAATACAACTATAATCATCAAGCTCTAAAGATGGTCTGCTCATTAAACATTTGTATTTTAAAATACTCTGGATGAAACGATGATGGTCTATTTTGCAATAGCGTCACAATTACAGCTGACCCTGAACAACAAGGGTTTGAACAGTGCAGATGCACTTATACATAGATTTTTTTCCAATAAGTACCATATATTTCTTTTTTCTTAATAACATTTCCTAATAACATTTTCTTTTCTCTAACTTACTTTAAGAATACAGTATAGCCCTAGGAGGTTTTGCTCAGTGGTTAGAGTGTCGGCCCACAAACTGAAGGGTCATGGGTTTGATTCACAGTCAAGGGCATGTACCTCGTTTGCAAGCTCGATCCCTGGTCCTAGTCAGGGCATGTGTGAGAGGCAACCAATTGATGTGTCTCTCTCACATCAATGTTTCTCTCTCTCTGTCTCTCCCCCTCCCTTCCACTCTCTCTAAAAATCAATGAAAAAAAAATATCCTTGGGTGAGATTAACAACAAAAATAGAATTCAAAATTGGAATAACTAGTCTGGCACAAGATATGCTTCCCAACGTCCCTTGCCCTCTGATTACTGACAACAGCTCTCATTTCAGCCACATAATTACTATTCTAATAAAGCATCCAAAGGGTTGGTTTGTTTTGTTTTGCAGTAAGTAGTACAGAGCAGACTTGAAAATATCCTTAACAGGACCTGGAGAGTGGATAAGAAGAAAGTAAGGAGGAAAAAAACCCAGTGTTCTACATACTCAGCACAAGAGCCGGCACAAAATAAGCATGCAATAAATGCATGTTAAATATGGAATTTGCTCAAAACAGCTATATTTATCTAGGACTTTAAAAGAATGAGATGAAATGTTTCCTAATTCCAAAATTAGGTAACACACTCTTATCCTTAGAAAACATTTTTGTCTGGCTTTACAAGTCTTGACTGCCCAAAATAACAATAAACTAAAATCCAAAAAATCCCAAACTACCATTTCTGGTATCCATTTCAACATCACTCTTTTCACCAAAACTGCTACATAGAAGATAAACACTTCTGAGCTTTTCCATGTTGTCTGTCCCTATTTTCAATCTCTTTGCAAAGCTAATAATTTTAAGAAGTTAAAACACGAAAGTAATAGCATAGGAGTATTTTTATACATTTTACATGCTTCCACTCAGTTACATTTATCTTTTGACAAATATACAATTTTTAAATATATTTTTCTATTACTTTCTGATCACATCATATTAAATATTACATAACATGTTCTTAATTTAGCAACTAAATTTGACAGTTGAAGATCATTTTTAGGTCATTCTAAATTGTAATGTTAGTGTTACCATACACTGCTAGACACAAAGTAGAAAAATGTGTGATACCAAATTTCCAAATTTAAATATAAGAATTAATCTTCAACATGTAGCTTTCAGAGACAGTCAAAGCAGAATTCCAAATCAATTTTGCCCAGCAAAAATTTTCCATTACTCAAAGTTGTGGTAGAAGGCATAAATGCAGTTTTCTAAGTAAGGGGGAAACTCACTAACTTCCTTCTTTTGTAGATGTTTTTTACCACACATTTTTGAGAGGCACATCTTTAATCCAAAAAAGTTTTTTTGAGAACATATTGTATCCTTTTCTGAACCCAAATTGTACCAACAAGGGGAAAACACTGAAAAAAGCAAAGTTAAAGTTATATATGTTTCCCACTTTGCAGAATTGTCAAACGACTAGAGGGGGGAAATTCATTCATGACCTGCAAACAAAAAAGGTTTGGATGCTTCGTGTAAAAGACAAACAAAAAGAACTGTGGAGTATTTTCCCAATTCAAATTTGAATCACCTAAAGTAGGCAGGCTTTTTTTAGTTCAATAATGAGCAATAAATTAGAAAGGTGGCCAGCATGGCTCAGTGGTTGAGAGTTGACCTATGAACCAGGAGATCACAGTTCCATTCCCTGTCAGGGCACATACCCAGGTTGTGGGCTCGATCTCTGGTGTGGGGGGTGCAGGAGGCAGCCAACCAATGATTCTCTCTCATTCTTGATGTTTCTCTCTCTCTCCCTCTCTCTCTCTTTCTCTCTCTCTCTCTCTTCCTCTCTGAAGTCAATAAAAATATATTTTTTTAAAAAAAAGAAACGTCTGCTATGTAACTTGATTTTAAGTTTCAAGGAGTAATAAATGAATATAACTAAGTTCCATGATCAAATCAGTTTGACAGACACTGAGCCCTTAATTACTGAGGTGCACTGGGAAATAAAGCATGCACCATTTTCAAACGTATTTGGACATGAAACTCTTTACCTATTATTAATATGTATAACCCCTATTAATTTCTGTGGAACAGTTTTAGAAACATCACCAGGGGTTCTCCAACTTTTTAAACAGGGAGCCAGTTCACTGTCCCTCAGACCATTGGAGGGCCAGACTATAGTTTAAAAAAAAAAACGATGAACAAATTCCTATGCACACTGCACATATCTTATTTTGAACTAAAAAAACAAAACGGGGCCGAAACCGGTTTGGCTCAGTGGATAGAGCGTCGGCCTGCGGACTGAAAGGTCCCAGGTTCGATTCCGGTCAAGGGCATGTACCTGGGTTGCAAGCACATCCCCAATAGGAGATGTGCAGGAGGCGGCTGATCGATGTTTCTCTCTCATCGATGTTTCTAACTCTATCTCTCTCCCTTCCTCTCTGTAAAAAATCAATAAAATATGAAAAAAAAAAACCTTCTTAAAAAACAAACAACAAAAAAAAATGGGAACAAATACAATATTTGTATTTGCATGTGGCCTGCAGGCCGTAGTTTGAGGACCCCTGCATCAAGCTAATAAATAGATGACCCACAATGGCCCAAATTTATAACTTTATGGAAGAGAAATATATGTCCCCAACATTAATTTAAGGACAAAAACTTACTTAAACAATGAATAGCCAATCAAGTGGAAGAAATGACAGAGATTATTTCCTATTCAAATTCTAGTTTCACACCATCACTGCATTTTTGTGTGCGTAAAAACCAAATTATATTGTGATATAATTTATAATGTTATGAAACATGATAAAGCTCAGACCTAATTTAATTCCCCAGTTCCCAACTGCCTTTTGGCCAGTTTGTACATGGAATAACACTTTTCTCAGAATTCTAGGCCAAGGAAAATCAAACAATGAACTGGCTGAGGCAAGAGGTGAAATCAACCAGACTGTCAGTTACATTGTCACCAATTTAACAAAGAACTTCTCTTGCTCTCAATGTCTCTGAATGTTATCCACACAAATATTCCAGGAAATGATAAAAATGGGAGACTCCCATTTTACATTTTAACTATTTCAGAATGTTTTATAAAATTGTGATTACACATAAACAAATCTTTTGCCCTCAATTTTTTTGCTGACAAGCATTCTGCTATAATAATAAAAATACACTAACTAGTACTAAGATAGACGCAGGAAACAAATATTGTTGTTTATGTCCTACTTTCATTTCTCCAAAATTCTGTTGGGACTCTGTACACAGTCACACTGAAACAAATACAGTCACACAATAAAAAATTTAAGAACTTAACAAAAAACATCAAGATATTCAATGACATCAATTTTTTTTAATATATTTTATTGATTTTTTTACAGAGAGAAAGGGAGAGAGATAGAGAGTTAGAAACATCGATGAGAGAAAAACATCGATCAGCTGCCTCCTGCACACCCCCCACCGGGGACGTGGCCGAAACCCAGGTACATGCCCTTGACCGGAATCCAACCTGGGACCTTTCAGTCCGCAGGCCGACGCTCTATCCACTGAGCCAAACCGGTTTCGGCCAATGACATCAATTTTAACAGTATAAAAGTGAGGGGGAAAGGTGACATATGTAATACTTTAAACAATGAAGATTTTTTTAAAAATAATTTAAAAAGTAGCTGACAAAGAAACATTAATTAGTACAACCAGGTCAGCTAATTTAAGCAATGACAAAATAATCAACCAAATGTCACCCCGCTTGCCTAAACCTAGATTTGTTTTCCTTTTTATAATGTTAAAATCTCGTATCATAAAATATATTTTGCACATTTTGCATTGTTCTCCTGAATTTTATTTTTCCGGTCCTTGAAAAACAAATTTCATTATGTGAAACTGTTTCAAGGTACCCAAATTAGTTCACAAAAATGTTTAACTTTTCTCAACTATTTTCCTTAACTATGTAGAAGTAAAATCTTGTTTAAAAGAAAATAGGCAGCCTGGCTGGTGTGGCTCAGTGACTGAGTGTCTACCCATGAACCAGGAGGTCACAGTTCAAAGCCCAGATTGTGGGCTCAATCCCCAGCAGGGGAAGTGCAGGAAGTAGCTGATCAATGAGTCTCTCTCATCACTGATGTTTCTACCCCTCTTTCCTCTCCCTTCCTCTCTCTGAAATCAATAAAAACATATTTTTAAGTACTCATTAAAAGCAATAGGCAAAGATATCAAACTGCAAAGAGGTCACTTTATAGTATTATTTTTAAAAAGGTAGGCTATAGTATTGTTAAGTACTCTGCCCAGGGTCACACAGGTAATAAATAGAAAATCAGGATTCAAATCCAATTTTATTTGACTGTGCAGTCTATTCCACTGCTCTTTTTCTCCAACTAGAAAAGTAGAACATATCTGAGAACAAGTAGCCAAAGTAACCTTAATCTCTCAAGTCCATGAGGGTGCCTGAAATCCTCTTCAGACATTTAACACTTTATATTATTAAACAAGCTTTTATTAGCTAGTACAGATTCTTGACAACACAAACTATTTCTATGAGAAATGAGTCATGCATTACAATCCACCAATCTAAAAGCAAACTTTTAAAATACAACCAACATGTAAGCCAAGACATCTTTTCAGAATTCTATTTGAGGAAGGGATGCATGTTGCTCTCCCTTGATTTAAATCTCCTTATGATTGAAAAAGGGTGCTCCCTAGTTATCTCAAGTTCTAGTCTCTAAAAGCAACTTACTAGTACAGGAATAGGCAAACCACAGAGTGCAAGACAAATCCATCCTGCTGCTGTTACTGAAAATAGTTTTATTGTAATATAGGCACGCCATTCACTTACATATTATCTGGCCCTTTACGAAAAAGAATTTATATTAGTAAATATAAACTAAATATTTTCATTTTGTCAATGATCACAGCTATTTGACTATGGGAAATAACATTTTGATTTCAAAGATTACTAAGATGACAAAAACAAAATACAACAGAATAAACACAAGTAAAATAAATCAAAGTAAGTGGAAAATCAAGGTGGAATGAGTCTGGGGAATAATATTAGCATACATACAAGGGAGTAATGCCTAATTGTTCAATTTGGACACAAATGTTGCTTTAACCTTACCAGCAGCTCAAATAAAGGAGACAGAACCAATTCCACCTGTTTGCTATGTCCAAAAAGTTAAATCCTAGCATTTGCTCATGAAAAAAACAAATTTTAGTTCTTATAAAAGGGACGGGGGTACAAAGGAAAAAACATCCTCCCCACTATGGTGAGTTAGTCAATACCAAAGCAAGTTTCATACAGTTCTGCTATATGAAGTGTTTGTTAATACTTAGTATTTAGTAAATAAAATAAAGCACCTATACATCCAACCAAGCACCAAAGAAATGTAGGCTAATGTGACCTTTTCTTTTGGATTCTGGCATAATATTTAGGTGTATGCAGCAATATGGTAATGTACAAGGAAATTTATTGTCTTCTACAGGTGCTTACATGTTAAGTCATGGACTTCTTCCTAAGGGCACATGGGTGCAAAGGCACCTGGGTCTCCTTTACACTAGTGAATGTACAAAACCAACCTATGAAAGCTTATATTTAGGACTTTTCATTCAGAGATAATGCACTAACATCATCAAAGTTAATTGGACAGTCAGTCAAACATGGAAATAGACACTGTAAGTGTACTCACGATTACCATTAAAATTATACTCTATCCAAAGCAATATTAAAAGCTTTTATTGAGCCCAGGCCGGCTTGGCTCAGTGGATAGAGCATCAGCCTGCGGACTGAAGGGTCCCAGGTTCGATTCCAGCCAAGGGCACATGCCTGGGCTGCGGGCACGATCCCCAGTGGGGGCATGCAGGAAGCAGCTGATCAGTGATTCTCTCTCATCACTGATGTTTCTCTCTCTCCCCTCTCCCTTCCTCTCTGAATTCAATAAAGAAATATATATTTTTTAAAAAAAAAAGCTCTTATTGTGCTAAAGTCATCCTACTTTAAAAATGAAGTTGGGAGACCAAGACAGACCTGATCATCTACTCATACAAGCTTTGCCTGATGACTGTATAAAGAGAAAGGGCATAATGTGAACCATTCTAATCCTATTACATAGTAAATGAGTCAATTAATTTGAGATTTTTTTTTCCCCCTAATTATTCCCTCCCTATTCATGGAACATAGAGGGGCCAATACATATCTTTCAATGTTGTTATGAGCGTCTCTTTTAATACATCGTATCAGGGGAAAAAAGTCTAAATATTACCTTCTGTAGAAGCTGCATCAATCATTACTCTTTGCATGAGTACTGGTTCCAATCCAAAGTCGAAAACTATGGTTTGGCGAAAAGTTCCAAATATTTCTGTGTTAAATGCTATCCCGACTTTATACACGTAATGATCTAATCCATTTTGGGCCATCTTTCCTCCTATCCATTCTTGACAGTTTTCTGGGACTTCTTGTGATACCTGGGTAGTACTATCTCCGGCAGATATTGCAATGATACTAAAATGAGGACGATGAGCATCATAAAGCAATGCTACACGATACAGCATTCTTGCAGGCTACAAGGAAGTTAAAATAATTCATTGAGTACAAGGGGGTGAAAAATCCAATTGTAATTGGGCTCTTCAACGAAAATATTTCCATAAGGGAATTTTACTTTCCCATGCTTCTAAGGTAATATTTTAAAAATACAAATTGTGCTCATAAGCCATTTAAGAAAAAAAATCATAATGACTTTAAAAAATATATTGTTAAAAAATAATATATTTAATGTCAATTATACTTCAATAAAGCTGAAATTTTTAAAAAATGATATATTTATGCTACATCACTAGCTCCCCTGCTCTTTTCTGTGATATGTTCACCTTTCACTGTGGCAAAGGCTATCACTCTGTATGACCATCGACCTCCAACTTTCCATGCCCTTGGCCTAAAAAAGTTTTACCTATCCTCAAGTAGGAAGTCTTCACAGGCGGGCAGTTACCCCTGAAAGTACTGGATTGGGTTCAAGGCTGAAGCTAAATGTTCCCAGATTTTTCATCCCAAGATGCACATGGTACAGTGGAAGAAATGCCACCAAAAAGTACACAAACTTTTCCACTGCATATATTTACAGAAATTTTTACTTTGCTTCATTCTTAAAGTCTGAATATTTTACTTCAAGATGGGATGTACTGTGAAATGTCTCATTTTAAAACCCCATTATTATAGAATTTGTGATTTCATCAAATCAAATGTAAAAATAAGTTGCCATTATTTTAAGATCTTAAAACTGCCAGATTAAACAACTCGATTTTTAAATAGTTAATTATAAGCCATGAACCCCATCCCATGTTCCAAGTTTGGAAGACAACAAATCGAAGACCTCTTTACCAAATCAATAAATAAATGAGCAAGCATCAAACATCTAGAAAGATTTTATCTCAAAATCTAAAACAAAAATTGTACCTTTAACGATCAAAATACAGAAATACACGTTAGAATAACATAGAACCTACATTAAAATGTACTTAGATTAAAACATTTTCAATGCTCTTTTAACACAGAGATTTAAAGGTTTTAAGAAAATTGGAAAAAATTCACATTATTTGAGTAACACAAAATTCATACCTTACAGGTGAGAGCAAAAGTCCATGTCTGGTGAGACTTTTTGGTGTTGACAGTAACCGTCAGATCAGGATTATGCTCTACCTTTACTCCTTCAACACATTCACTAAGCTGAAAACAGAGAGCAACTAATGTTACATTTCCATTCCTAAAAGCTCATACCGAACTTCTGGTATACTAAATACATTAAATGTCAACAGTAAGATGTGATGGAACTGTTTACAAAGCAAAGTGTCTTATACATTAACTTTCCGTTTTTTGTTCTTACAAAATATAATAAAGCTAAAATAAGAGACATAGAAAACAAACAAAAAATGGCACTAAAAACTCCCTGAATGAAAATAAATTAATATAATACCTACAAAATCTCCAAACGGCTTAGTTTTTACTCTTTATTTTTTAGCAAACAGTTCTACTTTTGCTACTAAAAATGCTTTATCAGAATCAAGCTCTCCATATAGAGGATAATGAAATAAACCAAAATATAGCACAAAATAAAGTTAAGACTCAAACAAAATCATTATTTAAAACAAACAAACAAAAAATGCAGTTTATTTTCCTCACCACTTTCTCAGGAGATAATGAATTCATCCACTTTTCTATCAAGGTTTCCATGTAACTGCCTGAGAACTGTTTATTCTCATTTTGCTGTTTCAATTTTATCAACCGTGAAGCATATCTTTTCTGCCATTCTGCTAGTTCTTCCTGGGAATGTGCTGAAGTACACTGGGCACCATACCTACAGATTCCTTGCTCTAAAAATCTAAGTAGAATAGGAAAGACTGTTTTATCATATACTTTGTTGGACCATTTAAAAGATAAACTTTCAGCATTTCCCTTCCAACTCTTCAATAACAAAAACAAAACTTAGTCTCCTGAAAGGCCATATTTATCACAGTGTCTTGCACAGAGGAGGAAGGAGAGGTTTAGAGAACATTTACAATAGTTCGTCAAAACAGCAACTCCCCATATTAACTGACCTTCTCCTTGAGAGTAAGGGGGTGCTAAAGCAGAGCATAATCATAACCACCCCACCCACAAAAACCACCACCGAAAAGGTAGCTTCCTTCGTGATGTAACAACTCTATCAGTTCCTCTTAGAGCAGCATTTTTTACAGCAACACTGACATCAAGTGGATTTGCTCGTCAAACACAGGTATGCCCTACTCCCCAAAATGATACGACCTAAAGAAAAGGTTCCACAAAGAATTTCATTCTGGAAAAACTTTCCTATATCAGTAACTTATCATTTTAAGGCTTCTACTTTTTACTTTTACTCTTTTCTCTATTACTATTACCAATATTTTACTGAAAATATTGGACTATATTAATTTGCTTGAAGTTTTAAAGATTAAAAGTTTTATATTAGAATCACAATTCAAGAGATTAAATTCTTTAATAGCTAAATTCATAAATGTTCATTTTAAAGGTTATAGAACTAATAGTCTCTCAGTGTTTATAACTCAGAAAATTAAATTGACAATTCAGTCAAAAACTGATAAAAATACAAGATGTCGATCAATCATTTTTTTAAGTTTTAAATATCTTGCAGAATTATGGGTCCAACCAATTTTTAAATGATTGAAGCATAATAAAGCATCTTACTTATGATAAGAAAATTAAACTATAAATAGCAAAATGAAGACAAGAGTGATATTATATCATAGTTTTTCAACTGGTAAAATATGGATAGTAAGAAATACAAAATGAAACACAGCACAATTTAAATTATCAAATGGCTCACTTTATTTGAAAAGACAAGTATATATAAAGCTTTTCTTGATGATATACAAAGCACTTGAACTTAAATTGTACTACTTATGAAGTTCTCTTATGCATCATAAAACATCTTTAAAACCATGCATTTATTTCTCTTAAGTATGTCTTAGTGAGCCAAATATTTCAACTTTCTATTGCTGTATTTTAAATTATTTCCCTAGAAACTGAAGATTGGATACTCTCATTTGGACTATAAATTTTCTTTCATTTCCTTTGCATAACTGGCTTGTTATCTAACTCTCCTACAACAGGATGCCACCAGGATTTTCAAAATTCACTACTTAGTTTATTTCTACTATAAAATCAAATCTGATGTCTTAACTATTCAATCATCCACATTACATATCAAATTTTCATCATTATCAAAAGCAATCTAGAGTAATGAGGTTTTATATCTAAAATCCCACTAGTTACTAGTGCTTATATAAAGAACTGAAGGGTTCACCTTTCTAAATGTGACTAATAATTCTTTCCACTCAATACATAATTATTAAGTTCTGAAAGGTTAGCCCTTCAAATATAAATTACTCAAATTCTTTATAAGGATTACATGAAGACAGTATATTTTTAAAAAGGTTATTAAAATAATTTAACAATTCTTCATCTATTTTATCTTCTATTTCAGTTTATATAATTTCAATGACCATAACAGATAAATTTCACATAAGCAAGAGACCAGCAATTAAATTCAGTCCTATTAATCCAACTGGTATTATAAGAGACTTCTAAACAATCTCCATTTATATCACTGTTTTTGTAATTAACAGAAGGCTCATCAATATGGCTTTGATTTTTATTTTTTAATGATAATGACCATCATGGCTTCTGTTTCAAACTGAAAATAAACCATTTTACTCAATCATTATATTTCTTCCTTCACGTATTTTCTTTAAAAAAGTGAAGGAAAATTAACTATCCTTTGAATAAAAACATGTCATGGGTTTAAAAAAAAAATTCACGTTACCTTTTACACAAAGTATATTCCTCGCTGCTTGTGATTCCCCTAGGTGGTGGGCGGAAATGCCAACCATTACAAGATCCTAGAGAGTAATCAGGATATAGTCTTATCATTTGAGGCTTGCTAATAATTCTGATATTTTAATGTGTAAAAAATTCTATAAACCCTCCACACACATCATCCCAGATGATGTAAAAAGAACATGATATACTTGCCTCTACCAAAAAAGTAATTGACCAATCAAGTGAGTTAAATCAACCATATTGAACTTAAAAATCACTGAAGAAGCAGTTACCAAGCAGCTAAGTCATATCTATGACCCCTGACTCTATCCTAGCAACTGGTGGGCATATTTCCAGTGCAGTCTCTTTCAAACAACTAACGGGGGGAATGTTAGCATGTTTATCATTTTTCAAGTATGAGATGTGTCTCTACTAGGAATACTTCAGGAATGAGAAAATTATGTATCCTGGGAGGAAATTTTAGAAAACAAATTCCAGTACTGAATACTGAGTGAGAAGTTCCATGTCACTACCCATGTTCCTCAGGATCTGTCTAACATGTCATTGCATAAAGTAATCCTTTTTCACAACTGAAATAAAGTTCAAAAAGTTGAATTCTAAGGTAGGAACTAAAAAAAATAACGTTTACTTCTAAATACAATGAGCTTTTATTTGTTTAGAACAGGGGTCCTCAAACTTTTTAAACAGGGGGCCAGTTAACTGTCCCTCAGACCATTGGAGGGCTGGACTATAGTTTAAAAAAAAACTAGTCGGCTGCTAAGCAACAGGCAGCGGCGGCAAAAACACCCGGTGGGCCGGATACATGTTTTCAGCGGGCCGCATGTGGCCCGCGGGCTGTAGTTTGAGGACCCCTGGTTTAGAATATACTAAACCAGGGAAAACAGGGCTTCAGCGAGAAAAGACTAGAGTTACAGAGGCTGAGCAGGACAAGTTTCCAAGGACCTCAGAGCCATTACCTATACCTTACTCCCTCATGAGTCACTATGCCTCCCTGCTCCATCAAAAAATATTCAGCCAGGTTGAATTTAAAGCTGGGTTTCATCCCTTACTAGCTGTGTGACTGAGGAAATTGCTGGACCTTGGTAAATATCAGTTTCATCACCTCTCAAAAAAATGTGGAAGGGCTCTAAGAAGTCATCACACATTTGGCGAAAGCCACTACAGCCGCCCACAGTATCCAGCAAGCACTCAGTAAAGGCGGGTCTCTCTTCCCCTTCCGCTGGCAAGAGGAGATTTTAGTGGTGGCAGGAACAACTCAGTTCACAGATTAGAACTTCCAAAAAGTACTAATTGTACTGGCCTGAGAGAGAGAGGAGGAAAGACTCCCCCCTCTAAGGACTGCTAAGAATGAGTTTTAAACTATGTGGAGGCAAGAAAATGAAATACATAACCTTTAGAGCTACCTTGTACCACCATTACTTCATTTTCTAAGGAAAGGGGCCAGTGAAAAGAATTGCTTTCATCCACACATTTTTTAGAATTAAATTTTTTTATTTTTATATTCTCTCCTACAACTCCACTTCCATGTATTGTAACTCAATAAATTTCCTCCCAATAATCAATTAAAAAGCAATGTCCAGATCACAGTTACTAGAAGTTATGCAGAGTTTGGTACTTACCCTCTTCTAAATCTTCCACGTGATATCCAGAGAGGACGTTACTAGTTGCTGTCTGCAATTTTTGAAATGAAAGATATTTTTATAATAAGAAATATCCAATTGATGTCGAATTAAACTTGGACATTTTCAGTATTTTTTAAAGCCTGAGTCTGAATACTTAGAAAAATTTAACATTAATATCTCAGACATGTTTTGCTCTATGTTAAACTATATTTAAACACAGAAAACAGTAATTGTGTGGCCCTCATTAAGAACACTGATAAGATTTCCTACATAAAAATTACCTGGTAGCAAAAGAACAAAGGTCTAAGTCCCCAATCGGGAACCCACAGAGTAGCGCCTTCCATCCACTTACTCTTTTCGCTCTCCTCTTCCAAACACCCAGAGAATGACCAACTAGCCTTTTCTCCTCTATCAAGCGGAGCGCCATTTGGGGGCCTGGGAGCACATCCCACTAAGTCCCCCTCACTAGGGGATGAGCCCTTCTCCACAATGGAGACCACAGAGGGGACCCACTCACTCTGACCTGCTGGTTTTCTTGACTTCCTTGGTGCAGATAAATCCTCAATCTGTCCCTTTGACTCTAAGTTTACTCTAAGCTCCACACCCACAATTCCAACTGAGTGCCACCCATAGCACTTTCTATTAACTATTCTACAACATTTTACATGCTGATCACTGCCAGCCATGTACAGATCATTGTCAAAATCCTGCAACTTCCCCTTTACGTTCCCGCCCTTCACAGGGGATCTGGCACATACTGGGTACCCAGTAAATGGTGGATGAATGGCTGGATGCACTTCGAACACAATATGTCCAAAACAAAATTCATCAACTTTACTGCAAATCTCATCCTCTTTCTCTGCTCCTTATTTCAAGTTCATCCACTCAAATTCCCCAAAGAGGGGACTGAAATTAAGAAAACCATCTTGAACTCTTCCTCTTCTGTCCTGCTCTTAGTATTCTCCAAATCCTGCCAACCAGGTGTAGAATGTCTCTTATACTCTCTACTCCCACTGCCGCATCCTAGGTAAGGCCCTCGTTACTACCTGTCTCATCTATCCTTTAACCAACTGATTGCCAATCATACCCTGCGCCAAGTCACCTCTGGGTCTTCACTTAGCTACCTCGGTCCTTTGACCTCAGTTCCCACATTCCTGCCTCCCTAGTTTCCCCAGAGTGTTTGCCTCTTCTTTCCCTGCCTGTACTTCCATTATTCAGCACTTACTACCCACAAGCTGCCCTCTGGGTACAGTAGCTTATGCATCTTAGACTGGTCCATCAGATTGTTTTTCATTAATACCTCAGCTTTCAAAACCCACAGAACCTTGAACAGCATAGGCACACAGTAAATGCTGAACTGAATCAGGAGGAGGAAATGATATCCCAAGGTGAAATTTGGAATGTCTTGTACCATAGAAAGAATGTCATAAATGCTAATTGGGTATAACTGAAACAATAATATCACTATAATTCACATGTTGTTAATTAAATTGGACTTTCTAGGTTGGGCTGGAACTGAATCACTATAATAACTCTACTGGAAAATGCCTTCTTATTCTCAAAACTGCTTACTAATAAGTTTTTAAAGACAACCCATTTTTTTTTGTAAAATGAGGACTGTATATAAGAATGCATAAGCTAACAAATCAATTGTAATTGCTCACATTAGAAGGATTCTATTCTCGCAAGAAAAGATACATTAAAAGATCTCTTCAAATTTTATGAGCAAGTTCTAAATGCCATAGTCCCACACCTGCCCTTAAAAAAATGATTCCATCTACACAGAATCTATAATAATAAAAGCATAATATGCTAATTAGACCAGATGTCCTTCTGGACGACCTTCCGGATGAAGCCGGGACTGCAAGGGAAGCCTGGGTCCCAGGTGCCTTCTGGAGAATGCAGGGAAGCCCGGGTCCCGGGTGCCAGAGGGAAGCCAGTGCTGGCAGCCGGGGAAAGGAAGGCCTACTCTTGCATGAATTTCATGCATCGGGCCTCTAGTATATAAATATAAAAACTTGCCTTCAAGTATGAATTTAAAGGATCCCCTCTAAAATATTTATCAAAATAAATGTATCAAATATGCAAAAAAGATGGGCATAAAATGTTTTGGTCATAAAATGAAGGCTAAAACATTTATGATTGTTAACTGTTAGAAGGGAAAAACACACGGTGTGTTTCCCGCATCAGCATCTGCAATGGTCTGTGAAGGGGCAAAGGAAGCCTGAGCTGACACTACAACTTGCAGGCTGGGAGGGTCTCAAACACACAACCTCAGAGCTGGTTAAAAGAGAGTGCGAGAGGAGAGAGAGAGAGAGAGAGAGAGAGAGAGAGAGAGAGAGAGAGAGAGAGAGAGAGAGAGAAAGGGAGAGAGAGAGAAACTTGGCCTTGATGAGTATTTGGTCACCATTGCTTTTAGGTTCCAAAGTACTGTGTTTGGTTGTGTGTGTGTTTTTATGTGCTCGGATCCCAAGACAGAAGGGCAATATGAATTAGCTTATGATCTTCAGTCTTCATTGATGCCTTTAGGGAAAGCAGCCAAATTTCATATTGCTAGAATTCCTAGAAATTCACCATCAAATCTATTGATTTGATATTTTAAATTTTACTAATATGTATTGTTTTTGTTCTCATTAGCTAGCCCTCAGTTGCATATCTTTATCCTCATCCACTAGCATTTACAAGTTAAATACCAGCTCAGCCCAATCCTATATAATAAAGATGTAATATGCAAATGGTCCTTACGCCATGAAGCCTAACAACCGACCGCATCACAACCAGATCAGCAGGAGTGTGGGGCAGTGAGCTACAAGTGGGCTGCAGAGAGCTACAGGAGGGGGCAGGGCAGCAAGCAATGAGGGGTGGCGGGAGGGGGGGAGGAGCGGGGGGGGAGCTACAGGAGGGCGTGGCAACAAGCAGAGAGCTACAGGAGGGCAGCAGCAAGCTACTGGTGGATGGATTCATGTGCAGGGCTACTAGTCTTTAAATAAAAATTGTAGCTATTTTTAAATGTCATGTGCAATGATAAGTAAGGGAAGCATTGTTTATTAACTTTTTCTAGATGGATTTTTAAAAATAATTTCAGTTCACTAACCAAAAGAATACTACTTTGGTTACATAAAAAAGAAATTATAAACAAAACTGCCCTAGCCGGTTTGGCTCAGGGAATAGAGCATCGGCCAACGGACTGAAGAGTCCCAGATTCAATTCCTGGTCAAGGGCACATGCTTGGATTGTGGGCTCGGTCCCCAGTGGGGGGCATGCAGCAGGCAACCGATCAATGATTCTCTCTCATCGTTGATGTTCCTGTCTCTCTCTCCCTCTCCCTTCCTCTCTGAAATCAATATATATTTTTTTAAAAAGAAATTATATACAAAACTAAATCATTTCCAAAAGTACAGTCACAAAATAAAAGTCAAGTGATATTTGTGACCTTAAATGTCACAGTATTATAAATATTAAAAAAAAATTTTACTAATATCTACATTTGCATATGACTCACAAGCTAGGTTATAAAGGGTCAGAAGGTTCCACCACCCCACCTTTACAGCCTTGCTGTCTTAGCCAATGCCCAATGATTTTCCAAAATTTAATACAAAACACTTACTAGCCAGACTGAGTTAAACTTTCCAAAGAAATCCAGCGAAATAGTCTTACCTCTGTTTCTGTGAGAAGTGTTTTTAGTCTTGTTAAATCTTTTGTTACCATCCCATTCTGAAAAGGTAAATAAAAAAGGGGAAAACCGATTAGTATATTAGTTCTTGACTATGGGGAGTTAATTCCTCAACTGTTTCTTTGTAAAGAAAACAATGCTACTCCTCACCTCCCATCCCCTGTCATTAATCATGATAATCAAGTTAACTATCTATAAGGAAAGTTAAAAAGGTTAATTTAACAGAATATATAGTGTACCCTAAAACACTGTATTCACCTTCCATAAGAGCTTAAAATCAATTCAATAAAATATTCACAATGGGTATCACCAAAGAGCAAGATAGGATAAATGAAAAGAAAAATAAGCCTAAACTTTTTAAAAACTTTTTTCCCTAAAACTAATGAGCTTATATTTGCAAAGTGGTGAATTCAATCAGTTACCCATGAATCAGATTCACATAAAATAATGATGGCACTTTAAAGTTGGCTCATTAACAAACCTGATAAAGGAAAATATACAAAATATTCTCTCATCTGAAATTCAAATTTCACTTGAGATTTAAAGGCAAATTACTTCTTCCTAGTTTAAAAACTTAATAGGTAAAACTGTGCAATATGCTAAACTTATATTAAAAGGTTCCTTATTCTTAATAACAGAGGTATATTATCACCTACTTAGAACTAAAGAGCTGTAACATTTTGCTATATTAATACATTTAACCTTTAATGTGAATTTGGTGAAATCAAAAAACAATGGTAAATCAATTAACAATATACTACACAATAATTCCTTAGAAATAAACTGTTCTCTGAGATGAGTCATTATACACTCAGCAGTATACCAAGTACTCTCCTAAATTCTTTTTTGTCACCAAATATATTTATTTCCATTAAAAACACAACTTTATGCCTGATTTTCATAATTTCTATCAATTCAAAATAAGGGAATAAAATAAGGGATTCATGCTATATAGCACAGTATACATATACTTTCTTGCTTTCACTGTTTTTCATTATGATTCCTAAAAAATATCAGAGAATTTTATAGCAGTTACCAACTGGCGAGAAAAAGAGTTATACTATCTTCTTATCTTCCAATTCCTACAGATTGCCAACTCTCAAGTTGCAAAAAAAAGTTTTTCAATTATGTCAACTGAAAACTCTAGAAAATTAAATGCTACATAAAAAAAAAATTAATCCCAAAGTCTGAATAGAATTAAATAGCTCCATCAGAATAGTCATGAATATCAACTTACACCCATACCTTCTTCAACTATAAAAGTAATTATTATATAGTTTAGATAAATGTAAACATTTTATGAAATTAGTGGCTGAATTTAAGGACCCCGTAAAATCATATATCCACAGGAGAATTTTAAAACATAACAGAACCAAAAATATTTTCAAGTTCTGAATTATTTAGCTATCCTACACTTTCAAAGTTTCAAAAAGCACCTGCAATTCTTTTATATATATATATACACATATATATATATATATATAAAACTAAATATACATAATCACAAACTATAAGAATCCAATGGTTAAATATCAGTTTGTTGAGGAGAAATGTACCTATGAACCTCATTTCTGGTAGGAGAAAATAAGAAAGAAAATGCACACTAACTGTTTTTCCCCACAATATTCCTAAGGAGTCAAATACGTGAATCTCTTTTCAGACACTCAAAATTAGAATTCATTACCATATGATTTCACTCACACATGGAATATAAAACTGAAAGCAACAAATGAACAAATGGGATGATCAAACAAACAAAAACTCATAGACACAAACAGTATGATGGTTACCAGAGGGAAAGGGTATGGAGGGGGTAGTGTAGTAAAGGGTAAAGGGGGTCAAATATATGGCGACGAAGGAGATTTGACTTTGGGTGGTAAACACACGATGCAATAATATAGATGACAAATCATAGAATTATATACTTGAAAACTACATAATTTTGTTAACCAGCCACCCCAATAAATTTATTTCTTTTTAAAGCACTGAAAAAAAATTAGAGTTCATCAACGTACCAGGGACTCTCCTGTTAGTGACTTGGCAAGAATGTTGGATACAAGTTGAAGCTTTCCTTTCAGCTGCATGCAGCAAAGCACTGCCTGAAAAGCACCATCTCCCTTGGCCAGTCCTTCTCCCAGCACTGTCAGAAAAGAACAGCCATGGTTAATCACATGACATGTAACACACATTTTCCCTGATTTTAATATTGGCACACTATCACAAGCGTGACTTCTTATACACTAAAAGAAAAACTTCAAGTACTAGAGGAAGGGTGATGTTTCAGTTCTGTCCAAGACATGCATAAAGACAAGAAAATAAAACTCTGGCCAGTGTGGCTCAGTTGGTTGAGTGTCATATGGTATACCAAAAAGGTGCTGGTTTGATTCCTGGTCAGGGCACATGCAGGAGTTATGGGCTTGATCCCCAGTAGTAGGCGTACATGAGGCAACTGATCAATCAAAGTTGCGCTTTCTCATCAACGTTTCTCTCTCTTTTCCTCCCTCCTCCCCTCCCTCCCTTCTGCTCTCTCTCCTTTTCTTTCTCCCTCACCCCCCATAGCCCAAAGTATTTTTCCCAAATTTTTCAAAAGGAAAATTTTAATGACCATAAAAAATAAACCCTTTGGTCATTAATGTAAAATCATTCACTGCTTGGATAAAATTACATTCTCTGAACCAACACTTCAAAAATAAAAAAAGATTATTTTTAAGAGAATATAAATTTATAATTTATAAATTCTTGTCCTAAATATTAGCCATTTAATGCTTGGCAATAAACCTCATTTTCCAAAAATATATTTGGGGGTGGGAGTAGTAGTATATATAAGCAGACTCCAAACACTGTAAGGCCTACCAAGTGTACCAGTTAATAATGCGGATTTTTTCAATGGATGGAGTTACACATCCATTGATATATATGCGATTTGATATGTATGCTATTTCGTTGTATTGACAGCAAGCTTCAAAACCTCATATGTCAAATTTTCTGAAGGTGTTAACATCATAGATATCTTTACGCTTAAAAATGTGGAATTTCGCCCTAACTGGTTTAGCTCAGTGCATAGAGCGTTGGCCTGCGGACTGAAAAGTCCCAGGTTCGATTCTGGTCAAGGGCATGTACCTTGGTTGCGGGCACATCCCCAGTAAGAGATATGCAGGAGGCAGCTGATCGATGTTTCTCTCTCATTGATGCTTCTAACTCTATCCCTCTCCCTTCCTCTCTGTAAAAAATCAATAAAATATATATTTTTAAAAATGTCGAATTTCGTGCCAAAAAAAGAGCATTTGTGGGAAGTTTTAATTCATTAATTTATTCTGAAGAAAAGTGTTGCTTAAAGTTATCGTATACTTCAGGAAGCATATGCTCCATCTCAACATACTTGTGAATGCTGGTTTAAATGCTTTAAAAGTGATGATTTCGATGTGAAAGAGAAAGAACATCCAGGTCAACTGAAAAAGTTTGAAGACCAACAATTACAAGCATTATTGGATGAAGATGCGTGTCAAACTAAAAAACAACTTGCAGAAAGATTAAACGTAGCTCAGCAAGCAATTTCCGATCGTTTACAAGCAATGGGAAAGATTTTAAAGGAAGGAAAATGGGTGGTTTGCCTCAAAACAAGAAAAGTTCTATTGGGACGGTATCCACAAATTACCTGAAGGATGGGGGAAATGTGCAGCTAGCAATGTGTTGAGGCAAACCATTCAGAGACCCAATTTTCCACTTCTTCGTATGTTTTACTTTGAATAAAGCACTTTTGATGTTTATCTTGAAATTATCGTGTTTTCTTTGATTACAAAATCCGCATTATTAACCGGTACACCTGGTAAATCTAAGTATTAACTAGAAAGTAAAATGTCCATATCTTATAAGTATCAAAAAGTATAACATCACCCAGAGTAAGAACATAAGAACACTGTGGGACAAATCTCTGACCAGTATCCCTTTGGCCAAATCTGCGTTTTCCCCCAATATTCTTCTTCTCTGCCTGGATCCTTTTCCCTTGCCCTCACTTTTCTTCCAATTATCTATATATATAAAAAGCCAGGGTCCAGGATAACCAAACAACCAGTCACCATAAGGTGGCACTGACCACCTCTTGGTCCCTCCCACCCCCCCGCCCACAAGCGGGGTGGGGTGGGACTGGGGACTGGTGAGCGGGTTGAACGGCTGGCCTCTTGGTCCCTGCCCCTGGCCCGCAGGCTCCGATGGCTCAGCGATGGTGAACGGGGGAATAGGGGTGGGTGGTGGGAGGACCAGCCTTGGCTGTCAGACCGTTGTGATTACCAGCTCATCCCCGGCTGCTTGGGGGCTCAGGCTTGTGGGAAAGCAGGCGCCAGTTACTTAACCTCCATACACATGCACCGGGCCAGCCACTGATGGAACAAGCTTCCCGCTCGGGGCCATTCACGCCGGGGCGGGTAGGTCGCGGGTGCGTCACACAGCATCCATCAGCACCTCAAGCCCCAACAGTAGCGGCAGCAGTAGCAGCGCCCGCGTGAGTGGCTCCAAGCGGGCAGCGCGTTCCATCAGCAGCTGGCCCAGCGCACAAGCATGGAGGTGAAGTCACTGGCACCTGCTTTCCCGCAGACCTGAGCCCCTGAGCAGCCCGGGATGAGCTGGTGATCCCAATGGCCTGACAGCCCTGCAGCAGAGGCAGCAGAGGACTGGGGACTGGCGAACGGGCAGAAGATGGCCCTGATCGCAGGAGGCTATGCCTAAGGACCCTATCCGCACAATTTCATGCGCTGGGCCTCTAGTAATAAATAAACACTTTGGACATGTGGGCTGCAGCTGTTGTGGCATATTGTGCCCTTCCTACTAAAGACTTTTATAGATAAAATGTTCCCTTTATAAAATACTTTTGGAAAATGAAAAGCTTTAACACTATTCAATGCTATCTATACCTAGAACCTTCTGAATATTTCAGCTTTAAATACTGTAATACGCTTTTCTTTTTAATCCCTGCTACCTTGCTCCTTTCATTATTAGGTCCTAAATCCGGTCACACAAATCGTGATCTCCTTGGGTTTGCAATGAGCATTAAAGTTAAGCTCTTATTGCATACTAGAGGCCCGCTGCACGAATTCATGCACTCATGGCGGGGGGGGGGGGGGGGTCCCTCAGTCTGGATTGCAAGAGGGCTCAGGCCAGGCCAAAGGACCCCACTGGTGCATGATCGGGGCTGAGGAGGGATGTGGGAGGGCTGTAGGCCGTGTCTAGCCCATCTTGTTCAGTCCTGATTGGCCGGACCCCAGCAGCAAGCTAATCTACCAGTCAGAGTATCTGCCCCATGGTGGTCAGTACACATCATAGAGAGGGGTTGAGCAGCCTTAGCATATCATTAGCATATTATGCTTTTATTGGTTGAATGGCCAACCGGACGACTGGACACTTAGCATATTAGGCTTTTATTATATAGAATTTTTGGAAGGACTCTTTCCTTCAACTGCAGTTTATTGTAAAGAGGCTTGGACTCCTTCCTTCTCAATATTTTCATACTTCAGGTACATAGGTCATTTCTCCTGGTTTATTTTCAATATTCCAGTTTAAATTTTAGAGATAATTCATTTATGTCCCTCAACTTCCTCATTACTATACAAATCCTATAAAATAAAACCCTAATATGCAAATTGACCGAACAGCGGAACGACCAGTGGAACAACCAGTCACTCTGATGCACACTGACAACCAGGGGACAGACGTTTAACTCAGGAGTTGTCCCTGACTGGGGGCAGCTCCTGAGTTAGGTGTCTGCCCCTGAGAGGGAGGCGACCGGTGGCGGTGACCAGGGGGCAGAGCCGGCCAGCAGGCGGCATCAAGCCTCCAGCCAAGGTAGGTGCCAGCAGGGCCCCCCGCCGCCCCCCTCCCCGCCCTGATCGCCCCACCTGCAGGTCGCTCTACAGATGGCCCTGATTGCCGGCCAGGTCTAGGGACCCTACCCTATATATTGGAAACAGTCTCTTAGATTTAAAAATTAAAACCTGGCAAGGCTACCCTAACACTGAAAAAACAGGATGATGCAGCTATGACATGCATGGACTCTGGCTTGCACATTTTGTGGTCAACCCTGATTCTGACACTTATAACTGTGTGACAAAGCCATTTACTTAACTCTCTCTGCTTCAGTTTTTCCACCTATAAGATGGGGAAAATGGTACTACTGCCTCAAAAGCATCATGTTATGTACTACTTTTTATAATCAGGGCAAAAAAATGTAGCTGACCATACAACGGAAAAAGCATCAAAAAGCTAGAATTCTAATCAGTCTCTTCTCTCTAAGGGATATCTTCTAATGAAGGGGAAAAGCCTTTTAGAAGGGATAGGCCCAGCCTTTCAATTTATCCGAGCTTAACATTTTAATCAATGTTTGTTACAGTTCTTAAAATTTGGCTCCTATTGCCTGAAAATACTCACACAAACTTTAAAGGACACTATCAATGTTCCCAAGGGCAAGACCAGAATGTCAACACTCATGAGTTACTAGGAACAATGTCCATGTGTACACACATCATAGCAGAAAAGTCATCATCCATGTCAGTCACTAGTCACCACAGTAAGGTGGGTTTTTTAAATTTTATAATCACTTTTGAAATTAGCATCGGGAAAAAAATAAATCTTAAACATTGCTCAAATTATTCAAAATCTTCAAATCAGAGTCCCATTTTCACACATACCATGCCTACAATCTTCATCAGCTTGTCCATACTTTTTCTGCAAAATAAAAGATATGAGATGAATATCATTAAGTAGTTCAAGGGCTGCTTACAATAGAGATTTTATCCAAAAAAAAAAAGCTTGGCTTTGTTTCAAAGTTTAAGCATTAATGTTGCAAATTTAATATTCACAGAGCAAAGCTAACTCATGTGGTCTCTGAAGATTACACAATACTCTACAAATAAATACAATATACTTCCCTAGTCCATTTACTCATACTCCTACTTCTTACTTTCTCTAACCTCAAATCACCAGAACCTCCTGAGCCCCCCATTCTTATTCTCAGCTAGTGACTTTACTGAGAAAACCATAGGAACGAGAAGAAAATTTCCGCAGACTATCACTATGACATCTACCCATGTCCTAGCACACTCCATCTTCCACCTGTTACCAGACGAACCCCCCATGCTCCTTTCGAAAGGCCATCCTACCACCCACGGAGATGTGATCTCTGGCCCAGTGAAGAATATCACTCCAGCAAGCCTCCTCTATTTCTCCTATGTCACTAATTTTTTGCTTTCTACTGATTCAGTCCTATAAACAAACATACTGTTATTTCTTCCATCTAAAAGGAAAAATCATTCTCTTGACTTCACTTCTCCCACCAGCTATCATTCCATTTTTTTGTGCCTCTCTGGGGCAAAATGCCTCAAAAATTGTCTATAATTATGTATTTAAATTCCTTCCCTCTGACACTCTCATAAATGCTCTTTAATCAGACACTCATCCACTGTCCTATGGAACAGCAATGGACCTTGCTGAACATTCCCTTGTTTGGACACACTTTCTTTACTTAGCTACCAGGACACCATACTTCTCCTAGTTTTCATTTACCTCAACGTTGCCCTTCAAGCTGCTTTGCTTATTCCTCTTCTTCTCAACCTCTCAACACTGTGGAGCCACAAGACTAAGTCCTTGGTACTCTCCTCTTCTCTATCAATACTCATTCCCTTGTGATGTGACCTAGGCTCAAGACTTTATATATCATGCATAGGCCACAACTCTTCAATTACTATCTTTAGCCCAGACTTCTCTCCCAAACTCCATACCTGCATATCTGGCTACTTGTCAACATCTCCATCTGGATATCTAAACAACATCTCAAACTCAGTATGTTCACAATGAATTCTTCCCTCACAGAACCTGCTCCCCACCTATAGCCTTTTCATCTCAGTTGAAGGAAAATCCATTCTTCCAATTGCTCAGACAAAAAATGTCATGGTAAGTAATCTGTGACTGTTCTGTATGCCTGACATTCAATATATTAGGAAATTTTATTGGTTCTAGTTTCAAATTATAACCAGAACCAAATCACTTCTCACTATCTCCACTGCTACCATTTTGGTCTAAGTCACTGTAATCTCTGGCCTAGATTATTCCAATACCCTCCAAATCAGTATCCCTGCATCTACTCTTCCCCCTTTATAGTCTACTAGAGGCCCAGGGCACGACATTCATGGACTAGTGGGGGCCCTCAGCCCGGCCTGCGCCCTCTTACAGCCCGGGACCCTTCAGGGAATGTCCCTGGGGATCGGGCCTAAGCCAGGAGTCAGACATCCCTCTCCCAGTCCAGGGCTCTAGCAGTCCAGGACCCCTAGCTCCTTACTGCCCACCTACAGCGGAGGCAGGAGAGGCTCTGGCCACCAACACTGCGCTCACCAGCCGTGAGCCCAGCTTCTGGCTGAGCAGTACTCCCACTGTGGGAGCACACTAACCACAAGGGGGCAGCTCCTGCATTGAGAGTCTACCCCCTAGTGGTCAGTGCGCAACATAGCAGCTGGTCGTTCTGCTGTTCGGTCGATTTGCATATTACTGTTTTATTATATAGGACTCAAGGCCCAGTGCACAAATTCGTGCATGGTTGGGGTCCCTCGGCCTGGCTGGCAAAAGAGGCCTATTGGGGGGACAGCCAGTCATGGGGAGAGACCCCGGGGGGTTGGCCGTCCGGCCCCCCAATCAAGGCCTATGGGGGAGGGGGGTGGTGGTAGGGGGTAGGGACCGTAGGAGGTTGGCTGTGGAAGTGTACTGACGCTCCTGCGTTGAGTATCTGCCCCCTGGTGGTCAGTGCGCATTATAGCAACTAGTCGACCGGTCATTCAGTCATAACGATCACTTAGGCTTTTATATATAGAGACTCTCAACACAAAAGCCAGATAATTCCTGTTAAATCAGATCAAGACACCCCTCTGATCAAAATCCCACAATAGCTTCCCATCTCAAATATAATACAAACTAGTCCTAGAGGGTCCCAGAGGATCTAGCCCTCTTACCCCCTTCCCCCAATGTACTTTACTCCAGCACAATGGCCTCCTATCTGTTCCTCAAAGATGGCAGACATGCTTATGCCTCAGGGTCTCTGCACTGACTGTCCCCCTGCCTATAATGATCTTCATCCAGATTCCAATATGGCTCACTCCCTTACCTCCTTCATATCACCTTATTAATGAGCACTACCTGACCACCCAATTTAAAACTTCAACCTTAGCCCTGACCGGTGTGGCTCAATTGGTTGGAGAGTCTTCCCATACACTGAAAGGTCATGGGTACAATTCCTGGTCAGGGCACAAACCCAGGTTGCAGGTTCAATCCCTGGTCGGGGTGTGTGAGGGAGGCAATCGATTGGTGTTTCTCTTTCACATCGATGTTTCTCTCTCTCTCCCTCTTTCCCTCTCTAAAATCAGTGAGAGCATGTCCTCAGGTGAGGATTACAAAACGATAATAAATATAAAAACTGCAACCTTATCCCTAACCCTAGTGGCCCCAATATTCCTTGCCCTGTTCTACTATTTTTCATGCAGACTGTTACTTTCTAACAATCTAAAGTGTTTACTTAGTTATGTCTCTAGCATTTATTGTCTGTCCCCCTACTAGAAAAAGCACCATGAAGGGATCTTTCTTTATATTTTTTACCAATGTATACCAAGCACTTAGAACAGTGTCTAACACATAGTATGTCCTCAATAAATATTTGTTAAATGAATGAATACTCCAAAGTGCTAAGTACAAGTTTCAAGATTTAAAAATACAGTTGCTTGCCATCAAAGATATCCAGCAATCACTAGCCACTTCAATCACCTCCTCAGCCCACATTTAAGTGACTTGTAGAGGGAGTGACCGGCAATAGTGCCCACTCAATGAAAAGGGCCATTTTACATGGTTTGGCACTGACTTATCAACACTGTTTACTTACCAGTTGCAAAAATGAGGCAATTCTGTAAAGAAGACTCTCAATTTTGATACTTTCTATTTCCAGTGAACACGGCCCTATGAAGTCAGCCATGGAGTACTGGCCAAGAGAAAGAAGGGCCTCTGTGCAGTGCTTGAGGGCCATTTCATAGTCCTGCCTCTTGAGTGATTCACACGCTTGTTCACATGACTTCTCAGCTCTTCTGTCTTCCATGACTCAGGGACAAAAATCCTAAAGACGGGGAAAAAACAAGTCAGAGAAGTTGTAAAAACATATTAATTATAGCCCTAACCTGTTTGGCTCAGTGGATAGAGCGTCAGCCTGCGGACTCAAGGGTCCCAGGTTCGATTCCGGTCAAGGGCATGTACCTTGGTTGGGGGCACATCCCCAGTAGGGGTGTGCAGGAGGCAGCTGATCGATGTTTCTCTCTCATCAATGTTTCTAACGCTCTATCCCTCTCCCTTCCTCTCTGTAAAAAATCAATAAAATATATTTTTAAAAAAACTTATTAATTATAAATTCTAATACCATTCCTGACTCAGCTGGTTTAATTATCTATCTGAATAGTTATTCTCAACCAGCCTTTTGTTCAAGGTCACAGCTGAGCAGCTATTAATGCTACAAAATCTATACTTCTCTTTTATATTTTATGAAGTCTTTAATAAGATTCAAGCAAAATATCAACCATAAATCAGGATCATACCAACAATACATCCAATTTATAAATGAGACAAATTTATAAATGAAACATGACTTTGAATATTGCAAAGTGCAACAAACCATAAAGGCTTTCCTCTTTTTAATCAGAAGGTGCAGGAATGTTTCATATCCAAATCTTCCAATTTCAGTTTTGTAATTCTGTGACTGTGTTTACAGAGAATAAAAATCTACACCATGTAGAATTTTTCCCACCAATATTAAAAAACTGGATAAAATGCAAATCTGAACTGTCTATTGAATTCAGCAAACATTTCCTAAGGCTAGGCCCTGTGCTAGCAGCACTGAATTCAAAGACGGAGCACGTCATCACTACTTTTAAGAAACTCAGATTCAAAACAGACATATAGATCAATGGAACATAATAGAGAGCCCAGAAAAAAACCTACGCCTTTTATGGTCAATTAATATTTGACAATGGAGGCAAGGACTTACAATGGGGTAAAGACAGTCTATTCAAAAAATGATGTTGGGAAAATTGGACAGGAAAATGAAACTAGACCACCTTCTTACACCATACATAAGAATAAACTGAAAATGGATTAATGACTTACTTTTAGACTCAAAACTATCAAAATCCTAGAAGAAAACACAGGCAGTAAAATCTCCAACATTTCTGGCAGCAGTATTTCTTCTGATATATTGCCTCAGGCAAGGGAAATGAAAGAAAAAATAAACAAGTAGGACTACACCAATCTAAAAAGTTTTTGTACAGCAAAGGAAACCATCAACAAAATGAAAAGACAACCCACTATATGGGAGAATATATTCACCAATGATACATCTGATAAGGGGTTACTATCCAAATTTTACAAGGAACTTATAAAACTCAACACCAAAAAATCCAATTTGAAAATGGGCAAAGGACCTAAATACACATTTCTCCAAAGAGAACCAACAGACATATGAAAGTTGCTCAATGTCACTAATCATCAGAGAAATGCAAATTAAAACCACCTCACACCTGTCAGAATGGCTACCATCAATAAATCAACAAACAGCAACTCTGGCCAGTGTAGCTCAGTAGGTTGGGTGTCATCCCCTACACAGAAGGGTGGCTGGTTTGATTCCCATTCAGGGTACATATCTAGGTTTCAGGTTCAATCCCCAGGCAGGGTGCATACCAGAAACAATCCATCAATCCAATCGATGTTTCTCTCTCACATCGATATTTCTCTCTCTCTCCATTCCTCTTTCTCTAAAATCAATTAAAAAAATATATATATATACATATACACACACACACACACACACACATGCACACATATATCCTCAGGTGAGGATTTTTTAAGTCAACTTTATGAGAACATTCCTATCAATAACTTACTTCTCACTACTTTTATAAAATAGAAACCTTTTTTAAAATCTATCCATCTTAGTACAATCCAAAAACAAAAATTGATAAATTTGACTTCAACATTTCCACTTTTTGAAAGATACTGTTACAAGAAAAGACAAGCTCAAGACAGAGGAAACTATTTGCAAATCGCATACCTGAAAAAAAATTTGTATCTGAATATATAACAAAATCTCAGAACCCAACAAAACGAAAACAACCCAACTGAAAGCTGGGCAATAGACATCGCACAAAGAGGATGTAATGATGGCCAACTATGCACACGAAAAGATGTTTAATAGCATTAGTCAGCAGAGAAATTCACTTTAAAACCATGATTAGCCATTACTACATACCTATTAGAATAGCTACATTTAAAATATTGATAATATCAGAGTTGTGGAATAACTGGAACTCATATAGGTTGCTATCAGAAATATAGATTATACAGCCACTCTGAAAGAAAAGTTGACAGTTTCTAATAAAGTTAAAAATATACTTATTAAATATTTTTAACTTTATTAGAAACTGTCAACCTTAATCAATAAAGAAAAAAATAATAAAAAATATAAATCATTAATTGATGATAGCCATTCTGACAGTTGTTGAGAGGTATCTCATTGTGGTTTTAATTTGCACTTCTCTGATAATTAGGGATGTTGAGCATCTTTTCATATGTCTATTGGCCATACTACTTGAGTATAAAAAGAAGGAAATCTTACTTTTTTCCACAGCATGGATAGACTTGGAGAGTATTATGCTAAGTGAAATAAGCCAGTCAGAGAAAGACAAATACCATAGGATTTCACTTGTGTGTATAATCTAATGAATAAAATAAATGAACAAACAAAATAGAAACAGACTCATAGATACAGAGAACAGACTGACAGCTGTCAGAGAAAAAGGTGAAGGGATTAAGGAAAAAAAATTTTTTTAAATACTCATAGTCTCAGGCAACAGTATGGTGATTATCAGAAAGAAAGGGGGGTGATGGGAGGTAGAAGAGGGTAAAGGGGAGATAAATGGTGACGAAGTTTTAACTTTGAGTGGTGAGCACACAATACAATAAACTGACAGTGTATTATAGAATTGTACACTTGAAACAAATTATATGTACTAATATATAATTTTATTAACCAAAGTCATGGCATGGGTCACAAAGTTTCAATCGCACTGTACATGCGCACCCACACGTGGTATTTTGTGGAAGAGCCACACTCAAGGGGGCAAAGAGCCGCACGTGGCTCACGAGCCGCAGTTTGCCGACCACTGTGCTAAGCGAAATAAGCCAGTCAGAGAAAGACAAGTATCACATGATCTCACCCATATGTGGAATCTAATGAACAAAATAAACTGATGAACAAAATAGATCCAGAGACACAGAAGCATAGAACAGACTGTGGCATCTCAGAGGGAAGGTAGGGAGGGAGAGTGGGTGGGAAGTGATCAACCAAAGAACATGTATGCATATATGCATAACCCATGGACACAGATCTGAGGTGGAGGGCAGGGGTGGATTAGAGGGAGTCAATGGGGCAAAGAGGGGGCAAATGCAATACTTTCAACAATACAGATTTTTTAAAAATAAAAATGCTCTCCTCCCAAAACCAGCATTACTTCGTACAGACTAATCTAGCCTCATAATCATCTATTATCTTGCATAATATATATCATGCCAGATGCCTTAACTGCTCAACATAACTACCTTATAAATAAGTCACATTTTATAGCATTTATGTCCCCATGACAAGCATTCAATTCACTACAACCACTTAATACTTTAATTGAATTTCCCACAGAGAGAATCTAAAATAACCTAAATTCCAACCATTCCAAGAACTATCCTATACCAAATTCAGTTCTCACTAGAATGCCATAAAGAGGAATGTTGTATTATCTTTAAATTTATCTGATTTTATCCAAAACTGGAACCTGTGATGTGGTTGTATGAGATACATAGACAAAATATTCTGCAAAGTAATAAAATTTTATTTATTGTACTATGTTAATATTCAGCCAGACTTGCATTTTTCTCTAAAACTCATAAAATCACTGAGTATGCAAGGAGCATTAGAAGAGAGGTTACCCATACTAAGAAAACTAGAAACTAAGATCATCAATCATATTCTATTTTAAATAATCTCTTTCATAAAGAAGTAAACTCTCCTAATGAGAATGAATAAAATTCCAAAATGAATAAAATTCAATATAGCAAAGTAAAGTTTTTAAATACATAAAAGAAATATCCCAATGGACCTGCTACCATCTGTTTTAGTGACTAAAATGATAAAAAACAAGAACTACATTTTTTAAAAAGTTATATCAGTAGCTAAATTTGAGATTTTCCCCCATCTATTATTTGATTTTCCCTGACCCATTTTAGAACTGCCAGCAATTCTGGAGATAGCTTTCTTGGTTTCAGTTATTCCAAATTATTTCCTGAAGAGTTTGAGCCCGCTCCCAAATCATTTAATATGCTTACTAATAAAAAAGATATGAAAAAACAAAAATCCATATTTATAATGCAGGCAAATTATAGTAAAAGATGATTTCTAGAAAAGGTTGCTGTTTGCCAAAATATTTTATTATAAAACATTTTCTATTCTTTGTATTTCATTTTCTCTTCCATGTTATCTTAGACTTACAAATACATTATCATACTAGAGGCCTGATGCATGAAATGTGTGCAAGAGTAGGCCTTCCTTCCCCCTGCTGCCAGCACCGGCTTCCCTCTGGCACCTGGGACTCGGGCTTCCCTACAGCCCTGGCTTTTGTCTGGAAGGTTGTCCGGAAGAACATCCAGTCTAATTAGCATATTACACTTTTATTATTATAGCTAAAACAGGTGACCTTTATAAATAAAACATAAATCAATATAAAAGAGCCAATGGCATAATTAAAACAAAAGGGTACCACTCACTGGCACTACCACCACCATCATTATCATCATCCCTATTTTCTAAAGCTACATTTTCAAATCAATGTTTGAAACTCAGAAGAGTTTCTACAGAAACAGTGTTAAGAATAGGGATTATTGGAAAATAAACTGACCACAAAATAAGACCCAAAACAGGGAGGCATGGAACAGACTGACATAACTCGATGTGGCAGATGGGGGGGAAGAGAAGAGATAAACCAAAGAACTTAAATACTTATATGCATAGCCCATGGACTTGGGCAATAGGGTGTTGAAGGCCTAAAAGGAGGGTTAGGGGCAGGGAGGAGGAGGGTAAAGGGGGGAAATGGGAGACATCAATAATACTATCAACAATAAAAATATATATATCAAAAAAAAGAACAGGCGTTATTGGAAAGATGTAAAGTAACAAAAGCACGTTACAAAATACTATTTATAGGGTAATCTGACTTCTAAATAACAGACTACAAAATAATATGATGTGTAATCCCATTTGTATAAAATGTGTATTTGTGTGTACTGAATAGTTTACATAAAAAGCTGAGACATATGAAACAAAATATTAAAAGTGAGTATAGCCCTGGCCGGCTTGGCTCAGTGGATAGAGTGTCGGCCTGCGGACTGAAGGGTCCCGGGTTCGATTCTGGTCAAGGGCACATGCCCGGATTGTGGGCTCTATCCCCAGCACGGGGCATGCAGGAGGCAGCCAATCAATGATTCTCTCTCATCGTTGATGTTTCTATCTCTCTCCCCCTTTCTGGAATCAATATATACCCATTTCCCAATATGCCCTGCCCATGAAGGACTGAGCTGAGATGGAAAATTAGTCCCAATATTAGCCCCATTTAATCAACTTAGAAAAGTCCAAGCACAGCGTAGGTTGAGAAAGGCTGGCAGAGGCAGGCGAGGGACAAGAAGGCAAAAAGCTGGGACTGAAAAGGCAGAGCACAGGTATGAGAAAAAGGAAGAACAGGGAGTAGGAGAGATCAGAAAAGTGAATTACCCCAAGGTAAGGAAAGGGGGGAGTGGAAGGAAGGGGAAAAGAGAATTATAAGCAAGCAGGGAATTCATTCAAGAAGAGATCCTCCTCAAGGGCCAGCAGAAAGATAACTTAATTGCCTCCCACTGAAGTGACCATTTGTATCTAAAGAAACAAAGAAACTGGCGAAGCCTATAGAAAGTTAAGAAAAAAAATATTGTTCTATAAAAGAATATTATCCACAGAGAACTACTGCCTTTTTTTTTCTCATTTTATTTTGTCTTTTACAAGAAGAGAATGTTTTTTATTTGTTTTGATCTGGACCTTTTTACTTGTATCAAACACTAGTATGCCATTACTGAGTTAAAGATGTCCTATGACATAGGAGTTAAGAGTACAAGCTTGAAGCCAGATCTGCCTAAATTTGAATCCTGGCATTGCGACCTGAGGCAATCTGCATACAAATTTGTCTCATCTCCAAACCTCACAGGATTGTTGCAAGAATTAAGTAGGTTAAAAAATGAAATCACTTAGAACAGTGCCTGGCCTCCACTAATCACTATAAAAGTATTAGCTATAACAACTATTAATCACTATAAAACTATTATCCTCTGGATCTGGAACATAACTCCATGAGCTGGGATTTTGTTTTGTTCACTGTTGAAGCCCCAGAGGCCTGACATAACAAGTATTTGTTGAATAATAAAAATTTGTTGAATAATATAAACTTCATGCCAGCAACACAGAAGCCCAAAGGAGCAGCACTAAAATCTCTATAATACTTTAGCCTCAAAGTTTAGAGTTCATGGAGGGTTTTTACCTACATTAGTTCAAGTGATTCACTGAAGATGATATCTCCACCTCACAGACAAATTAAGACTCAGAGGACTTATGTGATTTGCCCTAAAACAAAGTGTGAGGCAACACAGGAATTCTGGAAGTAAATCCTACTTCTGTTCACTCTGGACCCTACCCCAGAAAGCTTGAAACATACCCTACCAAACGGTTCAATTCTCCTTACCTGCAAATACACAAAGGTTAAAGTCACCAGAACACCTTCTCCCATTTGCTTCAATATAATTGATGGGGAGGAGAAATAGATGAAACAAGATTAATAAGTGTTGAAATTGGACAATGGGTCAGTGGGATTGATTATAGCCTTCTTTCCACTTATATATGTCTGAAAGTTTCCATAAGAAAAAATATAATTAAAAATAAAGACCTTACTCGCCAACATAAACTCTCCCACTTCCAACTTTCTACTGAGCACACCCAGGTGTGAGGAAAACACCACAGCTGAGAACCTATAGCACTTCTCAGTCTGAAGCAGTGAAGAGAACTGGACTGGGAATCAGGAAGCTTGCCTAGGCTATGCTTTAACTGTGTGAGACCTCACCCACCCATCTAACGCCTCTGGGCCCCAAACTTCCTCATCAGTTCCCTAAAGCAGCAGTTGCCAACCTTTTGGAACTCACGGACCACCAGTGGTCCGCGAACCATCGGTTGGCGACGGTTGCTCCAAAGGTTTCCTTAGCCAGTGGTCGCCAACCTTTTGGACCTCACGGACCACCGGTTGGTGACCGCTGCCCTAAAGGATTAAATTTTTTATTTCGACTTTCTACTAGGTCCTTAATCTCAACACAAAACCCAATTCATCTTTCTCTATTCTCAACCTCTGAGACCTGTTCTTCCTCCTGACTTCCCTATTCCTGATGCCCCATTCTGCCAGCCACCCAACCATAAAAACTTCAACCATCTCTGACTTGAGACAGAACTGACTGTTCCCTTACCTTTCTAATCAGTGACCAAATCTTTCTGTTCAGCCTCCAAAATATCTCTTAAATCCATCTCCTGCTTTCCATTCCCAAGGCCATCAATTCACTTCAGGCCCTCATCATCCCTCACTTGGAGTATTACTATGAACCAAAGTCCCTGTTTCTAATTTTTCCACACTACCAATCCATCATACTGATCCTCAGTCTGACATTTAAGATCCTCCCAAACCCAGTCCTGATCACTTGGCAGCCTCACCTTCCACTATGTTCCTTTATGTATCCCAGGATCTAGGTAATTTGGATATGCAGTTTCCTGCCTCATTTTCAACACCACCCCACAGCCTTTGCTCAAGCTATCCTTCCCTCCGAATGCCCTCTTCTTTCTATTGCTTCTGACTGGCACAGTAGTACAATGTAAATGCCAAGTGTTTCTTCACATCCCCAAAGGGGCAGTATCACTCCTTCTACTTACTGCCTGAGCACTTTGTCTAAACCCCTTTTATGGCACCTATCGAATGCTTATTGGTCTCTTCATTTTTTTGGTGCTCCTATTCTCCCTACGAGATGACTCCTCGTCTGTAGGAATGATGTTTTATTCATCTTTGTATCCCTCAGAACAGAGCTGCTTAAGGAGAGTGCCATGGCATAGTGGAATTTGCCATGAATGAGTTAAAGATGGTAGACAGTGATCCCCTCAGCCCTCCAAACAGCCATAAAGGGTCTTCAGCAGCCACAGTCCCCATAGGTCAAACCCCAAGCATTATCAAGCAGCCTCCTCCTTCAACAAGGTAGAGGCCATGATGATAACTTGAGAAGCATTCAGAGGCGGCAACAACACCTGGTACACAGTGGGCGCCCAATAAATATCTGCAAAATTGCACCTATTCCCTTTTCAAACACTATTCCCAAGATCACTTACCATCTAAACCAGACTCTCTTTGAACATTTTCACTGACGTGTTCTAGTACTCTTTTTAATAATCACCTGTTTATTACCTGGTTATACTTGCTTTATCATCCAAAGCCCACATCAATAATTTATTGAATAAAATAGCCAAGAATATGAACAAACAATTCAATATGAAGAGGTTCAAAGACAAAATTCAACATTATAGAAAAAGAAATGTAAGTGCCACTTTACACTATTAAATGAGCAAAAACTTTTAAGGAAAAATGTATTTCTGTCCAGTTTTTGTGAAACAGAAATATCCATGTATCTGTTAGTAATACAAACTGGTAAAATATTCTTGAAAAACAGCTTGGCAAGCCATAAAAACATTCTTACCATGTCAACAATAATGTACTCAAAACTTTATCCTAGAGATATAGTCAGAAAAAAGTACAATAATAACTACAATAATGTAGATTAAAGTATTAACTGAAAACCAGCCAGCAGCATAAGTACCTAACATAAAAAGATTTAGGTAAACTATGAGAGTATGACTTGATGAAATATTTTGCAGCCTTTCAAAATGTAATCATATAAATTAAAATAGTGACACCTTTAACATGGAAATGTTTCATGATCTAATAAATAGAAAAAAATCAAATTATATGCACCGTAATTTAAAAACAGTAAAATGTATTTTAATGGAATGCCAAAAAGAAAATTAACTATTTGAGTAATAACCTAAATTTTAACTATTTAACTATTTAATATCAATTCTTAAATTATCTCATAATTTAAGAAAGTTACACCATACTGAGGAGAGAGAGGGGTTCCAGGATACAAGCTTAATATAGTCTCAAGAAGAGGTCCGCCCCTCCCTTGTATGGCTCACTCTGGCCTTAACTGGAAGCTCTCCTACTCTCCCTCCTTATCATGATAACTATGACACCCTCAGATCCCAGCTTTCCAAGGACCAAAAAGCTACCTCAACCGGTCTTCAGATCATCCCCAGGAAGCCGTGGGGGCTGCATCGTGCAAAACAAGTATATATTCAAGAATCCCTACAACCAGATATATTTGAGCAATAAGCAAGTAGCCAAGCCCAAATCCAATTATAAATCCCAAAAGTATAGAATAGTGTCACATTAAAGTCTCTAGGGTTCTCAAAGAACTTGCTGGCTCAGTGGTGGACTGTCACAGTTAAAAAACAGTATGGACTGGTGGACAAATGAAAGCACTAGGGGCCAGGAGACTCTGGTACAGTTAAAAAAGGGAAAAATCTTTAAAAAAAAATATAAGCCCGGCTGGCATGGCTCAGTGGTTGAGCATTGACCTAAAAAGGGAAAAATGTTATTTGAACTATAAGGAACAGAAAACTAAAAACTCCAGCTTAAAAGAGATGGGTAAAAAGTAGCTGGCAATGTCTTATAAATCTTACCCAGCCAGATTCCAAAAGGCAGGATGGCAAGTCATTTTATTAACACATGAAGTTTTCTAGCGCTGGTCATGTTTAAAGACTACTATTGAAAATATATCAAAAAATAATTTTAGCACTGATGCCCCACAAGGGCAACATGAAAACAGTCTTCTCATTGTTTTTCTATAGTATTACCATTTTCTAAGTCTAATAATGAAAGATCAAAGTACTATAAGGAATCAAGAAGATAACTTACTCTGAAATAATATGTATTCCTTTACTTACTAGTAGCAGAGCATTTCAGCAAAAGATAAATAATTTGAAGGACTATTACAACCATTGTGTGGAGGGAACACAACCATTAGGGGAAAAGTTTAAACTTTTGTTCCTATTGATGTATTCTCGGTATCTAGATCCTCTAAGATGCAAATATATAGTCACTCATGACAATATATGCATGGCAGATAACAGAAAAAACAATTTAATAGTTAACCAAGTTCATCAGAGCATAGGGTGATTACCACTCAAGAATGTTGACATAAAAACTGAAGGACCTCTCCAGTTCCAATCATGCTGATAGGCTGAGTCCCTGTGCAGTTACTCATTCAGAACAGAGTGGAAGATTAACCTACCCTCACTTCTCTTCATACAGACTGACAAAGCGGCAGGCGGCCTCTGCAGAGGCTGCTCGGCATCATCCAGTCTGTTCCAGAAGCAGCCACTGCAGTCAGGACCCACACCTCAGGTCACCACTCTTCCACCCTGTCCCACCTCATACTTTCTGGCCAGAAATTCTCATCTAGATGAGATCTCCCCTGTCTCTCTCTCACACATTACCAAGTTCTTGTTTTCTAAACAAGGCTCTCATATATTTTACTCACCTGCAGTTCACTGCACTGGGTATCACCCAAATAGCCCATCAGAGCTCTTTATAATTTCTGAAACAGAGAGAAGGGAGCTTTTAAACACAGGGTAGAAAATGCCATTGCTGACACAGTGCTGAAGCATTTGTATCCAATATTCACAGCATATGGTCTTTTGGTCCACAATATTTCAAAAATATGTAGCATAACCAGCCAGGACCAAGAGTTCTGAGATAAGAGTCCAGAGATATAAGTTTGGTTTAAAGTTGCTACTACTTAGTTGTGTGACCTTGGGCAAATCATCGGACTCCTCCAGGCCTAAAAGTCCTTGTCTGGAGAATAAAGACAGACGGGACAGAAGCATGAGAGCACAATGGAAAGAGCACGGGTTCTCCAAACCAGAACACCAGCACCACTCCTTACCAGCACTGTGCTGTTATGTTAGCTCACATTTAATCTACATTTCCTCCTTTGCAAAATGTAAATAACAACAACTATTTGGAGTTGTTATGAGAATTAAAGGAGAGATAATAAGTTATAAAAAGCCAACAGTAGATACAATCCCACAGATGGTAATTATCACCATTAACTCAGCCCTACAGTTATATGACTTCTATTCATAAATATTTACCTCCTTAAAATGTCCACAAATCAAAAACTACGAATCTGACAATGGAATTAACCGTTGGAGTGTTTCAATCACCGTTATCTTCAACTGCTGGTAGTTTAAGATTATCAATATTACTTAACATCACAGGAAATGAATGGAATAGCCCCTGCATGACAGACACCTGAACAGTTCAGTGGCCAGGCCTTCCCTATTTCTCCCTCTGCTCTCACTGCTACCAATACACCTCAGCACCAGAGAGCTCTCCCAAAAGCCAAATGACACCAACTGTTTTCTATGGTCAGCTCAGGAGAACACGACTAAAGATGCAGGAAGGAGAACAGAGACTTTCCCTCTTATTCTATTTTTACTTCAGACACTTAAGTACTGCTCAGATTTGCTTCCTATAGCATGCATCAGTTCTGCATAAAATAAGTGAATAAAAATAAAAATCTTAAGATGATTATTAGTTACACATAATGCCTACTGATAGGAAGCTCGCCTTATAGGACTATTCTTCACAAGAATTTCCACAAAAGAAAGCAAAAAGGCAAATTCAGATGTGCCAAGAACACCTCAAATGTGGCACAGAAATAACAAAAATCACAAACATTCACATTGCAGAATGGTTCAGTCAAAAAATATGCTATGTACTCTTTGAAGAACCTTGTGGATGAATCAATTAGTTTTGGTTTTCTCTTTATTTGTTTTTGTTCAAAAGCAAGATGAATATACAAATTCTGGTTTTACCAGACAACTTTCTGCTCTTGGAAAAAGTAACCCAGTACAATTGACACAAGTAAACAAATTGGTATGACTGTTTGGTAGTATGCTGAAAAACTTTCAATGTTTTAAACAGATGGTAGCTTTTTAAACATTATTATATGTAAATTAAAAGTCTCCATGCTACATCTACAATATTATTTTTTAAAGAATTATTAACTCTATTAAATTCAGGATTACTCAAAAGTTATTACTCAGCCACCACTGAAGTGACAGACCACTCACTGTGTTTTATGCTCCTTCTAGCCAATGCTACAGAAATAATCCTGACTACACCCATCAATTTAAGTGAACTCTAAGCTGGTGTGGCCACACTCTCCACACATATCATAGTTCTCTCCTAGAAGACATTTCAAAATATTACTTAGAAATCAAATTATATTGGCATGTACACTTATCTAAGTTTACAAAAATAAACAACCAGAACAACTTGCTTATAATTTTTAAGTAGCCCCTCCCCCTCCCATGTGAGTTGATAAACTTGGCCCTAAAATCTTCTATGCTTTTGAAACAACAGCCAAGGACCTTATGTCTTCTGCTGGGCCTATATTTGGCTCTTAAATATAGTCTGACGGACAATTATAGACTAATTTGTGTTTAATGCCAATACCAAGCCTACTTCTTAAAGAGGAAACAAAAATGCATGTATAAGATCTGGTCTACTTATTTGTAGTCCCTCTGCAATATATTCTTAGCCATTCATGAACATGCTGTATATTTTTAAACTGCACAAGGCCCTTTGCAAGTAGGAATGGTTTCTCCTGTTGTTTGGCATCAGTCCTCTCTCTCTCTGGTGAAACACTGGACACTCCATAAATGTATATGGACTTTAAAACAATGCAGATTAAATATTTATGGTATCAGAAAATGAAACTTCTTGCTAACAATTGCAAAAGTTTACCAGCTGATAGAGAGGTACTTACTTACTGGCTCCCAAAAACTACAGCCTTACCTAAAAATAGTGTCCTCACTTCCCAGCCAAAAGGACAGACTAAAAAAGCTATGTCTTTATTGAGCTCAAAGACGCAGACTTCTACTTCACCACAACCTTCAATACTATGGTATTTCCCATTTTAGAAGAATTTGTGTAACAACTTGTTTGGTGGCCAACCACTAACTTCACTTTGAAGTGAATACTAGCACTTCACATGGTCCACATGTGTGAAAACTGTGGAAAACGTCTTGACACAATACAGGCCAAACAACACTAGCCACACAAGATTACTTATTTCTAAATATTAAATTTCAGACTACAAATGAACATCACCAGAGGCCAAAAACCAGGTCACTGGTTCCTTTCCACAAAGTAATCTGTAAAATTTTTTTAAAAAGATAAAAGTTTCAGATCGGGAAGCCTATGGCAAGAATATGCCTCCATCTATAAGCTGAAAATAAATTTTAAAATCCACATTTGCTCTTCAAAGAATAAAAATAAATGTAATACACACAAGCACTGCTGAGTTTCAAACGCAAGCAAATGTGATGCGTGCACTCACAAAAGTATCTTAGTTTACGTCCACTTTTCTCTCCTGAGTTTTTTTTTTTTTTTTAAGGTAAAATGTCAATTGTATGCTTCAATCTGCAAAAAAAATAAAGCACAGCTTACTCTTCTTAAACAGATGTTGTGATAGATATGAATTTCAAAACCCAAATGCTACCCAGATGTGTTAAAAAAAAACACAAAAACAAAAAACCTGCGGTAACCAACCTACCATAACTTAATTTTCTCAATAAATCATAGTAAAATATGTGTAAAGTTCAGAAGATTGCTTGTGGAAAATGTAAAATTAGCAAACTTTTCTCCTTATCCTCATGTGCTAAATGCCAACTGTTTACTAACACGTTATCAATGTCCTTTAAATCCAAAGCATTCCAAGTTACATTAAATAAAGCAACGCTTTGAATTCACACACCAAGTGTGACCAGAAAATAATGACAAACCAGACTTTTCCTTAGTAAGCGAAACAAAACTCGACGCTATCCTTTTTATTTCACAATAACCATGAGAGAGACAAGTACTATTCCATTTTTCAGAAAATAAAAGCAGGAGTGACTGATCTGCCTGACATGATTCTTTGCAATGGAAACGGTGTACGTCCGTCACAAGAGTCCCACCGTCTGTGGGCACACAAGAGCCACAGACACAATCACTGACCGTCCACGGAGAGTAAGTGGACTTACACATGGACACCAAAACATGGGCAAAATTAAGACATCCAACTAAAATTACACAAGGAAAATTAAATAGGCAAACTATAAGCACCCCTGGTGAAGATCCTGATCAAAGATAGCTGCTAACAGTATGTGGCTCTGGGTAAGCTCCACTAGAGCAGTAGATGTTGGAGCCCCGGAGAAAGTCTGGTACGTCTGTTTTTGTTTTTGTTTTTCTTTCTAAAATCTAGCCTTGCCTGTACGCCCACCTGACAGAATGAATTCTTTGGAAAATAAAGGTGGACCCCATCAAATTACTTAGTCCCGGCCTTACCCTCACGAGTAGATTAAAATAAAGAAGGAAAAAAAAGGTCGATCCTTTTTAACTGCCGGCTCACCTTACACATCTCACCAGCACGGTAGTTCTTTAGTGATCAATTACTTCATCCAATGCCTGAGGTAAACAGAAAAAAGTAAAATGTGTCTGTACACCAACCAGTCACAGTCACCCATCAGCAGCCAACGTTTTCTATCAGCCTGGAGTGAGAGGGCATCGGAATTTCAAATGGAAAAAGTTACCAAGATGGTACAGGGGCTGAAGCTTGTAAACAAGCCTTACTTCAAAACAAAAAAAAATTCCAGTGTGATAAAGAGATTACAAAAACGTTCTGAAAATCCACAACTTAAAAAGTCATCTCTTTCAGCACCGACTGACCTTACTTCCAAAAAAAAGAAGAAGAAGAAATGAAGGAGAAAAACCCATTAATGTGAGTCTGAGAGGGTAAAATGAACAACAAAACTAGCCAGGGCCACGCCCCCAGCCCCCACCCCGCCCAGGGAGTTATACATATTCCATTAATGATTGGCCTGAAAGTGTAAGTAGTGAAGGAGAAGGAACAACAATCTTTTGAGTTCCAAACAAAACCCAAGGAGCCCAATCCAAAAAGCATCCTCAGACCCTGGCTCCCAGCTCTACCTGAGGCCCCTCGGCCCGGGGGGGCGGGGGGAGAGGCAGCAAAGCGCCCAGACGGAACTGCACCCCTGAGCCCCAGGACAGGGGCGTCCCGAAGGACCCTCCGGGGAGGGGAAGTGTGTTTCCATGTTTATTGATGTGCTGGCGGCCCAAAGAGAATTTCCGAAAGGGGGCGGAGAAAGGGGGGAAGAAAGTGAAGCGGAGGCCCCAGCTCCGGGCGGAGGAGGGCGGGGGCGCCCCCCTGACCCACTTTCCCCGGCGCCCACCCGCCGGCCCCCGCCCCGCCCCGCCCGCCCGCGTGGGAGTCCGAGCCCTGCGGGGGCGAACGAGCGGGGCGTGGGAGGCCCGCACGCTCCCCACCCCCAGCCGCGACCCGGAGGGCAGCGTGCAGGGGGCTGACTCCCCCTCGCGGGGAGCCGGGGCCCGGGAGCTCTCCCGCCGACTCGCGGCCCGGGACGGCAGGGCCTCCCTCCGCCGCCGGGGGCCCGGGGCGCCGCGGCCCCCAGCGGAGAAGGGGACCGAGGAGGGAAAAAGCTGTAAACAGCCCCAGCGTCCGGGCCTCGCCTCGAAGCGCCCCGCTTCGGAGGCCCCGCCGCTGGGCCGCCGGGGCCCTCAGTCCGCCGCGGGGCCGCCGCTGCCGGGGCCCGGGGGACCGGAGGGGAGTCCGGCCCGCTCCCCGGAGGGCTCCGGCACCGCGCGGAACGGTCCCGGCAGCAGAGAAGGGGGAAGTCAGGACTTACCTGTCATTACTTTCTACGCCATCTTGGATCCACTTGTCAACGTCCCCACAAAGCATTATGGGTAAGAAAGAGCCTTTAAAGTGACTCCCCCCTTGGCCCCCGACTCCCGCCTCCGCCGCCGGCGCCGCCCCTCGGGCCGCACCTCCCGCCCGGAAAGTTGCTCCCCGTGGCTGGCCGGCCCGGGCGCCCTGGGCCCGGCCCCTTTCCCTCCTCTGGGTCCTTTGCCTTTAAAAGTCACCCTCGTGGTTTTAAAGGTGGCTTTGGGTTTTTCGCTCGGCTCCAGCCCCGGCCTCCCTCCGTGCCCGCCACCCCCCACCCCTCGCCTCCACGCGGGTTCCCTGTGCCCCGCCACCCTCCTGCTCTGGCAGACACCCCACGTCTGCATTTAATCAGCCCGAGGTTTCCCTGCCACTGGCAGCAAAGAGTCGCTCATGGGTTTATTTATGCGCATGATGTGTCTGTTACTGCTCCAGATCTCGGGTGCGCGGCGGCGGGCTCCCGCGACCCGCTTCTCGCTCCGGGCAGCCGGGGGTCGCCTTCAGGGCCCGGCCAGCCCGCCGAGCAGCCGGCGCTCTGACTCCCGCATCCGTGCACCGAAAGGTGCCTCCGCCCTGACAAACCGTTCCGGGGCCGTCGGACTCCGGCATCCGGCGACTCGGTGTCCCCGAGTCAACCAGCGTCGAAGCGCGTTTGGGGGGGATGGGGAGAAATCATCAACAAAATGCAACTTTTACGCTGTTTACTCTCCCTCCCTCCGTCTCCTCCCCTCGGCCGGTAACAGGACGCAAGACCCTCTAGATAGGAACCCCTCCCCTAGGAATGCGGGCTCTCCCAAATCCACACTTTGGCTGCCCGGGGTGCGTGCAGATCGTGACTTCCCGGGGCAGGTAACGCGGAGCGCGGCTGCGGGCTCGGGCGCAGAGGCGCAGAGGCGCGCCCGGACTCGCAGGAGGGCCCGAGAGGGTCGGGGGCTGCAGGGAGGGTGTGCCCGCCGGGGTCCACCGGGCGAGTCCCTGCGGGGTGATGAGTCCAAGCTGCCGGGCGAGGGGAAGACTTCGGGCACCACCCCCGCCCAGGGGCGGTGGAGGGACGCACGTAGTCGCCCGGCTGCGACCGGGAGCGATGGAAATAGGGGGCGCCACGATGCCGGCGGGTGAGCCGGGCGTGCGACCCCTGGGCTAGCGGGCTCTGCGGGGGAGCCGAGCTCTCTCCGCGATCCTCGCCGCCGGCTTTCGCTTGCGCTGGGCGCCCTGGCGCCGGTCGGTCTGTCCCCTCGCGCTCATGTCCCTGAGCTTCTGGGCGACCCTGCAGACTTTGGGGGCCTGCTCTGGTTGCTTCTTCCTCCCCAAGCAAATTTTTAAAGAGGTGACCAAGCGGGGGGAATGCTCCAGGACATCAAGACTTGCGAAACTGCACTCAGGACAAACTGCTGTTGGATGACTGAAATTAGAGGAATGCACGGGCATTCACACCCCGCCTGCTTCGGTGCATGGGGAGGGCCTCGGGCCGTGGGGCTACCCCAAGGGTTCTATGCTCCTCCGGACCCTTCGAGAAGCCTCTCTCGAGGAACCTGGTCGGCTGCTGACACGAGCCCTGCCCCGGGGAGCTAAAAACTCCACCAGGCAATTGTCCCTGCCAGATGGGTAGAGTGAGGTGTAGGCTCATTAAGGCATTGGCCCGGGGTCAGCCGCGAGGGAGGGAGCGAGGTAAATGAGTCACTCCCAGCCGAGAAGGCGGCGAGCCGGGGAGGGACCTCCCCTTCGTCACCCGCTTTGTCAGCGCGCGTTAGAAGTTGGGAAACTGGAGCCTGGAGCCACGGTCTGAGACCTTCCAGCGCAGGCAGCCACGCGGGGCCGTGGGCCAGGAGCGGGACCCAGCCGAGCCGGCTGTGGACCGGAGTCTGCCGCCGCCCGGTTTAAAGGCTCCAAAGTCTCTTCGCGGGGTGCCCCGGTCGCTCCCTTTGCAGTTCCCCTTCAGCCACAACTGTGCACTGATTTAATGGTTGCTTTGTGTTTACACGACACCTCTAGGTGTGTGGTCTGTTTCCTATAATTAAACACTAAATACGCTGAGGGCAAGGACTGTGCCTCCCAAGCGTTCTTTAAGTAGGTCCCTTGCTTTGCCCACAGGCCTTGATCCAAAGAAGTGCTTAATTGATGTGCCTGCCTGACCCCTTCATCTACTCAAGGGTGCATCCCGGTCCTTCCTCGTCCCAACACCACGTGTTGCCAGGGCAGGAAAGCCTCCTCTCCTCCCTGCCTCCACTCTGCCCCCTACAGTCCATTCTCCATCTGACCTGGATCTCCTTACTCCTCTGCTTAACCTCACCAAATGTGTCCCCACACACTCAGAATAAAACCCAAGTTCTTAACCACTGCCACAAGCTCCTGTGTAAAGTGGATCCTGCCCCCCCTTCCTCACCATGATTCTGTACTGGCCTTCTCTCCTCCCCTGCAGCACCCCAAACTTCCTTCCAGAGGGAACCTTCCTTGTTCCCCAGCTCTGATGATCATCTTTTCAGCACTCAGGTCTCAGCTCAAATGTCACCTTCTCAAAGACCACTTTCGTGATCCCCTTAACCAAAGCAGGTCACTCTATTCCCTTAACCCTGGGTTAGAATTTTTCTTGTTTACCGTTTTGTTGGCTGTTTATTATCTGCGCCACCCACATTGGAGTTTAAGCTCCGTAAGGGCCCGACCCATGTGGTTCAGTTGGTTGGAGCATTCTCCCTTGCACCAGAAAGTTGTGGGTTCAATTCCTGGTCTGGGCACATACAGGAGGCAACAATGTTTTCTTTCTCTCTCTCTCTCTCTCCCCCTCTCTCTCTCTCTCTCCCCCCCCTGTCCTGCCACCCCCTTCCTCCCTCTCTTAAAACACTCCGTAAGGACACAGGCCTTGTCTGGCTTGTTCATTCAGAGCCTGGACCAGGGCCTGGCACATATATAGATGCTCAGCAAATGTTTGTTGAGTGAATGACCAAACTTATCAGAGCTAGGGGTAGGGATGAAAGAGGATGCTGAAGAATCCTGGAATGAGCTGCTAAGGGACCTGTCCTTCATCTCTTCAGATCACTCCAACTATGCGCAGCCAGACATGGGCAGATAAGAATGGAGTTGGGGGAAATAGACCCTTGGCCAACATTAATGCCACCCTCATTCTGCTTCTGATCTGATGAACACACAGCACCAGATAATTCCTCAATCACTCCACTTGCTGTTCCTCGTTTTCCCTCTCCATTCCCTTCATGGCCACAAGTCTCAGTCCTGGGTCTCTTCTTCAAATGCACACTCGTCATTCCTTCAGTCTCAAGGCATTTAAACACCATCATTACCATGCGTGAGGAAGGACTTCAGACCTAAAGCTCTAGCCAATAGCTTTCTCCTGAGCTTCACTCTTATCCAATAGCATCTCCACGTGGCTCTCCCCTACACATCCCAAACTCAGCATTCCAGGAGTGAATTCTTTTTTTTTTTCTTCTTTTTTTTTTCTTTTTTTTTTTTTATTGATTTCAGAGAGCAAGGGAGAAGGGAGAGAGATAGAAACATCAATGATGAGAGAGAATCACTGATAGACTGTCTCATGCCCACCCCCAACTGGGGATCAAGCCCACAACCCCAGCATGACCGGGAATCCAGTCGTGACCTCCTGGTTCATAGGTCCACGCTCATCCACTGAGCCACACCGGCAGGGCCAGGAGTGAATTCTTGATCTCCCCTACAGACATGCTCCACCATGGTCTTCCTCAGCTTTGTTATTAGAAATTACATCCTTAAAATTGCTCAGGCTACATTCCCTTCTGTCTTTTTCTCAAACTCCACCTCCAATTCATCTGCAAATCCTGGTTTGCCTGTAAAATATTCGGTATCTAACCATTTCCCATCACCTCCATTGTGGCCACTCTGGTCCAATGCACTACAGTCTCCACTTGGCTCCCATCTGGTATATTCTCAACGTAGCTTCAAACACTGGTATTGATACAGCTAAATCAAGTCCTGTTCCCACCTCTGCATACGGCTCTCTGATTTCCACTCATTGAAAGGAGAAACTGGAGTCCCATACATTTTGTCTCTTCTCATCTGATTGACTTCATCTGCCACCTCTCTACCTCTGGCTCAGTTCAGCCATAATATCCAAGTGGCTCACTCCTTCACATCCTTAAAGCCTTTGCTCACCTCAATGAGTCCCTTTCTCATCATTCGATATAAAATTCAATATTCTTGCCAAACCGGTTTGGCTCAGTGGATAGAGCGTCGGCCTGTGGACTGAAAGGTCCCAGGTTCGATTCCCGTCAGGGGCATGTGCCTTGGTTGTGGGCACATCCCCAGTGGGAGATGTGCAGGAGGCAGCTGGTTGATGTTTCTCTCTCATCGTTGTTTCTAACTCTCTGTCCCTCTCCCTTCCTCTCTGTAAAAAATCAATAAAAAATAAAAAAAATAAAAATTCAATATTCTTCAACACCATTCTATATTCCCCTGCTTTTTTGTTTCCCATAGCATTCATCGCCTTCTAACATAATAAGTAACTTGTTCAGCTATTGGGTTTCTTGTCTATCTTCCTCCATGTGAAGTGTTAGCTTGCTGATCACCAAAGACTTGTGCTTGTGGCTGAAAATTAGGTTTCCTAGCTGCCCTTGCATCTAATCTAGCTGGGCCATGTGACTAGTTCTTGCAAATGGACTTAGAGCAAAAGTGTGACTCTAAATTAGCACGTGGAAGTCTGCCTATCAAATACACATGCATTGGACTCTAAGCTGATCAGACAACAGACCTTTAGTATGCTAACCCACTGAGAACTTGTGATCTATTTGTTAATAGCATTTTGCATCTTAATTACTATGCCTTAGCTACTATAGCCCACTAGAATTGGAAGCTCAATGAAGGCAAGGACTTCTGAATATTTTGTTTATTATTGTGTCTGTCTTCAGCGTCCAGAACAGAGTTTGGCAAAAAATACGTACTTAATAAGTATTTGTTGAGTAAATGAATGAATTGCCTTTTCCACAACCAATCATGAAAATTAGTGAATGGTTGGTAAGGAAGGAACGATAAAGGATTTCTTGTTGTTATTGTTAAGAAATAGAAACCGTGAGTTTCTAGAAAATCATTGGTTGCAAGACTTTGGTGAAACTAAAGAGAGTTCCCTTGAATTTTGTTCTTCCCTGTTTTTACCTTTTTCTTTTCTTCTACCTCTTTCCAAGTCTGATGCCCCTCGAATCCTTCTTCATTCTTCCTTTCTACTTTCCCCCCTCCTTTTTCCTTCCTGGATTTCCTTTTCTCTTCCCATTTAATCCAACAAGAATTCACTGCTCATTAATTTGAGCCACTGTAAGTACTCCATCAAGATATCTATTCTAAGTCACTTAAAATATAGTAGTGGGAGATAGCATGAGTTTAAAAAAAAAAAAAGAAAGAAAGAAATATTAAATCCTTGGAATCTTACCACTCCCCTTCTACTTTTTAGCTCAACTTCATTTCTACTTGAGATATAGAAAAGAAGTAATGGTAGACCAGGTGATTCAGACTTAAAACGGACAATATATTTTTCAAAACCTATGCTTGAACACATCTGGAAGGTTTAACAAAAGTGAAAAACTACCAAAGGTAGACAGAACAGGGAGGGGATTCTGAAATTCTTGTGCCTGAGGTCCCTGGGCTTTGGACAACAACTCCAGTCAAGAGTAAGTATCACCTCACACCCATGAGGATAGCTATTATCAAAAATTAAAAAAACAACACAGGAAATAACAAGTTTTGGCAAGGATGTGGAGAAGTCAGAACCCTGCGCATTGCTAGTGGAAACGTAAAATGGTGCAGCCACTATGGGAAACACTGTGGCTGTTCCTCACAAAATTAAACAGAATTGCCCTAGCTGGTTTGGCTCAGTGGATAGAGCATCAGCCTATGGACTGAAGGGTCCCAGGTTCAATTCTGGTCAAGGGCACATAACCTCAGTGTGTGGAAGGCAACCAATCACATCAATACTTCTGTCTCTGTCTCTCCCCCTCCCTTCTACTCTCTCTAGAAATCAATGGAAAAATATCCTCGGGTGAGGATTAATAATAAAAAAAGAAAAAGAGCCCTAGCGAGTCTGGCTCAGTGTCCAGAGCCTTGGCCTGCAAACTAAAGGATCCCCAGTTTGATTCTGGTCAAGGGCACAAGCCTGAGGGCCTGCTAGAGGCAGCCTATCAATGATTCTCTCTCAGCATTGATGTTTCTATCTCTCCCTCTCCCTTCTCTCTGAAATCAATAAAAATATTTTTTTAAAAAATTAAACAGCCGAAACCGGTTTGGCTCAGTGGATAGAGCGTCAGCCTGCGGACTGAAAGGTCCCAGGTTCGATTCCGGTCAAGGGCATGTACCTGGGTTGCGGGCACATCCTCAGTAGGAGGTGTGCAGGAAGCAGCTGATCGATGTTTCTCTCTCATCGATGTTTCTAACTATCTCTCTCCCTTCCTCTCTGTGAAAAATCAATAAAATATATTTTAAAAAAAAAATTAAACAGAATTAACATATGACCCAGCAATCCCACTTCTGGGTGTACACCCAAAAGAATTGAAAGGAAGGATTCAGACAGATATTGTACACGCATGTTCATAGCAGCCTTATTCACAATAGCCAAAAGGTAGAAGAAATCCAAGTGTCCATCAACAAATGAATGGATTAAAAAACATGGTATATCCATATGTTTACAGTTGTTTGTATGGAAAAATAATATAATAATAGTACAAAAACTCTGAGTTTCCTATACTCACAACTGTAGACCTACTTTTGCCCTCTCTGCAGAGAGTACTGTACCCACTACTGCACATCACAAGTTCTTGTTAGGTGTGCATGGAATGTTTATGACAATACTAGACAATACAGCAAGTCTCGGCAAATTTTGAGTGATATAAATCATACAGAGTACATTCTCAGACAATGATGCAATTAAGCTAGAAAATAAGAAAAAAGGTAGTTTTCAACCAGGTAGGGAAGTAGTTGTTTTAGTTGTTTCTTGCTAATTTTTTCTGGGTTGTACAAAGTGATATTTTTAAGGTGTACAATATGATCATTTAATATATGTATACACTGTAAAATGATTACCACAACCAAGTTAATATATCCATCAAATTACATAGTTACCTCTTTCGGGGTCTGGGGTGGGGTGAAACCACTTAAAATCTACTCTCTTAACAATTTCAAGTATACAATACAGTATTGTTAACTATAGTCACCATGTCATATAGTGGATCCCCAGAACTTGTCACCTCATAAATGAAAGTTGTGCCCTTTAACAACATCTTCCCATTCCCCCTACCTCTCATCCCCTGGCAGCCAAAGTTCTACTTTCCGCTCGCTTCGGCAGCACATATACTAAAATTGGAACGATACAGAGAAGATTAGCATGGCCCCTGCGCAAGGATGACACGCAAAGTTCTACTTTCTGGTTCTAAATGTTTGACTATTTTCAGATCCCACATATATGAGACCACACAGTATTTGTCTTTCTGGGTCTGGCTTATTTCATGCAGCATAATGTCCCCCAAGCTCATCCATGTTGTTTTTGGTTTTCAGTTCTTTCTTATGATTCACCCCCTTCCATCTCCCTCCCAGTCAGATAGCTTCCCTGTGTGAGCTTGCACAGGCACCTCTGTGGGGCTGCCTTTGCCTCTGGCTCTCTGACCTTTTGCTGGCTCCACTTTGCTGAGTGTGCATCTCTGCAGGCAGTCCTCACACTGATCATGACAGGAAGCTAGGCTTCCTGGGGTCCTGAATCAGCAGAGCAGGAAGGAAATAAAGGCCACAGAGCTGTTGAAGAGGAAGGAGCCAACTTGAAGGCAGAATCCATACCTCTAAAGATAGGTCTAGAGAAGAATAACATATGTGGTGCCTGGAGTCCCATTGTCTGTGAAGCACAAACGCTGCCCCGAGGCCCAGCTACTTCCTATAATCAGATAACCCTGGGAAATCCCCCTACCCTCTACTCTAGTTTCCCCATCTGTAAAATGGGAATGATAAAATAGCCTTTCCATTGGTTGCTGTGAGGATTACAGGCATCTCAAACCATGGCTTGGATAGAGTACGCCTGCAATAAGGTTAGCTCTTACTACTTTCAAAGGCTTTGGTTAACACTCATTTATTTTTCTTCCTGCCTTTCATCTCCCATATTCCAGTTAATAACTCATATCAAACAAGCAAACAAAACAAACCAGAAACACAAGCATTTGCAATTGAACCAAGATTTCTCCTGCAGGAAAATGGCACTCAGAATAATGTGTCTGAACAGAGTTTTTCATCCCAGATTCTATTGCAACTGGAAGTAGCATTTAGGGCCCACAAGCCCAACTCCCATATTTCTGGGAAGTTGTAAGTTGAGTGGAGCTTTGCATTCAGTAGAGACAGCAAGAGGCATGCAGTTCAGTGATGAATCCTCACATGGAAGCCTGCTCTCTGGAGGTGTTGGATGTGCTGGGAAAAGCCCAGACTCAAAGATGAGTGGCTTGGCCCCGCCGGCGTGGCTCAGTGGTTGAGCATTGACCTATGGACCAGGAGGTCACGGTTCGATTCCCGGTCGGGGCACGTGCCAGGGTTGCAGGTTCAATCCTTAGTGTGGGGAGTGCAGGAGGCAGCCAATCAATGATTCTCTCTCATCACTGATGTTTCTATCTCTCCCTCTCCCTTCCTCTCTGAAATCAATAAAAATATATTTGGGGGGGGCGGTGGAGGAAGGTGAGTGACTTGGCCTTGGCTTACCATGAGATCTTGGGCTAATTATTTCATTTCCTTGGGTCTTCCTGCTCAAGAAATTGGGGTGTTGGACTAAATGGTCTTTAAATTCCCTTCCATTTAGTGATTAAGGATTTTGCTCTTCTAATATCACCAAAAAAAAAAAAAAAAAAAAATGGAGTCACGAGGATTTTGGCTAAGAACCAGGTAGGAGAAAAAAAAAAGGCCCCTGCGGTCTTTCTAAAAAACAAAGTATGTCTTAATTATAAGTCAAATTTCAGTTTAAGGGAAAAAACAACCCTTAGGCATTTTCTGTTCTATTTAGCTTAACTTGAATCTTTCTCTTCACTAGAAAGGTCCGGGAAGGTTTTCCACTCACTTTCTACCTACAGGCCAGTTACAGACATAAGAGAGCTCCCTGAAGCCATTTGCCATTTTTACCTAAAGTCCCTGCAGGGAACGAAACCTCCCTGTTTAAGTGACCCGAGTGCATCTCTCGGCCATTTCTGATGCCATAGGGTTAATCCAGTCTGAAGAGAGTGACAAAGTGCAAAGGCTTTTTTTTTCTTTCATGGATTCCACATTCATAACCAAGTACTTGGCAGCCTGCCCTCTCACATGTTACGACACAGAAATGTGTTGCCTTCAATGTGTTTTTAATAGGCCGAGCAGTTTGTTTGATCGCTTGGGTCTAGACTCAGAGACATCAGAACTTTCCCACTGCCTGGTCACTGCTTCGGTTAGCATCTTGGTTTCCCTCGTTCTTTCCAAAGAACAGTTTGGGGACACGGGGTAATGATTTCCTGAGATCAGCTACAAGGCCCTCTATCTCGATCTCGCAGCCTAAACTCATCAAAGGGATGTGCACCCAGATTTGCAAACTGTTTTTGCAAAACCTGCAAAAACTCACCAGCATTAGATTTTGAAATTATTTGGCACAGGGTCTACAATCGTGAAATTCTCATGAGTGGGGTGGAGCCAATTTCTATAAACAAAGCAAACTCTAATCTCTGCAGCCCTCTGTAGAAATATTTATACCCAGAGAGAAAGGTCTCTTCCAGCTCTAGGATGCAATAATGTAAACATTTTACCAGAGATGAAGTGCTTGTGAACAAACTTGCCCATCCCCTCCGAAACTTCAAGTGCGTAATTTTACCTAAACACATCTTCTCACTCCAAAGGCTTGGCTGAAAGGAAAATATCCCTTATGATTGTCCTCAGAAGAAAAGGTTTTCCTATAAAGGGCCTGAAAAAATAAATCTATTGACTCCAAAGCCTTATGACCAGCTTTACAATATTCAGCCGGTCTCCTCAGAGCCACAACAATGGCCCTCCAATCATATCAGCCATTGTGTCCCAGAAGACAGCAGCAAGGCCATGGGTTGATTTGTCAGGAGTTACTAAAATCCCTCCTTGCACACAGTTGGGTTTCTTTTCAGTGTAGCCTTTTTTTTTTTTTTTCCTGGCCATCTTATCCTGTGTTCACTCACCTGATTTAGTTACAGAAAGGCTTTATTTGAAGTCAAGAGAGTCTCCAACACTACAAATGACAGTTGCAAGTGGATGATGGATGGATCCCTACATCAGATAAAGCTGTCCCTCCCAGAACTCTCCTTACAGATAAGTAAGAGGCCACAGCCCCAGGGACAGAAGAGCCAGCCTCAGGCCGGCTGGAGCTGCTGAACTTGACCATCCTGTTATTCCTGATCTCTCCCTAGCTTGGCCCCTCTCACCTCTTCCTTCCCTGCCTCTTGTCTTCCTTCTCTTCCCTTTCTCCCTGTTCAGTTGGAGTCTTACTCACTTACACCACAGCTCTTAAACTGAGATCTTAACTGTATTTCATCCTGCTTTCTAAGAGCATTCTCAGGGTTGTGTCTCCACTTCCATGTGCTAGGCCACCCATCCCCAAACCTAATATTCTCTATGCCACCAGGCAGTCCCAGTATTGCCACTTATATCATAATTACAAGGTTTTCCTTATTGATTATTTTCCTCTTGCTTTGGCATATAGGCTTGTGATACACCCAAATATCCATTCTCTTCCCTCCTTGATTTTTTGATGGAATGAGGCTGCCCAGACTGCAATTTATAGTTTCTCTTGCATCCAGAAGTTGTCCTGGAGCAGAGATATAACCAGAATTGTTGGGTGCAGTGTCCAGAAAATGTCCTTAAAGGTGGTACCCTTCTTGGCTCCTTCCTAGTTCCTACTGACAAGAAAGATGCCGATGTGCTGTCCGGAGCTTGAGTGGCCAGCTTGGATCATGAGGCTGCAATTACATTTTAAGCCACTATTATTTTTGAAATATATGTAACCAAACATACATCCTAATATATAGAATTTATAAAGTCATATAAATCAAATTTACCTAGACCTTTGCAAAAGGATGGGCCTTGTAGAGAGAATGGATATAAAGGTAAGAGATCCTAATGACTCAAAATCCTTTTGACCTGTTTTCACCTGTTTACTAGACTGCCTGGGTACCACAAATGGCATCCAGTAATAGCTTTACTATCCAGAGGCAGAAGGTAGTTGAACGTTTTGTAACATTTCTGGCATAGTTGCAGACTTACAACAAATTACAGGAATAGTACAAAGAGGGCCTATACTGCCTTCACCCACATTCCCCAAATGCTAACATGTTACCACATTCGCGTTATCATTTTCTGTATATCAGAAATTTTCCCTGAAACACTCGAGAATAAGTTGCTGACACATCTCCCTTTTACCGATAAACACTTTTAAGGGTGTGTGTCCTAAAAATGAGGGCTCATTTGGCAACGTAACCACAGTGAGATTATCTAAATCAGAAGATGTAACCTTCATACAGTACTATATTAGCTAACCTACACGGTGCTTTCAGGTTTTGCCAGTTGTTCCCAATGAGGTCTTTTATAACAAAAGGAACCCCCAGATCACGTGGTGCACTGTTGTCGTTCATGTCTTCCTAGTCCTCTTCCATCTGGAAAAAGTTTCTGTCTTGCCCTGTCTTTCATAAGGAGTCAGTTATTTTGTAAAATGTCCCTCACAGTCTGGGTACATCTGATGCTTTTCTCATGATTAGATTCAGTTTGTGCATTTGTTCTTAGTACATCATATCAGAAGGCATATGGTGGCCATTTGTCCCATTACTGGTGATGTTAACTTTTTTCTAAGCCGTTTCTTTTTTTTATTATTGACTTTAAAGAGAGAGAGTAAAGGAGAAAGAGAGAGAGATTTGTTGTTCCACTTATTTATGCACTCATTGGTTGATTCTTGTATGTGCACTGACCAGAAATGGAACCCACAACCTTGGCGTATCAGGACAATGCTCTAACCAACTGAGCTACCTGGCCAGGGCTGGTGATGTTAACTTTGACCATTGGTCAGAATGGTATCTGCCAGGTTTCTTCACTCAAAGTTATTATTTGCTCTTTGTACAATTAATAAGTATTTTGTGGAAAGATATTTTGAGACTGTGTATTGTGCTCTTAATCCTTCAGCTTTCACCCACCAATTTTAGCATCTGTTGATGGTTATTGCATGAATGAATTACTACTATGATGGTTGCACAATAGTGATATTATAACACTTTCTCTTTTATGTTCTTTTCCAAAGAGGGCTGAAATTTATTATTTTTATTTACTTACTTTTTTTAAAGAATAGTTTATTGATTTTTAGACAGAGAGGAATGGAGAGTGAGAGAAGCATCTATGTGATTTGCTGCCCCCTACCAGGGATGGAGCCCTGGACCCAGGCATGTGTCCTTGACTGGGAATTGAACCAGTAACCATCCTGGTACATGCTATGACACCCAACCAACTGAGCCATACCAGGCAGGGGTATTTATTTATGTTTAAACCACTTTATTGACATATGAGGACTGAAATTTAGAACATGAAAGCAAAAACCCAGGCATGTGGGGTTGTCTCCATGAACACTGTAAATAAAAATAATCGCCCTAAGCCGGTTTGGCTCAGTGGATAGAGCGTCTCCCTTGCCCTCCTTCTCTCTAAAATCAACTAAAAAGCCCCACACAGTTTAATGAGCTATAATTTACATACCATAAAATTCACCCATTTTAAGTACAATTTAATGGTCTTCAGTACACTTACAGAGTTGTGCAACCATCACCATCATCTAATTTTAGAATATTTCATCACTTCAAAAAGAAACCTTGTACCCACAAAAGTCACTTCCCATCCTTCCCCCAGGCCCCGGCAACCACTAAACTACCCTCTGTCTCTATAGATTTGCCTTTTATAGACATTCCATACAAACAATATAGTATGTGGTCTTTCTTTTGTGACTGACTTAGCCTGATGTTTCTGAGGTTCATCCACAGCAGTACTTCCGTCGTTTTTATTAATGATTAATATTACATATATGGATAGAACACACTTTATGTATCCATTCACCAGTTGATGGGCAGTTGTGTTGTTTCCACTTTTTGGCTATGATGAGCAATGCTGCTGTGAACATTCTGTGCAAATCTTCGCATGGACACACATTTTCATTTCTCTAGGAGTGGAATTGCTGAGTCATATGGGAACATTTTGAGAAATTGCCAAACTGTTTTCCACAGTGATTGCACCATTTTACATTCCCGACAGCAGTGAATGAAGGTTGCACTTTCTCTACAGCCTTATCAGTACTTGTTATTCTTTTTTATTCTAGCCATCCTAGTGGGTATAAAGAGGTAACTCATTTTGGTGTTAATTTGCATTTCCCTAATGACTGAGTGATGTTGAACATCTTTTTATGTGCTTATTGGCATTTGTATATCTTCTTTGAGAAATGTTTATTCAAATTCTTTGCCCATTTTCCATTAGATTATATGTCATTATTATTAAGTTTTAAAATTTCTTTATATATACTGGATGCAAGTCCCTTATCCGTTATGTAATATGCTAATTTCTTTCCAATCTGTGGGTTGTCTTTTTTACTTTCTTTATGATGTAATATGAAGTATAAAAGTTTTAAATTTTAATAAAGTCCCATTTATAAATGCATCCTTCTATAATTCATGCTTGCGGTGTCGTATCTAAGAAATCACTGCCTCACCCAAGATCTTAAAGATTTACTCCTATGTTTTCTTCTAAGAGTTTTATAATTTTTAGCTCTCATATTTAGCTCTGTTAATCCATTTTTAGTTAATTTTTGTATATGGTGTAAGATAAGGGTTTAGCATAATTCTTTTACATGTAGATATTCCGTTGTCCCAGCACCATTTGTTGAAAAGACTTGTCTTAGCACCTGAATTTTGCAATGGTTCTGAAAGTTAGATCCAGGAAAAGGGTCTGATAATTAGAACTTGTTTATTTTCAGATGTGCTGTGACTGCATTAGGTTTTCAACATATGTAAGGGGCTGGGGAGGACAGTAACATTCAGACAATCACAAAAGGGCTCTCCCAAAAGTTATTTTCTCTTTGGGGAAGAATGTCATTAATGGCCACACTGTGTGGTGTTTAAGTCAATAAAACCATCCGCCCATATCAGTCTGCTCAGTGTCACATTCAAGGAGAAGCCTAACTATTTGGGCAAGTTCAGCTATTCATTCTGCAAAGTTCTCCTCACCATTTCTCTGAGGGTATTTCTGGGGTTTGTACTGAACCAATATTTCTGATTGTTTGCTAGAGGATGTAAGATTACATCCAAGCTGTATACTGATTGTCAGTCCTTCCGTATATCGCCAGCCCCTAACCACAAACACCCAGCTGTTTCTGCATGTAAGAGATACTAAGTCTACTAAAATCCCGAATACAATTCAATCTTTTTTTTTTTGATAATTTAGAAACAGCGTCTAGAGCAGTGGTTCTCAACCTTGGCTGCACATTAGAATCACCTGGGAATCTTTTTAAAATTCTGATTTCTGGGCCTCATCCTCCGGAAATTCTGTTTCTTTGTTATGGGGTGGGGCCACAACATTAGTAACAAAGAAACAGAATTTCCGGAGGATGAGGCCCAGAAATCAGGATTTTAAAAAGATTCCCAGGTGATTCTAATGTGCAGCCAAGGTTGAGAACCACTGATCTAGCGTATTCTTTGATATAGTAGAAAGAGGATTCTTTTCTTGCAAAGCAATCGCTTGTCCTTAAACCCCCTTCTCTAATAAGACCCTTCCCCCACCCATCACCTTCCTTACAGAAATGTTCAAGCCTTTCTGCCTCTTTCTCCCTCTCTGTGTCTTGCAAATTTCACAAGCCTCTGGTGTCAAAAGGATGTTTACAGCCTCTCTCCTCTACCCCTTTGCCGCTGCTTCTGCATAGCATCTGGTGGCTCCAGGAACTCAATACTTTTGAGGTTTTCCCAGGGAGATGGGAAGACTGAGCTCTGGTTTCAAAGATGGGGGAGAGGGGTTTCACTTGGAATTGCATCTGGTTTCTCCTAGAGAATGTCAAATCAAACATCTTTGCTTGATGGGGACTTAATTTCTTCCAAAACCCTCTCCTGTCTGGACTACATAAGAAGTTTGTAGTTCTTCTATTAATGCCGCCTTGACTGTTTCCCTAAACCAGTGGTTCTCAACCTTCCTAATACCGCGACCCTTTAATACAGTTCCTCATGTTGTGGTGACCCCCAACCATAAAATTATTTTCGTTGCTACTTCATAACTGTAATTTTGCTACTGTGATGAATCGTAATGTAAATATCTGATATGCAGGATGTATTTTCACTGTTACAAATTGAACATAATTAAAGCATAGTGATTAACCACAAAAACAATATATAATTATATATGTGTTGTCCGATGGTCTTAGGCGACCCCTGTGAAAGGGTCGTTCGACCCCCAAGGGGATCGCGACCCACAGGTTGAGAACCGCTGCCTAAACTAACCCGTTAAGTCCTTGCTACGTGAGTAAGCACATTTTCCTGGCCCACAGTTGCATGACAAAGCACCCTACTTCGGCTGACAATGATTGCTGGCAGGCCCAACTGGCTGGGAAGTGTCTCCCTCCTGAACAAAGGTCCAGCGCCTTGGGGGTGAGGGCAAGATAAAAGTTCACTTCACCAGCCTCATTGCAATCACCACTATTCATGCCTCTGAGCCCTTCCCCCCAGGCTGGGAGAGCCCAAGGAAGCGATGTTTGCAAATTCCTTCAAAATTGAGTCAGCAAATGTCTGACCTAACTAGTAAATCCCGAATAAATAGAACTTCAAAAAAAATCAATAACTGCAACAACAAATCTCTATTTCCAGGCTATATTTTATTATCTAGGTTAGGCCAGACAACCAATTTACTGTGCAGACTTTATTGTGTTGCTTCTGGAATAGATACTCACTCTAACATTCTCATTTTCAGGTTGTCAATGTCCAATCAAGATCAGAACTCCTGTCTCAAAAGCCCGTGACTGCCCTTGGAGAACTTTTGTAAAACTGAGCAAAATACATCTTAACAGAAATATTTAGACACAGGGCCACTGGGCTATTTGGACTAAAGAAAGTAATATAAAACTATATATAAAAACCCTGTTTTTCAAGGCCATGAAAAATTTCCATTTGGTGATCTTTGTACCTTATGACACTTGATCAATGCTATGCATCAGGTGTCTATCACCAGCCCTATCCCTGGATTTAGATGATGATCAATAAACATTCAATTGACTATTTTTAAAAAAGACCATTGGAAGAAAATTACCACGCCAGAGCAAGCAAAATTGTAATTCACTGACACTCTATCCACTGGGTCAAACCAGCTAGGGCTCAATGATTCTCTTTCATCATTAATATTTCTGTCTCTCTCCTCCTCTCCCATCCTCTCTAAAATCGATATTTTTTAAAAGCTGGTGAGGAAATTAAAAGACATTACAAAAAGTCAAACATTTAACTTACTGAGTTTATGGCTTACACTAGAGGCCCGGTGCATGAAATACATGCACGGGGGGGTGGGGGGGTCCCTCTCGGCCTCCTTAAGGCTGGAATGTGGGCATACAGTCTGATCCTGGCCAACAGGACCTACAGGAAAGCTTTTCCCCTGACACAGAGACTCATGGGAGGAAATGCCTTTCTTGGCTTGATGTGTGCATGTCTGCAATGCCTGGAACTGCTCAACTATCTGTGTTCTGACCACAAGGAAGGGATGCTGCTGACGTGTTGAGCATGGCCAAATGGAATGTTGGAGAGTTGGAAAGCACCTTGTCCTCAAGATCACAGTTGAGTCACTGTGAGTGGGGAGCAGGATATGCCACCTCAAAATGTGCCACTTTGGCATGTGGGTTATTTTGAGCCGAAGGCAGGAGACTCAAGAAAAACTTGTATCTCTTCCTTAACTACCAAAAAAAGAATTTAGAGGCCTGGGCCAGGTAGCTCAGTTGGTTAGACCATTGTCCTGATATGCCAAGGTTGTGTGTTTGATTCCCTGGCAGGGCACACACCTAGGTTGCAGGTTTAATTCCAGTTGGGGCACTTACAGGAGGCAACTGATCAATGTTTTTCTCTCACATCGATATTTCTCTCTCTCTCTCTCTCTCTCTCTCTCTCTCTCTCTCTCTCTCTCTCCCCCTCTCCCTCCCCCCTTCCTCTCTCTTTAAAAAAGAAATAAAAACATATCCTTGGGTGAGGATTAAAAAAAAACTCAACCAGTGAATGCATAAATAAGTAGAAAAACAAATCAATGTTTCTCTCAAATCAAAAATTTTTAAAAAATTTTAAAGAATATAGATAGGGGGCTGGCTATTATCAATGTAAAGGCAAAATAATTTTCCTTTCTAAGTTCTTCTGGCTGGACTAATAATCAAATTAACATGAGACAGATTAACAGAACACAAATTTATTGTGTATGCACATGGGGAGTTCCACAAAAATATGAAATCCAAAGACTCACTAGGGAGTTGAGGCTTACATGCATTCTGGAGTAAGGAGAGAGAGGGAGGCAATTCATAGGTAGGTCCTACAAGAGCTAACTTATCTGAATGACCTATCTATATGGCTGGCAGACAGCTAATTCCCAAATAGCTGATGCCTCACCCCCAGAGGTTTATTTCATTGGTCTGCAGTGGGGTCCAAACACTAGCATTTTTGTAAAAGATATTTTAGTTGATTTTGAGAGAGAAGGGAGAGGGAGAGAGGAGAAACATCAATGTGAAAGCAGAACATCTATCAACAGCTTCCTACACACACCCTGACCGGAATTGAGCCCGCAGCCTGGGCATGTGCCCCAACCAGGAATCCAACCAGCAACCCTTTGGTGCACAGGAGACCCAACTGACGGAGCCACACCAGCCAGGGCTCTGCTCTTATTATTCTGTGAATTAGCCTTCTCCCCTTTGAAGCCCCAGGCCCTTATCCCGTGCCTTAGCTCAGATGATACATAAGCGTCAACTGCCTAACTTGCCCTTGGGTTTCATATTTTTATGTGGCTCCTGTATGTAGGAAATTAAACATTTGTTTTTATCTTGGTAATGTCTGTGTCAATTTAAATATTTATGTTCACATGGGCAGGTGTTTTGTTTTATTTACCAGCATGGGCACTTAATAAATACAAGATGTCCCCAAAAAATGTATACACACTTTGAATAATTATTAATTCCAATGGATTAAATCTGAAAAGAAAGAAACATTAATTGAGCTATAAGCTGTTAAAGTGTGCATTCATTTTTTTGGGGGGGGGAGGGGGACACTCTGTACTTGTTAAATGAATGAATGAATAAATGAATGAACATGAATGACACTGATAACCTAGAATACTCTCTAACTTATATTAAAAACCAATCATTTTCCAGAAAGTAGAATAATGGTTGCCAGAGGCCAGGGGAGGAGGAATGAGGAGTTACTGTTTAATGGATATAGAATTTCATTTGGGGAAAATGAAAAAGTTATAGAGATAGATGGTGGCGATGGTTGCACAACAACATGAGTGTGCTTAATGCCATAGAACTGTACACTTAAAACTGGTTAAAATGGTACATTTTATGTAATAACTATTTTATCACAATAAAAAACTAACTTATTTGCAAACCTTGCTACTTAGCATTACAAGGAACAAATTGCTACCTACAATATAGCTCATACCTGAGGAAACTATACATCTATGAAAACCTTGATTGATTATTTTCATGTCAAGAAAGCTCTGGTCCAGCTGTTGGTTGGATTCGTTTGCAAAAAAATAATCACAAATACTTAATTCTTTTTTACTGATGAGTCAGGTGTGGGGGGGGGGGTGCACTAGATCTTCTATTTGCATGGGGAGCAGGGGAAGAAAGCAGGGCTGTACTATGTACTGGACTGATTCGTGCTATCACAGAAATGAAATCACACAGAAATGAAATCCCAGGTTGGGACTCTCCACACACACACACACATACACACACACAGTATCAGGAAAACAGCCTGTCCATTCTGCCCGCAGAGGCAGGGATTTTGGTTTCCTTGGCTGCTGAGCTATTCTTGGAGCAGAGCCATCTAGGGAAACTGAGCAAGTACATGGGTCTTTCGAACTTGGGCTGGATCCATGAAGGACACAAAAAGCAGACTATCCAGCCCTCTCCCCCAAGTGGAGCAGACAAAAGTGTCGTTGATGTTGGAGCTGTGGAAAGCTTCGGAAGGTCCCGTGGGAGGAAGCTTGGCATGAGAGGCAAACAGCTCTCCGGACCCTGGAAGGGAGCACCAGGCTGGGGTAAGATCCAGGCCTCTGCTCAGCCCTGACCGCTGACACCCTGTTCTTTCTCAGCGAGTGAAAGAGAGAAACAGCCTGTCTCCACAGGCTCTGCCTCATAGCTTTCTCGGAGGCCTGAGGAATTCTCTCAAAAGCACGCCTCCCGTGGGAAAAATGCTCATGATCTAATGTTAAACGGAAAAGTCACGATGTATATACACATATATAAGACATGTGTGTATATATAATATAAATATGTATATCATTTATGTTTAAAAATTTTTTTAAAGCATGCACTGAAAAACAATACCAGAAAAAGAAAAAAGATGAGGAGGAAATGACAATATTATCAGTGATGTTCTCCAGGTGGTTAAATAACAGGTGATAGTTTATCTCTTATTTACATTATTGGGTGGTTTAAAATTTTTCCTATGACTAACGTGTGTTATTTGATAGACATAAATGCATTTTGAACTGCACCTACCCAGTAGCCCCCAGGCATGGGGGAAGGTGTGGGCTACGGAAAAATGGGTGGGGAATGCTCTCGGAAATATTTGGCAGCTGCAGTACGCTTGCTGCAGAGGGGAAACGTCTGGAAGGCCAGGACCAGAGCCCTCCCTTGCTTTTTTCCCTTGTAGTTTTTCTCAAAGTCACTAGTTTCCCTGATGTGAGCCTATTTAGCAAGAAACACAGTAGCAATCTATTTTTACTTTTGAAAATGTAGTGCAAACCCCCATAGCAGAATTAGCCTTTGGCCTGTGCTCCCTGCTTCATACCCCTCACCTGACATTCCAGAAAAACTGCCACAAAAGGTTCCCACTTGCAGATCCTCAGAGAGTGTGACGCAAGTGTGTGTATTGGGGGCTGGGGCCTGTTGTCTTCCGGCCCCCAGTCCCCTGCTGCTCTGCTTCCTTTTAAGCCACCCCTCCTGCCCCTCAGCCATGTTGGGACCACGTTGCTAACACCAGCCCCTGCAGTGGAAAATGACATAGATATTCTGTCCTTTGGAAACATTTGGCATGGTCCTGGGAAGGAAAAACTGAGCTCATCCCAAGAAACAGGAGAGAATTGGGGGTGACACAGTCATCTCTGGATCCTGCAGGAATCTATTTCCTGGCCTCCCCCCCCCCCGCCCCCCCCCCCGGCTTTTATTATCATTAAAGTTTTGTGTTATTGTTGTTTTTTAAAGCCCCTACTTTCTCAAAGAACAGATTTTCTTCACAAAATCACTATGGCCGACCAATACCACAGCTACCTTGGAATAGCAAAATCATGCCGTCTTCCCAACCGAGTTTCCGGTTGCTTTCTCAGAATTTTCATCTTGTAGTCGGGCGGGCTTGTGGGGCCTTGGAGTGCAGCACTGAGATTGTCCCAGGTCTCCGGGAGACGGTCGAACAGTGAAGGATACAGCGAGGTTAATCCGAAGCTGCGGAGTGCTAGAGAGCGAGCCCCAGCTTGAGAGGCACGGGGAGTGGGAAGAGCTGGACAGTTTGCCCAGTGCAGCCCTTACTGCCTCCAGGTGTAACACACACACACAGACACACACACACACACACACACACACACACACACACACACGTCAGAGCAGAGCAGATGGGAAGAGGTGGCATCTCTTTTTCTTCTTTAATCCTCACCTGAGAACATGCTTAGGAAGAGGGAGAGAAGAACATCAATGTGAGAAACATCAGTGGTTGCCTTCCATATGCACCCGGACCAGGGATGGAACCCTCAACCTGGGTGTGTGCCCTGACCTGGAATGGAACTGGCAACCATTCGGTGCACAGGATGATGCCCAACCAGCTGAGCCACACCTGCAGGGCAGAGGTGGCATGCTTAGACCATCCTGTTGGAGGCTGCGCTACTGCTGTCATCTCTTGAGGTGTAGCTCCAGAGATGGGAAATGAAGGGAAAAGGTCAATAGAAGGGTTTAAAGGTCAAAGAGGATCCTGATTCTCCAGACCCTCCTCTCAAGCCAGGGCCCTTTGGTGATGTTCCTGGGCAGTACAAATGTCCCTTTTCTAATGAGTCCCCTTGGCCTGAACTGGCCCCTGAATATGTTTTTCTCTCTCTTCAGCCTTCCCCAGGCACGCAAAGGGGCCTCATACTAGAAGGGTAAGACTGAGAAGGGTACTGTGTCCCCACTCAGGAGACCGGAAGGCTACTGCAGGTGGTCCCCTCAGGCCATAC